TATTTTTTGCGCTGGATGTGCCGCTCTTGTGTGACCGAGTAGAGAGTGTCACAGGCGTGACGGTACACTCAAACATATACAGAGAGAGTGAGAGAGAGAGAGAGAGAGAGAGAGAAAGAGAGAGAAAGAACGTGTTCTAGAGTGTCGACCGAGAAAGCGAGATCAACCTCAACCTCAACCTCGACCCCAACGACCTTGAACATTACCGCGGGGGAAAAGGGGAGATCTGCCATGTCATGACAACGCCCCAGTCGCCTCGAGCAGGTCGACGTCTGATATATGGAAGGGGAAAAGTCCGTTGCGTCAGTCGAGTTCTGGTCGGGCGCCTTTGGGCAGATTTGATTTCAACGATAAGTCCCGGTGAAGGTCGGGGGTGTGGAATCACTCATTCTCAACGACTTATGCAGTCGACATCTCGACAGAACGAAGGACGCACGACGGGTCATGTCTTGTACGCTGGCCATTCAGGTTGGCCAAAAACCAACGACGACGGCGAGAAACGGGCATAGGTGGAAACGTGGTAAAGTAGTAACAGGACATTCATTTCCTTTATGGCTCTGTTCAATAGGCAATAGTACAGCACCATCCCACTCCAGGGAGCAGCACTTCCGTGATAGGATCGTCAAAGCTTCTCGTCTTGTCTCGGCATCTTCATTTTCTTCGGTGCCCTTTTCATCCTCGTTCAGCCAAACATCTCGTCAAAGACCATAAATCTCACCGACCAAGTCGAGCCGTGGTTGATGACGCGTTGGCAATGTGCAAAGAAGCCCCGAGTCCAATTGACCTTGTCACAAGGAAAAATTTACAAATTCTTTCTTATGGCGGCCTCGAGAGCGTGCTTGTTGGCACCGACAACCTCGGCGACCTTCTCGCCGTTCTTGAAGATCATGAACGTGGGCATGGCGCGCACGCCCAGTTCCTGGGCGACATCGGGGACTTCGTCCACGTCAACCTTGTAGAAATCGACCTTGTCCTTGAAGTCGTCCGACTCGGAGAACTTTGCGACTTCGGGGGCAATGACTTTGCAAGGACCACACCAGGTGGCGAAGCAGTCGAGGACGACAAGCCTGTCGGCAGGGGCTTGCACGATCGAGGTGTTGTACGAGGATTTGCTGTGGATGGGGTTAACACCGTACTTTTTGGCAGGTTTGGGAGCATTGCGAGCTTGCTCCTCACGCAGCTTGGCTTGATGGTAGGCTACGTACTCTGCAAGGTTGTGGACGACCATTTTGGACGATGATTGAGAAAACTGGGTGGAGTGTGTGGTAGAGAAAGAACGGGTCAAGGCAGTTGTTCTAGCTTGGAGGGCGGATTGAGGTCCAAGTAACAGGCGCTGGAAGTTGATGGAGGAGCGGATTGAGGCGGCCAGCGTGAAGATTATATAGAGAAATAGAACTGCGCAACGGAGGATTTGTGAGGCTGAAGGAATCTAAGCTGGGGAGGGGTTGGACGGTTCGGCTGGACTGGACGATGAATGGTGTAAATGAGATAAAGGGGGGGTAGCGGGTGGTGGATGGTTGGCGGTGGAAGGGCGAAGAGTGAGTGAAAAGATGACGCGATTAGAAATCCAGATGAACAAGTTTACCGTGTAGCTCCTCAGTATTTGAATTTTTGGAGACGAGGAACTCGGGGGGGAGTCAGTGAGAGAGAAAACAGCGAGGGATTCCGTAGGCACCCATAGGCAGAGCCCGAATGGATGACAATTGTTGACGTCATCACGTACGCAACACGTGATTAAGCGATTGGCGGATTATCGGTTACTCCGAAGCCCGGACAAGGTACTCGGCGACACGGCGCTTGATATTATAATTGCCTCGTACCTTGTAGTGTTTCCTAATACGGAATACCTTGTATTTCGTAATTCCACCCCGAGTCCTGCACAAGACACCTCGCCGTGTCCAGAGTCCAGGTATACATACATGTAGGCCGATTTCAACACTTACCAAAGATGCTAAGTCCGTCAGTCGTGGTTCAACCCCCATCGTAGCGGACTGTCATCTCTTCGGCAAATCAATTGCTTCATTCCGCAGCTATATACCCACGCTCTCTTAGCCAGACTCTCTCCTCCCGCTAATTGTAATTCAAATCATGTTCCGCCAGAGAACAAGGCAAGTGCTTTGTGTCCTCCATTATAAAAAGAAAACTAATGTTAAAAGAGCGATCTGGGGTATCAATTTTTTGCATCGTGAATGTCATAGGAATAATCACCGTCCAGACGGTGATCCCCCGCGGTCGACAATTGGGATTTTACTTCCACAGGCCAAAATATAGAAATTGGACAAAGGAAATGGAAAAGGATAGTGTTCTGTTGCTTTCGACACAGCTGTTGTCACTCTGGCGGTGGTAATGGAAGCTGCTCTCGCTGTGGTGGTGGTACACTCTGAGAAACGCTGGCACTTCGGGGTGCACTCTCCGACTGGGTTGAGGATCGTCGAATGTCCAGTAACCTTGCGCTGCCAGCACTGATATGCTTCGCATGGCCTTTGTAGTCCACGCTTCTGGCGCGTAGGAGTGTAGGTTCCTGTGTTTCCACTCCCCCAGGTTCGCCTTCTGCAAGTTCGCCTTCGTCCTCCACATCCGAGCTAGCTTTTCGAGATACGTCCAAATCGTCCTTGCCTGTCTCCTTGAGCAATCCTTCCTTCGACCTTGCTCGAGTGGGTTGCCGAACCACGGTGGCTTGGCGGGCGATCCCGGCGTGCCATCTCTCGTCCGCACCTTGGGCAGCTGGCATGTGAGGCATGTCGGGAACGGGGCTTTGCTGGCGCTCCCGCTCTAGATCGATGACATTACTGCTTGCTCTGCGCCCCGCAGAAGCCACCGAATCTCGACGCCCACTTGGGCCCCGGGACAACTTGTTTAGGTATTCGTCGTTGGCGAGGTCGTCGTCTTCTGGTTCGAAAGACCCAGGAATTGATTGCGGAGGAATCGAGGACTGGCTTTGTCGGAGTGGGTGCCCCATACCGCCTGAGAGCCTCTTGGGAGGCTTTCCTGATAGCCAAGACCCTTCCGAGTCAACAGAAGCCAGGGATTGGGACAAGCCCGCGCCCGAGGCGGTCCCGCCCATCTCAATGTCACCACCTTGAGGATGGCGACCTTCCGCTGCCGCATGATCCAGTGCTGCATTACTCGAACTGGTGGCTAGACTTCGATTGTCCAAAGTCCCTGATACCGAGTGTCGCGGTTGCCTAGATCCCTGAGCTGCTTGTGGGCTAGCCATCACTTCTGGGGACTGAACACGAGAGTCTGGAGGCGAAATGGGAAGTTCGGGCAGATCCTCGCGGAACTTGGACATGGTTCTTCGTGGCACCGAAGAGGAGTCGGATTTTCTAAACGTGCGCGGAACCACCACGGGTGGAAGCTGTTGCTTTCGTGCAGCAAACGACTCGCGTGATGTGTTCGAGAACTCGGACGGTGTGCTTCGACCACGGTCAACATTGCCGCCTTTTCGTCTCCCTCCACGCCTGAAAAAGCTCGTCCAGGAGCTGAGCTGTTGATTGCTTTGGTCCGAAGCGCGTCGATCAAGCGATCCATATTCTGGAATGTCTGGTGTGATTTCGCGAGCGAGTCCACTCGTTTGAGAAAGACTTTGCCGATCAACAGGCCCTTGCGTTGGAGAGGTAGGAGGGGAAATTGTAGTCGCCTGAGACGCTTTCTCCTCGGCCCTGGCTTGAGCTGCGGAAACTGTTCGAAGAGGCGATTTGATCGGCACTGGGGGTTCTTCATCTCCCTCGTGGAGGAACGATTCTTGTGTGAGATCGATATCTTGCTCATCTTCGAATGGATTTCTAATTTGCTGCACGGGCCGAGCTTGTAGGCTTCCTGGATCTGCAAATGGATCGGTTGATTGAAGCGCAGAACTTGGGGATTTGCGTGCGACAGCGGATTGCGACGTTTCTCCAGCATTACCAAAAAGCGCACGACCCCTTCTTTCAATGTCCTCGTCGGGGACTATGAGGACATCATTGTTTGCGCGGCGACCACGCATTTCCTCCTCGCGCTGCCTATCAGCCTTTCGTTGAAGCTTCTTCTCCAAACGGGCACGGTCGGCCTCCTTTTTCCTTTCCTTACGTTTTCGATCCCTCTCCATCAACTCTCTCAAGCCTCCTGCGTCGAGCTCGTCCGCTAACTCATTTATCCTTTTCCTCGATGAGGGGTCCTCCTCTTCTATGGCTTGCTGCACCGAAGGTTTTACTCTTGCTGGTTGCTTTCCAGCCGAAGGCCGTGGATTTGCCACGTACGTAAGCGTGGGTCTGGGGCTCAATGCTGCCAGGATCCCGATCTTAAAAGACGCTTGGTTGGAAAGGTCTTCAGACTCTTGGATTGTTTCCGGCAGCGGCAAGGACACCTCTGACGTCGGTCGTTGAAATCTTCTGTTTAGATCACCCGGAATCTGTTTGGTGTCTCGTCGAAGTGGCCCAGACCCGGAGTATGTGGTTGGCCTTTTCAAGTTCTGGATTGGCGAGCTCATGGCACGCACCTCCCTCTCACGAGCATAGTCCTCGGCCTTTCTCTTGCTTGACTTTCTCCGGTGAAGTGTCGGATCGTAACCTGGGCGTCTGGCTAACAGAGTGGGAGCCTGCGGCAGTGCCGTGAAATCTTCAGGGCCAATACTTGTCTGTGACATTGGATTGTGAGAATAGATGTCACTCCTTTGAAAGCCACCACCTGCGTCGTAGGAGGCCTTTTTGTAGCCGAGTGACTCGGGTGTGGGTACGCTGATGGGTAACGTCTGGGCTCGGGGGACATTCCTGGGATGAGAAGGAAGTCGCTGTTTCGAAAGCCTTCGAGGCTTCTCGTCTTGCCCGCGTTGACTTGCTGTGCGGCCCATGGTAACAATTTCTTGAGAAGAGCTTGTATTTGTTCGGGGCCGGAGATCTGTTCGTGTTTTCTCCAAAAGTGAGTGTCGTCCTTGGTCTTCGCCTTGAGTCGCTCGGCCTTTTTTGCCTCCACCAAATGGCCAAAAGCCCATGCTGAGCCCAGCGGTACCAGATCAGAGGACTGGAAGGGGGAGGAGTGTGGTTAAGGGACAGAGCTGAGTCGAGGTGGAGGTTCGCAAACCCTGAGTAGAGACATCAACGACGACCCGACTGGCGCACGACAGGGATTTCAATGTAGGAGTAAGGAGTCAGGGCTGTTCGACCAGCCGTGGCACAGGCGGTTTCGAAAAGGTGATGTTGTTATTTCAAACTCGATTGTCATAGGGGCGGCAACGCCACGCAGTCGCGGTCGCAATGCTCTGTTGTCCTTGACGAGAGGGACAATCGGATGGATGATCGGTACGTCGAGACAGGTTGATTGATAATTAATTTATGGAAAGGCGAGTACCGAAGGGTGAAATGGGCGTTTGAGATAGAGCGGGTGATGATTCGTAGAACAACAATAGAGAGCGCTCTGTGCTGGGCAGCTTTGGAATGAGCGTGACCTGAACAATGGTGGAAAAACGTGGTAGAGGAACGAAGCGAGGCAACTGGGACGCAGGTGCTTTGCTGGTCTGGCGGATGGCGAATGGATCAAAGCAGTGCAGAAGTGCCAGTGACGAATGGTGACGATGATGTCGAACGATGAGCGAGTGGCGGGCGCGGCGGCAGTACACAGTAGGGGACCGACCTCCTTAGAGGCATGCAGGTGCTAAAAAGAAAAACAACTGGAGGCGAAGAGCAAGTCTGTTGGCAGGTTAAGCTACGGACTACGAGTATTTAGTCTTGCAGACGGGGTAGCCCTGAGGCGTGTTTGGTCGGCATGCTACTGAGAACTGTTAGGCGATCGATGCGGGCTGGAGTGGGGCACATTGATGCCCATGGTGCCCGTGGCGCCCGTGGGCCATGGCAGAACTGAAGCCCACAATAAGCCCATCCATCAGCCAACAGCCGCACCGTTTCAGGGAGGCACCCGAGCGCCCCCGGGGAGGGGTATCGCAGCCACCTAACTGCCCTACCACGCCTACCTACCAACATGCGCCTCTCTCGAAACCTCCTCCGTCACCTGCCACTACCTACTCGAAAAGACCGGGCACTGGAGCCAGTGATGATCCTCTACCCGTACGAAACTAGTTTTTCGCTATTAAGTGATCCGTTGAAAGTCGATGCAGATCACGCGTGGGAAAGTAGGTCATTTGCATCACAGCTATTGTTATTTCAAGGTGCTCCATCAGAGATCAACCTCATCTGCATGAAGCGGGAATCACAACAGATCTGGCACCTCGCATTGGTCAACCACCATGATCCGGGGGATATTACTCCAATCATTCGTGGCCGCCTGTGCCGACCAGTGCGAGGGCTCAAAGGCTCTTGCTCATTGAATTCATCTCCTCTTCTTACTCGTACAGCTTTGATTGAAGCTAACTTGGTGCCAGGAGCAAAGTTTTACTGCTCTCTCCTTCTTTCTTCCACAGTCGGCGCTCGTATGCCAGATTGGTTCTTTATGGCAGCCATGGTTAATCCCTTCAGCCAGGATACGAGGTTCCAATTCCCCGTGGCCAGGGTGTACGCGACGGGAAGCCGACAGGAAGTCAGGGGACGTCTTGCTGACATGCAAGGAACACGGCAGACGTTAAGGCACAGGTACAACCGTCGCCCTGGAGTGTACAAAGCAATGCCACGAGTCACAGCAGTTATTCCTGTCAGCGTGTCCATGCAGCGAAAAAAAAAGCCCCCGAGACTGTTGTGGGAGCGCGGGGCAAGAGGAAGCCAAAGCGGACAAATCAAGAGCCTCCTCAGCACAACAAACCTACCATCGCACTACACCCGTGGTGACTCTCCAAAGGCGTGAAGAATCATGCATCCGTCCCAGTTGTTCCTCTCAACCTTTGCGAATGGTTGTCTGCCAGCTTGCAAGGCCAAAATACGCGTTGATTCTTGTTTGCTACGTCGATGACGTCTACCAGGGGTGGTTGGCATCTATTCCGTATATTCCCTGCTTTGCGTCCCTAAGCCACCTGCAACGGACTTTGATAGCTTGACAAGACCGTCCAGGTACCCGAGCCAAGTCTCTCTTCCAAGTCGAATGGACCTCCAATCCCTGCCTAGCTGACTAGTTCTAGCTGGTAGCCGGTTCATGGATGCGGCGTGCGTGGCCGGTTCCTGCATCTGATCGCTTCCTTTCCAAGCGCATGTCTCAGACTCGACAACCCTGCCTGCTTCTCGACACAGCGGATGATCTATTTCGGATATCCTGACCAGTAATCGCTATCATTCTTGCCGGGCCTTACCTGCACGACTCCCGCATTCGGCGCCTTGGAACCATAGAGTATTGATGCATAATATCCGAACGAGGCCGGAAACACAGCGAGAACGAGGAAGCAATCGAGGGGCCGAGGCAGGAGTTAGAATCCGGTTTGGGGGCCACGGGGAACGCCATTTGTCCTGCACCTCGAACAAGAACTCGAAGCTATGTGTGTAACTAGCGGGTGTGGCGCCTCACCACCGGAGCATTTTCAGCCGCCAGTGGCGCCGACCTTGTGTCTGTCCTTGTCGGCAATCTTTCGATCGGCGAGTCAAGGTACGCGTACGAGGTACTTGGTATCCCTGCTGTCAGGTCACAGCAATTCTGCATGCGGAAACGGGTTTCCAACCGTATGTCGCAGTTTCACCCAGAGAAAGTGCTCGTGCTCATGGCCCAAAGACAGTTGGTGTTTATGCATTTAGGTTTGATCAATCAATCTCCAGACAATGAATAGTATGACTTTTCGAGATCGCACATATGCTGATAGATCGAGACTCCGGGAGATGGTACCGAGATGAGCGATGTCGCCGTGGCCTACTCGTAATCTTACTTTCACTACCTCGCACTTCTCTCCCACTAGTCGACTCTCATAGTCTGGCCTTATTCTCGAAAACTTCGTCCACCAATTTCACGGCTGCTTTGGAGCAACCATACGACGACTGATACCCGGCGCCTGTATAGCGTCAGTAACAAACGCGACATGGCCCTGCGTCGGGAAGCTGGAGTGGAACAGAACGAACCCAGCCATGTTATGGAGATGGGTAGGGAATGTTCATGTCAAAGAGACCGGCTTCCGGCTCGAAGGAGGGCAAAACACAAGGGAACGGGACGTCACTATCACTTACCGCCTGCACCGTAGTTGTGAACCGTCCAAACACCGTTGATTTTCTCCTTTTCAATTCTTGTTCCTCCTTCCCGCACGGGTCTCAGACCGACGCCATGTCGGATTATGTCGAGGTGCTCAATGCCCTTGCCTCCAGTCAACTCGGGGCAGATGGCGACGCATCGTTTCATGATCCTGATTGCGAGATTCGGATCGGGCTGTGACTCCCAGTTTCCTTTTTGATAACAACCACCCAAAATAGTCCCGCCACCAGCTGCCCGAGTCATGATATAGCAGGCTTCATCTGGGCCGTCATCGGTTCCGGACGTTCCATACATTGCGGGCGCTGAGTTCCTGACCACAACAATCTGGCCTCGCGCAGGAACAACCGTCTTGTCTTCAACACCACCGAGTTTGGCCGCAGAAAGTCCAGTACAGTTGACAACAAGATCGGCCGGGCGTCCTGAGTGATGGATGCCAGGGTCGGCCGCGTCGGCAATGTGTTTAAACACAGCTCGCTTGACAACAGCCCCATTCTTCAGACATTGGGATACGAGCCATGGCAGGTATATTGCGGTGTTAATACAGACAGACGTGAAGCACGTGGCGTTGTCTATCCCCGGCTGAAGCTCCGACTTTGGGATTTCGCGAAACTGATAAGGCCGGAAGTGAGCATCTCAGTCGAGGTAAGAGGGACTGTATCGGATACAGCGACTCACATCGTCGAAAAGAGTGCTGAACCATGGGTCAGGCTTGACCAGGTCAGCAAACCACGCAGCCGTAGCTGAGGAGACGTCCTTTTTCCGGTTATAGATCTCTGTTCTCTGGAAGTGGACGCCTGCCTCGGGATGGTTCTTTGCCAAGTCAAAAAGTGGCTGCCAGGTATTCCTATCCCACTCTTCTGCCGGCGTCCCCTTTGCTGATACCCTGTTGTTTCATGTTTCAGCGAGAGTGTGACATTTCTGTAAGGAGATAAGGTTTCGACTCACGGCATATAATTTGCGCCAGCCCAGGGCGAGGCATATTCGATGTCGTAGTCCCCAGGCATATGCTTTGCAGCAATTGTGACCTTGTATCGTGGATTTTGGGACAACAGGAAGGCTGTGGTCAGGCCAGCAACACCCGCTCTGCATGTGCGTTAGGCTACGCTCGTAGTGAGATGGTTGAGTCACCTGTGCCTACCCTACGACGACAATGTTTTTGTCACTCATTGTGACTGGTCGTAGCTGTCAGTGAATTGAACCTAGGAATGCAAAGACAGGCAGAAGGGCCCAGTAGTTCGGATCCTATTGTTTGGGAGCCCAGTAATAGGAGTTCTGAATAGGTCAGTTTCTGCCGCACTGGTGTAGCCGCGAGGATAAGGTAAACAATATGATGGATGAGGACCCTCCAAGTCGAAGAAGATTTTCCGAGTCCTGCACCTCAGCCTTCTCTTTTAAGACAGTGCCATCTCTCATGCATCTTCTGAAAAAAGACAGCAGAAAACTACTCCTAGTGTACTCACAGGGCGTCCAGACCTTTAGACGCAGGAAAAACATACGGAGAACGCAGCTTCACAAGAGTTTTGCTTGCACCTTGACACCCACACACACCCCCACCACTTCCTCAGGTACAGCTTCTGTCACTTGTCAAACCACGATAACCAGGCCTTATCAGTTAGTGTCCGCCAACCTCCTTGCCTAGCCCTTGCAGCCCCTCCTTCAATCGCCGGAGACGGGCGCCCTTTTACCCGCTTGGGCAGCTTAGGCGACGGCCATTGCCAGTTCCACTCATTTCAGAAGGTAAGCCGCAGCCAAACAAGCAGGCCATGTTTTGAGTTGCACTGCTTGACTGTGTCCAGCGTGGCCCCCCCTCTCCCCAAAGCCTAAGTGGCATCCTGTGGGCAATTGGGCAAGACCGCCTTTATCCCCCTAGTTACTGCTGTTTGACGTGGTCTCAGCAATCATCAGGAAACCCCTAGCAGGCGACCACTTTGTCGATTTCAACTCTGCCTCATTTTGCAGGCCCCTTGTCATGTCGTTGTGATCATCCACCACCTCTTTCTCCTCTCTTTCACCTCTTCCAAATGCTTGGGTCAATGGATCGGGCTCGATCATGGCTGACCATGCATTCACACAGCTTCCCAGCATGGTTCGAAAGCCCAAGGCTGTATGGCCCGGCCTGGCCAAGATGGGCATGTACCAGAAGCAGATAGCAGGCGACGGTATAGCATCGCTCTCTTCCCTTATCTCATTGCCTCTTTCAGTCTGACTCGATCCCAGGCAATTGTCTGTTTGCATCTCTCTCCGACCAACTCTACGGGACTCCGGCAAAACACCCCGAGATACGTGCAAGTATCATTGACCACATGCGAACCTATCGTCCGCTTTTCGAACAATATGTCCATAAAGATGACGTGCAACAACGAAGGACTCTCCGTTCTGCTACATTGGCCTCTCGCCAGGAGCCAGAAGACGCGTTCGAGGAATATTTGTCTCTCATGTCACGGAGCGGGACCTACGGCGGAGAGCCTGAGCTGGTAGCCTTTTGTCAGGTCTTCGACCAGGATGTCACAGTGCATCTCCCACGTATCCAGAATTTCGACAGAGATTCGATTCTCTACACGAACGAGCACCGAGGAGAGCCCGCTTCTGTGACACCACTTCACATCTGCTATGGCGGAGATGAGGTCACGCGAGCACACTACGACTCAGCTCGAAGCAGGGATGGTTCCACTCCACGGCACAAGAACAGCCCTCTTCTCAAACCCCAAGACACGTCTCGCAACGCCACTGTTAGCTCGCCTTCGCCACATCTCCTCCTCAGTACTAGAGCGATCCGGAGCGGCAAGGCGGAACTATCATCTGAGTTCATCCAGGACTTCCTGCAAAAGAGCAAGAGAGACACAGAGAGCAATGTGGACCAGCTCAGTGACAAACACCGCGCCCGAAGTCCTTCTGTAACCTCATCTCAACGCAGCTCGAGCTCCAAGAGATCATTGGATGAGGACGGAGAGCCTGTTCGTGCCAGCAAAAGGGCAGATAGACGGAAAAGCACCAGGAGGCGTGCAGATATGGCTATTGTGGTCTGTGACCCAGACAATGAACTCTCCCCGTCAATGCCAAATGGCTCGCCCGGTACGGATACACCACCAAGCACGCAAGACACGGAAACATCCGCGGACATGCCGGCTCAAGAGAATATCCATTCCACGATCAAGGCCAAGCCTCTTGCAACGGAGGAAGGCACTGGCCCTGAAACTGTTGCCGACCCTGCGAAGCCACCACCGAAGAGTCAGCCTCGCATCTCATTCAGTCTCGTCAGCAACAAAGCAGTAACTGCCTCCGAGTCGTCCAGCTCAAGATTGATGTCGGTTGCCGAGAGGCCTAAACCGACATTGCGAGCATAGGAATTGTACCGGAGTACAGGTTGAGGTCACTTGTCCAACAGTCTTGGTGAGGTTGTTCTGCATAGCACGGGTTGGCCTGTTTTGATACCCCAGCATAGCATAGCGTCGGCGGCACATGGCACATTACAAGAATTTCGGTCAGGGAATGGGCCCTTTTTAGAGATCAGACCGTGGTTAAGATGCCAAATGATTGATGAGAACAATGGACTTAGTTTAGTAGAAACAATCATCGCTCAAGGGCATGAAGTAAAGGAAAGCAGCCCTTTGGATGATGGCTACCAGTCTTCTAAATTTCCGCGTAATAAGCGGGCAATGTGAGCCACTTGAACAAACAAATCGAGTTCAGGCTTCCATCATACCCAAAGCTCCGTTGAGGGTCATGTTTGATTACAGACCCTGAGGAAGGATTTCGGCAGAGGTTGACGGGCTCTTGGCATACGTGTGGGTTACCAGCTTCCACCTGTTACTCTGTCCTCCAAAGCAGCTCGGCAGCTTCCCCTTTGTTGTTGTGGCCTGCGATGCGCACTTAGATTCTGCTGGGTTTATTCACTACTTCTTGTTACAACCCTCGCAACAGGCTACAGACTACTCGGGAGAGCATCCCTTCACCACCTCAGCCTCCCTAAGACTCTCACGCTCGAGCCCTGTGCAAGCTGCGCCTGGGCCATCATCATGGACTTCTCCAACATATTGTACGTTTTCCAATTTACAGCGGGTTTATGCCGTGCGCACTGCTGGTAGTGTTTTACGCTCTCGTGCTAATTACAGTCTGTAGCCGACTGGTCAACCTGGTCGTGGGAGCGATTATGGTCTTGGGAGGTATGAAATGAGTCCAATCTCGTCACCGATGCAGCCGTCAAGCACTCATACTAACAAGGCAACAGGAATCAGCCAGTTCATCCCTATTGGATTGTCGGTTTTGCCCTCCGTCAACGTTTTGCGCGGATACTAAACATACGGTAGTCGAAGTATCATTGTGGGCATCTACGTGATCATCTTTGGATTGGGTATGAAAGAGACTGCTTCAATATCATGCTCTTGGGAAAACTGACTGGATACACAGCTATCGCCGGGCTGGAACTATTACCGCAAGTTCCACCGTATCTGCCCAAATACGCCAGCTTTCTATTTTCCTTCCTCGGTCGCGGCATCTGTCAGTCCTCCTAGCTCCCCCCTCGACTGGAGATCCTAACATTGCGCAGTCTACATCTTCGTTGGTTGCATCATTCTCGAGGGCCACGTTTTGCGAATTATTGCTGGTACCATTGTTGCTGCGATTGGCGTCGGTTACTGCGCGCTGGAGTTTGCACCCTCGATTGAGCCACCGTCCAACATGCGTGACGCGGATGCTGGTTGGGGCGCTGAACAGGTCTAAGGTCCCACAGATGCAGATTGTCGATTCAGGACCAATCGTTGTCACGGTCAATGTATTTTAATGTTGGTCAAGTTTTGGTCTGGTGGGCTGGCAGGTAGGTGGTGATGCCAGATCAGCAATCATCGGCAGGCGAGGAGTGTGAGGATAACCCTCGGAGTCATTAGAGTGATTGTTGTGGGAGCAGAAAAGGGGTGCACAGACGGGCCTGGAATATACGATCAGGCGCTTATGGTGGTGGTGCTGTTGTCCAGGCTCTTGCGGTGTTGGTATTCTCCAAGCTCTGACATACGGGTAACGGGATCAAGGATAAGCAGAGCCACTGTCTAATATGAAATCGAATTCGACGACGACAATCTAGCCATAGGAATTGCCGAGCAGACGCTCGAGTGGCCAGGTTGTCGTCTTGATGATGTTTCAAAAGTTCAAGTATTGACTACACTGCAGTAACTACGCTGGCTGTCGACAATCTCATAGTCAACTATTTCCAGTCCGTCAAGTAAATTGCTCTGCTCCCAAGACGTTGTCATTCACGAAGTTCGAGAAAACCGTCTTATGTGACATGCCGCCGCCGCCTTCCGGAAAAGATCTGGGGAGCGGGATCCAGATTCATTCTCTCCCCCCCTGAATTCCTCAGCTTTGTTCGTGTGCCTTACACTCCTGCTTCGTGCGCAGCAATTTGTCTTCGTCCACCTGAGCTATGGAACTGTTCGAGATGTTTATCGGACACCTTGAACCTGGCGATTGTCAACCAGTGGTTTCTCGGTGGAGGCGCCATTTCACAGATTCAACAATGCAACTCAGCCAAAGTCTCATGCCGTGAGGAGTCTGATCACTATTCTGTGCTGTCAAGGGGCATATCGAGGGATTGCTTGGCTCAAGTGAGGCCCTCACACACAGGCCCTACGTGGCAAGAACAACCTGTATACTTCAAGCAGCCTCCCCCTCAAGAAAGAATGACAACCCGAGACTTGGGAAGAGGGGGACCCACATTCATTGTTCGGGTATTTGCAGAGGGCAGTGCATGTCTTCTTATGATACAAGGAATGCAAAGAAGATAACACAGACAGTGCGCGCGCCCTTGCAGAAACCTGTCCCCAAACCTACGTATCGGGACATCCAGCTTGCTTTCTCACAAAAAGGGGCAGGTACTGAAGGCTTGTCACAGCATGGACAAAGAGACTACGCCATGGAGGCGGTGACAGAAGAGATTATGCCCGCCTGAGACATGGATGGGTTCTAAGGGCAGAGCGGTAAGTGGCTCTGTCATGGGAATGCTGATCACAAACTTGGAACGCAGCGTGGACCAGGGCAACGATGGGACCACATTACATCTGCAGATGTCTTCGATAATCCCTTGTTGTCACAAAGGCTCTGTCGGGTATAAGTTCCCTCCCGTGTGTCTGCTCTTTATCGTTGCTCTTTGTCAGTTTCTACAATCCGGTTTGCAAGTAAACCCTTGCGCGCCACAATCTCCGTCCAAGGCTGAAACTGTTTGCAACGGGATCTAAGGCAGGACCACAATAGAAGGAAACCTGCGTGCTATGGACGGGACAAAGCAACCATCAGATGCCGGTGCGGCCATCTCTACAAATACCGATCAACCTCTCCATCAAGATGGATGCCCCTTTGTCGATCACGAACCACAGAGTCCATCGAAGACATCACCAAATACCGTTCAACGCAAGAAGCATTGCGCCTGGTGCAATATGGATGCGTATTACGTTGCGCAAACCCGTCCAGGCGACACTGGCCCGGACGATTCACGGGCTTCATCTGTTTCGGATGAGAATCGCCCTTCACCATGCTACACGACATTCTCCGGAGTGACGCTTGATCAGACAGGGCGCGGGCAGCTGTCTGAATTCCATGGCCTTGAGAATGACGGGACGGTAGAAGAATGGAATGAGGAATGGAAGGCCGTGGCGAATGAGGTTGGGGGATCTGAGGTGCGTCTTTTATCCGAGCTTTCGATATCAATCACTGACATACCCACCCTGTTAGAAACTGGAATCTCGTGTCAAGATTGGTCTTGCAGCCGTCCGGATCAGAGTCGGGAATGACCATCTGCAAGGCTTTGAAGGACAGACCGCAGAGCTGTCCGGTTTTCGCTTGTCTCAAGACCTGGTCATCACCTGTGCTCATTTCACAGACTGGAGTCTCCCGGGGAACAAGGTCGAATTCTACTTGAATGGCCAGAATGGCATTTGCGAAGCGATACAAGCAAGGAAGTCTAGAGCAATTGGTAAGTCTTCATCCGCAATGTCACAACCACATATGCACCACTGACCGGGTCCTAGGTCACAAAGGTCGTTTGACACTCCACCTCTGGGCCATCCACGAAGCATGGGACATTGCTGTTTTTCGAGTCACAGGCTGGCCAGAAAACAACAGCAAGCTGTCCGTTCTCACGAAACAGGACATCTATTCGGTTGCCCCGGAGGAATGGGGCCAGTTGAAAGCCGGTTCAACGGGGCGATTCTGGTCAATTGGCTACAATCTTGCTGTCAACATGGAGGAACTACGCGAACGTTTCGCAGAATTCCTCTCGAGACGTCAGCAGGACGAGAAGGCGGAGATCAGCCAACGCTATGTAAGTCACAATCTCCAACCCATCGGCTTCTTATCTGATTCTGTCTCGACAGGAGTTCAACGATGCGAATCCACCCGGGATTGAGTTTCTTCAAGCGAACAGACGGACTATCAGCTTTGGTATGAAGATGGGAATTCCATCCCAAACGAAAGAACACCAGGCGTGCGCTGAATTGAGTGCATGGTACGGACGATCAGGCTCAATGGTTTGCGCTGAGAAAGATGGGAGGTCGGTCGTCATCGGCATTGGTAAGTTGCGTTCTACGTCGTAAAAGGGGAAGACGGGAGCTGACAGAAAACCCTACCAGTCCAAGGAGGCGAGCAGACCTCTGACGGCAACCTGATCATGTTGTTCAACACGAACATGCAAGAATGGTGGACTGCCGCCACTGAGCTGGGGAATAGCGCAGGTGCGCAGGACATCAGCAAGCGAGTCGTCATGCGTTAGATGGTGTTATCAGCAAGGCCGACACCTGAGAAAAGGTGGCATCTCGTCCATCAGACAGAATCTCTTTTGGGAACAGCGGTCAAAATTGGGTCAAGGATCAAGGAATGCTGGATGAGGAAATGAGCGAGGGCGACGTGGTCTGAACACTAGCACACCACGTGCACACTAGTCAGCAGTCTCTTGCCATCATCGGCTAGTACTATTCGAGTAGTCTCTAGGCTGGATGCCTCGTAATACGAGGGTACAATGACACTATCCTATTCTTCACGTGACTCATCGCCGCGCGGCCACGTGACTTAATTTTATCAATATCAGCCAATCACAAGACAGGTGTTTGATATTACGCCAGCACCATGCGCGGAGTGGGTGTCGCGCCTCATGGAATTCCTCCCCCTCGACTGCATCTGTGCCGTCACTCTCCCTCTCTCAGAGGTTCCTGGGGTATTGGTTTGACATGGGTAAATGCGGCTTCTCGACTTCTCGCCAAATCGCTCATTCTCCTATCCAACTTGCCGAGTCACCTCACTATCACTTGTGAAGCCCCCGATATTTCAGCTCAGAGCCCACCGTCTGAATCAACCGGCTCTCTCCAGTGCTCTTCGTCTTACCAACACCACTTTCAACAGTTGCCTACATTCGTCCTGGGTAGGACGCTTCCCTCATACCTAGCCAACCCCGTCAGAATTGGCCATCTCATCGGTCCTTGGATCTCTTTCTGGCGGATTTGGCTACTGTTCTCGCCTCCTTATCCCTTCGATTGTCGCTTTCCCCTGAATGGCGTGTGCCTCCTGCTAACAAGGCGCCCAAAATTGGATCGGCATGTTGGCAGTACGCGGTGCTATGGACCCTTTGCGCCGTCGCACCTCCTTTGGTTCCGACGAAAAGAGTTTGATGCGTCAACCCTCTGCCGAAGACATCGATGCTGCTCATCAGCTTGTGTCGTCTGCACTGGGTGAACGTCATGGTTCCCACCTGACCCATGAAAATAATGCGGGTGATATCGCCCTCCGCCGTCTTCCTCTGGGCCAAACCAGTCACAGACCAGAATCCTCTGAAGCACCGCTATCATCCTCAGTTGAACACGCCGAGCAGAGAGGAGATATTCCGGGTCTGGGTCAAGTCTGCAGGTATGCCATCTTTGCGCGAGTACGCCCACGTCCTGATGTCAACTCGCTTCGCGCTGGTGTTGTCGCTAATATAGCTGTAGCAATTGCGGAACGACCAAGACCCCGTTATGGCGACGGTCTCCCACCGGACACACCATCTGTAATGCTTGTGGGCTCTACCTGAAGACGCGTAACGCTCCCAGGCCCACAAACTTCAAGCGTCCAAACTCAGCCGCCCCTCCTGAAAGTCCTCGCCAGAGAATTACGGCATCTCCAACCGCTTCAACAGTATCGGCATCAGCACCAAGCCAGCCCTCGAGCGTTCCATACCGAGCTCCAGAGCACATCACTGGCTCGTGTCCAGGTAGAGGGGAATGTAACGGAGCAGGCGGAGCCGAGGGCTGCGGAGGATGTCCTGCGTACAACAACAGAGTCGCTAGAACTGCTAATACGTCGGTGGTACCCGACTTACCGGTCGAAGATGGGAACGACTCGCAGAGTGAGGCTGGTTTGGGAACGAGCCCAAGCGCAACAAGTCCTGCCACTCAACAACAGCCGTCTCCCGGGAACGCATCCTTACTCGTTGCGTGCAAGAACTGTGGGACGACCGTAACCCCTCTGTGGCGTCGCGATGAGCAAGGCCATCCTATCTGCAATGCGTGCGGCTTGTATCATAAATTGCATGGGTCACATCGCCCAGTACAAATGAAGAAGTCGACGATCAAGAGGCGGAAACGAGTTGTACCGGCATACCCCGAGGTTCTCAAACCAGCCACCACTACTTCTCAACACCACCCGTCGACTTCGCCAGAACCGGCTCTACCAGCAGATGCCCGAGAGCCAATCGCCATCGACAACTCACCCGCGCCCAAGAGGAGACGACCCCCTCCTACAGTGGATTACACCGGATACGTTCCCCAAACCCACCTGGACGAAGCTCCGCAGGATGCGAACGAGGACTATGCCTCTCGACTTCAACGTGCAGCTATTGCGGCAGGAGGCATGCAACTTGACCCCGCACTGGTGGAGGCCGGTCGCCGGCGTCAGGAACAGGATGCCACAACAGCGCAGCCATCCGAAGACAATGAAAACGAGGTGAACGAGCGGGATCGCGCGGTCTGGAGAGCAGAAAGAAGGGCACAACTGATGCGTGAAGCAGAAGTTATGAGGGCGGCACTACGTGCAAAAGAACGCGAGATTGATGATCTCACTTGACGTCGATGACGTGTTCAGGTCCGCATATCCATGCAGCCCTGTTGGTTTATTGTCTATGTGACTCCATGTGGACAAATTTTGGGGACTATCAAAGAGAATTTGGAATGATTTTAACGAATACTTGTTGCACAGCAAGGCGCTGGAGGAAAATTCAGTGGTTTTGCGAAGAGGCATACAGGGACGAACGAAGGCCAGGTTTGGGGCGACATTCGAGTATGCGACACAGTATGCGAACCATCGTGCCCTCCAACACTCACTCGACGCTTCTACACCCAATATATCTTCCCTTCTCATAGGTCAAGTAGGGTTATGCGGTACTGGGTACTGGGTATAGAAGTCCATTTTTGGGCTGGGCCACAAATCGCGGATACGCATCCTCGTTATGTAGGATCCAAAACAAAAGACCATGTATCTCTGCGCCACTCCTCACTTGACTGATCATAAGACTCCCTGGTGATGAGACGAGTCGGTATCCCATTCGTATTCGTATGCCAGACAGAAGCCTTGCCTTGCCATGACGATGTCGGATCTCTGCCCTCTCCATTTTTCCCCGTTCGCCTTTTCTGATGAGCGAGGAGCTGTAAGGTGAGGTAAAAAGGTGCACGGTGCCACAACACCACAGACACCAAACATCCAGCAATGAAGAGTGGAGGCGTGGAGGCGTGGAGGCGTGGAGGCGAAAGTCTTGGGTCCATCACAAACCACCACACGAACGATCAATCATGCTGCGTGGTGGTGTTTTCCATCGAGGCTGAGGGAATATGTGCGGGTAGTTTCGGACCCTGAGCCAGAGCCAGATCCAGAGCCAGCAGAATGGGGGACGGCGGAGGGGAAGAGGGAAATGACCATGTCCTCTTCTCCCGGTGCCGGTGCCGGTGATGGCGATGGTGATGGTGCCACAGCTTTGTCTGTTCCCTTTGTCCACTTCGTCTCCTCCGCTATCCATCCAGATCTGATTCGTCCATGGTTGAGAATCGCGCCATCGCTCCAGAGCTGGCGGCATCAAAAATGAGCTTCGACTTCGAGTTGGATTCTCCATTCAACCCGGTTGGGTTGGTGTGATTTCGCGTGTCCTGGTGTTCGTGTGTGTCGTGCCTTGGCAAATCCGGGCAATCCGGGCCATCCATGTCCCATGGTCTCAGCTCATATCAGTTTGTTTCGATCAACCACTTCGCAGCGTCCAGTTGATACAGCTGCAGCATCAGAACTGTTTGATCCATCATCTTTCATCCGTCATCTCAAAGGCAACTGCCTCATTGATCGTAGTTTGCCACAAAACTCCCAAGCCGTAGTCTCCCACTCTTGATAGTGCGCGCGTAGCATGCTTTTTCTGACAAGGCAAATCAACGAGCGCGTGCCAAATAACATCACCGCCTCTGTGAAGAAAAAGAAACACATCAGAACCACAACTTGATCAGTTCCTCACTGACGGCATTCGGGGTCATGAGTCCGTTTTCCGTGATGAGGGCCGAGATCAACCCCGGCGGCGTGATTTCGACCATCCAATCGTCCACATGCCCTGCAGCGGGTTTTCCATCATTTGGCGGCGGTCTGGAGCCTGGAAACCCTTCTTTCTTCTGACTTCCGGCGTTGGAATCAGGAGCCGCAGTAGTCCCGCCGAGGCCAAAGCGCAACACATTTTGTTCAACCCCCAGTCTTCGAAGATCACTCGGCCCATACCCGAGCGGGAAGTTCCCCACAAACTTGTACGATTCCACGCACACATGCAAGGGGATGGCATAAGTCTGTGCGATAAGTCCGATTTGGTGTGTGCCGAGCCCTGTGACGATGGATCCGTTCTCCAAGACCGCGGTGGCGCCGACGAGGAACTGTGGTGGTGAAGCCGGAGAGGGCGGCAGCGACGCTAGCGCATATGTCAAAGCGTGCAGTGGAATTGTGGTGGTAAGAATAGAAAGGTCCTGCAGCGAGGCGATAGACTCTGCGAGCCGCGATGATACTCCTGTTGGGGGTAACACATAGACGACGCTAAAAGAGCGCTTGGACTCTGCAGCTGCAGTTAGCACGGTGTGAACTACCCGGCTGTATCCGTAGGTAATGATGGTTGAGTCTTCTTTGATGAATGGCAAGGCATGATGGGCGATTTTGAGACGTGCTTCATTGGCGCGTTTCACAAACAGAGACGACTGGGCGATTATGTGATGGCGTAACGCGGTGAAGTCGGATGTCGCGAGCGACGACGGCCGTTGCTGGAAGGAGCTGATCAGGTACCTTTGAAACAGCTCTGTCCCAGCAGAGAGCGGAATCGGGTTGCGTTGTGACTCGAGCAGTCTTCGAGAGTGGCTGGACAGTAGTGCGAGGGTTTCCGAGATGGTTGTCAAGGGCGAGGTCGCGAGAAGGTTGATGAGTGATTCGATCGCTGCAATTGGAGGTGTGATGTTTGGATCGCTCTCAATCAGCGAGTTGTAGGACGCGACGATGTTAAATGTCGTCGAGGGCGACTCTTCAGCTGTTGAGGGTTTGGATGCCATCGCTGGGGCTGATGCTGCTGCTAGAGGTGTAGACGGATTAGCGGACTTGAAGAGCTAGCATAGAGCGTTTTCTTATAGGGCACCGCTATGGATTTCCACATGGGCGAATCTCATTGTGTCCAATTTCCTCATCCATGCCGAAAACATTGGGCAAGGCGAGGTTGAGTCATTGGGAGAAGGGCCAAGGGTTGGGGTAGATGCACTCACCAGCAGCCATGGCAGAAGGCACTATTTTCTAGACGGTACACAGTCGTGATAAGTCTTGCAACTAGTTTCATGCAAAAGTACTTTTGGGTCTTGACTAGATGTGGTGCTGGCAGACCGAGTCGTGGAAATTTTAAACTTCTTTACTTGAGATGTCTTGGATGGAGAGTTGAGATCAGCAAGGCTCCGTCATAGCCTTGTCAGAGTATCTTGGCGTGGGGGCGACGAGCACCCCGCGTCCTTTCCTATTTTGGAAATGTCAACAAAGCAAAACCGATTCTTCTAACGGAGGCTCAATCGCACGTTTCGGTGTCTCTCTCTCCAAACACTTGCATGTCGAGGCCGACAGAGTACATCCTCCACGATCAAAATGAATTCGCAATACCGAACCTCGCTGCAACAGCAGCAACGAGTTAAAAAGAAGGAAGAAGATCCTGCCGATTTCATGCGATTGGTTTGTTGTCTTGCGACCGCTCTCACAAAAGACGTACTGACAGTATCTACAGTCTGAGAAAGAGATCGCGTCATGTATCAGCGAAATGGGCATTCCATTCCAACCTTCCGACATCTTGAGACCCAACCCGCAAGTGATTCAGATGGTGTTCGAGCACCTGGGTGAACTGGTGATGAATGCAACCAGAGACACCCTTGATCCTGCCTTGCGCGCTGCCGCCGAAGACGTTTGCTCCGAGTTTCCTGAACTAGTACCGGTGGAGACGAGGCTGCTTATGGGCTTCTTCGTCCAACTGCGAACCATGCTCGAGCAGTGCGGAATCCATGATTTCTCGTTCAACGACCTTGTTCGTCCGACCCACGATCGACTGGTCAAGATCCTATCATACACCATCAACTTCATTCGATTCCGGGAGACGCATACGAGCGTAATAGATGAAAACTTCAACAAAGCAGAGACCACAAAGGCCAGGATCGAGACGCTGTATGTTGAGAATCAGGATATGGAGCAGAGGCTGGAAGAGATGAAGCGCAACAGAAAAGCGATGGAGGTTGCCGTCAAGGAGAAGATGCGACGAAACGATGAATTGAAAGCACGGCTACTGGAGCTTCGAAAAGGCCAGGAAAGAGTGGCGGAGCACCTGGAACGCGCCAAAGCCGACAAGTCACGCTCCCAGGCACTATTGGAGGACAAGACCGAGAGATTGATACGGGCGCGGCAAGAGAGTGAGAAGTTGAGGCCGTACGTTCTGCAGAGTCCGGCGGCCTTACAGAGCACTTTGACGGAACTCTCCGACAATCTTGTACGGGAGAAGGCCCAAATCGACGCGTTGGAGCGGAGGTGCCGTGCTCTCCAGACATCAGGGGATAGTTTTACGGTTGTTCAAAATGATGTGCAGGCGTGTGTTAAAGTACTCGAGGAGATCGCAGTGGAGCTTCAGAAAGAGGAGGAGGAAGACGCTCGAGCGGCAAAGAATCGCGATGCTCTAGCAGAGCGTGGAAACAATGTGCGCGAAGTGGAACAGAACGAGAAGCTGCTCCAAAGGCAGTTGAAGAAGTGGGAAGAACGCATCGAGGAGTTACGCCGGAAGCACAGAGATCGAGATGAAAGAAACAAGACCAAAATGGACGAACTGAGAGAGATCCAGCGGCAGCTCCGAGATCAAAGGGCTGACAGGGGTCGGGAGATGGAAAGGAGGAAGGTGAGGATCGAGCAGACCGAGAAGAAGGTGAGCGTCGCTCCAACCCGACTACCAGGGGATTCATCTTGCTAACGAACACTTAGATGGCCGATCTCAAGGATAACATTGAACAGGAGGTACACTCGGCGCACGAGGAGTATCTCAAGCTTGAGTCCCACATCAAGCTGTACATCACAGAAATGGAGCAAAGCATGTGATTCGGTGGAATTTGTCACGACGTTTATGAAGGAAATGGCGCTCGCTGCAGAAGATACCCGGTTACGTTGGCTGGCGATTAACTTTTTGGATTAAATGGGCCAGATTGGGCTGGCATCTTTCCCTCTTTGCTCTTCAAACTATCATTTCCTCCTCGGGGCTGTTCCTGGGCCAGTCGACAGGATCATTCTCTTGTCGGTGCCGTTCATTCTGTCCCTCGGCACTGAACCATCTCGATGCAAATTTCATGACCGATATGGTGCGCCGTCCCCAGCTTTGACCGGGTTCTCCTATCTTGATGGCTGCACTAAGGAGTTGGACTTCGGTCTGCCAGAGATTCGGACCTCGATTTGGATTGAAAGGGTCATTGATGTCCTTGCATTCCACTAACTTCACCATGCGATTTGTTCGGTGACCGGCCGATACCGCGGTGGCGAGTGTCTGGGAGAGACCTTGCAGGGTGAATTCGGAGGTTCCGTGGTGCATCGCCAGCAGATTCAGGACAATGATGGGACCCGGAGGTTTGGTTGAAGGAAGTGCAGGCCTTGAGACGAAGCCCGAGAGAAAGCCTCGGAGGATAGGAATGTTTGGACAGAAGATCAGATTGACGAGTTGGCTTGCGCTGAGGACGTGCAGAATCTGTGAGAGGAGGACGTGTCGAGGCTTGGACCAGCGCTCCTCTGACCGAGTGTTCGCCTCTTCTGGGTGCGATGGTGTCTCTACTTCGGACTGAACTTGTCCTTGGTGAAGCTGGGTGACGAGTTGTCCTAAAAAGTCTTTTTTGGACGAACATATTACCAGGTCTGTCGGTGTCAGGCTGGTCTCTCTGATGACATCTTGGAGCAGCTCGGATTCGTAGTCGTAGCGAAGGATGATGGAGTTCATGAAGGAGCAGTGGAATGAGAGGCGCGCTTCGTCCCTTTGGCCATTGTCTCTCTAGAGTGCCCAGACTTTGTCCACCTCGCCTCTTGAGAAGTCATACGCAAAATAGATATACTTGATACCGCGTGAGCAACAAGGTGATGGGCGCTCGTGTGTTCCATCTGGCGCAGGGCTTGGCAATCAGGTACCTGGTACCTCGTAGAACAGAAGGACCTTTCGGCGTTATCAGGCTTGGCATGGGGTTTCCCTCCGCTTAATCACATCATTCATTCTACCACTTTGGTGAACCTGGGCTTTCGGGTTACACAACCATGTTCCGGTGACACAGAGGGGGACTACAAAATTCTTGTCGAGATGGAGTCCATCTCTCGCATTTCGTCCTTGATGGATCCAGGTCAGTCAACATGGATTCCTCCTGGCTGCAATACGCTGACCCGACCCCAGCACGAGACCTGACGGTCGAGGCTGCCCAAAGTATTTCCAAAGCACTCAAAGGAGGGAGTTCGTCGGCTCGGAGTAACATGCCGTTTGTGAAGCTCAAGGCTCTTCTGGACAGTAGAAGCGACCGCGATATCCTTGATGGTCTGAAAAGAGTGGTTTCTGTACGGTTGTCCCGTTTCTATACGGGGGTCCCCCTCGCTTACCCGATGTCCAGATGATATACCAAAACAAACCATGTTTGCCATACTTTTCGTCGGTCGTCAAGAATGTGGCCAACCCCAACCTCGAGGTCAAGAAGCTCGTGTATATTTACCTGCTCCATTACGCCGAGTCCGATCCAGATCTGGCCCTGCTCTCCGTCAACGCCATCCAAAAGTCCCTCACAGATCAGAATCCTCAGGTGAGAGCCCTGGCACTACGCACCATGTCGGGGATGCGAGTGCCGGTCATCAGCCAGATTGTTTCCTTGGCCATCAAACGGGGCGTGGGTGACATGAGCCCTCATGTGCGAAAAGCCGCTGCACTCGCGATCCCGAAATGCTACAACCTCGACCCGAATACCCTCCCTCAACTGCTCGAGTACATCTCCACGCTCTTAGGCGATAAGCAGTACTTCGTTGTGGGTCCAGCAGTTCAGGCTTTTCTGGAAGTGTGTCCCGATCGTATCGACCTCGTTCACGTGCATTACAGGAGTCTTGTCAAGAAACTGGTTGACATGGACGAATGGAGCCAGCTCGCAACGCTGAAGCTTCTCTTGTTCTACAGCCGACGCTGCTTCCCTAGGAAGACCCAAAAAGTCACCAAAGTCAACAAAAGGGGCTTTTATGAGGATGAGCCCCAAGAGACTATCGAGACAGGCGAGGTGATAGAGGTGCTGGACCCCGACCTAGAAATGTTTCTCAAAGCATGCAGTCCCCTGCTACAAAGCCGAAGCGCGGCCGTCATCACCTCGGTCACCAGCTGCTTTTTGTACCTGGGCACCCCAGACTACCTTCGCGAAGCAGTTGGCCCGTTGATCGGACTGATGCGGGGACCTCCTGAGGTGGAGGAAGTGGCCCTGTGCAACATTGTGTTGGTTGCCTTGTCTGCGCCGGACCTTTTCGTCCCCTACGCGTCGCATTTTCTCATCCGGGCACAAGATTCTCCACCGATATGGCGACTGAAGATCGAGCTTCAAACCCTCATTTTCGCCCATGCGGCACTCCATCTCAAGTCCATCATTCTGAGCGAGCTGGAGCACTTTTCTCATTCGGCCGACGTGGAGCTCACACGCGAATCGGTCCGTGCCATCGGGCGATGCGCACAGTCTGATCCCAAGGACGCTCATCGGTGCTTCCAGGTTCTCCTGAATCAGATATCCAGCTTCGACAATATTCTGGTATCGGAAGTGCTCACCGTCATGCGTCACTTGATCCAACAGGACCCTGCGTCGCATCGGAAGACGGTGGTGCGGTTAGCCCGCAACTTGGACAAGACGACGAGCCCCGAGGCTCGAGCTACCATCATATGGCTGGTGGGAGAATTTGCGAGCCTGGATCCCGACAACAACATCGCCCCGGATGTTCTTCGGATATTGGTCAAAGGGTTTGCGGACGAGAGCGAATCGGCCAAACAACAGATTGTTTTACTGGCTGCCAAAGTCTACCTGCTATTCTTGCAGAGGGGGGTTGATGGTGCTCGCGGAGACAAGAATGACCCTGGGGAACCTCAAGGCGATAATACTTCAGATGAGTCGCACGTCTCAGTCGACTTGGACCATCCGATTGCCAAGCTATGGAACTACGTTCAGCTCCTCGCCCGCTACGACACGTCGTACGATCTCCGCGACCGAGCGCGACTTTTCAAAGCCTTGCTGGCCAACCCTTCGTCGACCCAACTGGCTGCTCTCCTCCTTCTTGCACCCAAGCCAGTGCCCCACTCCCCTTCCCCCTCGGAGAATCGAAAAGGCCTGATGCTAGGCAGTACCACCCTGGTCCTGGGCACGGACGTGGCGGGCATTCTGGGTCTTCCCGGTTATGAGGCACTGCCCAACTGGGTGAGTGAGGGTCTTGAACCCAACCCGAAACTCCGAGACGCAGCCGACGGTGGTGAGAAGGAAGAATACGTGCCCCGGGAGGGGAGGACGGCGAGCTCAGTCGCCGCCAGTCGGAGGCTGGACGAAGCCGTCAAGGAGCGTGGATTGGAAAAGGTGGTTGCGGCGGGGACGTCCAAGGCCAACGCGAAGCCCCGTACTCTCGACGATTGGCTCGCAGAGAGTGAGGGAGAGGGTTCAGAAGAGGAGACGGAGGAAGAGACGGAGAGTGAAGAGACTGACGAGGAAGAGTCGGAGGAAGACGAGAGTGAAGAGGAGAGCGAGGACGAGATGAGAGGAATGACGCGGGGTCTGATGGCTTCGAATCCGTCGTGAGTCTTGAGTCTTGACCGGCGGCGGCCGTTATGAGCAGCAGAAGATCCTTGACCGCGGATCACGATGATCCTGTCCTGGCGCCGCGGGCGATCCTTGTTTACTTTCTTCTTGGTGTGAACACCCACTGCCTACCTTTTACCAGTCGAGTAAGGCTTGAAACGAGAAAGAGAAGATAGTCGCGACGGGGGACCCTGGTCGGCGAGTCATTTTGATGCCTCGAATGCCTTGTACTCGCAGACCCGGGACTTTTATCCGTTTCATTGTCTCTTTCTCGTTGTTTGTACGTACAAGTAGAGCTTCGTATCTCCGATCGAGCGCCATCGAGCGCCGTCCCGAAGAGGTGTGGTCTCGAGATTATCCCCTACCTTACCCCTTACCTACCTAGGTACGAGTACTTGACTCGCTGCACACTCGGTCCTCTGGATTCGCCATGACAAAACACGTTGGGGACCGTGACTGGGTTTCTGACAAGTAGTTTCTTGGAGCGGGAGGGAACTCGGGAGGATCGGTCCGTCTGCGGTCCATGCCTGTCTGTCGTTGAACCGAGTGCGAGAGACATACATGCATACTCGGTACATGGGTAGGAAGGTAGGTAGGTACCTCGGAACACTGCGTGCCTGTCCATTGCGCACAGACCAAGGAGGTGAAAAAGAGAGCGAGTTGTAACAGACCAATACTCCACCGAGCGGGTGATCATCCTGATCATCCTCGTAGCGTAACGCTGCGACGGGGGGACGGGAGGGGATAGAGGGACAGAGGGACCACAGGGCACGGGTGATCCTTTCCCAAGATCGGACCAAAGCCGTCGTCTACTCCTACAAGTACAGAGAATGAGGTGCAAGGAGCCACTACCTACACCGTCGCTTCGCAAGTAGTAAACCACCTGGGTGCCACCACCAAGTCTTTCGAAGGTGTCAGTCAGTCAGTCAGACAATTGCACTATTACCTCACAGAGTACCTCGTACCTCGTCCTCTTATCTGGTACCTACTCCGCTACTCCGTAGGTAGGTATCGTCGTCTCTCGGTACGAGGCTAGGTGGCTAGGTACCCTCTCACGCGCCAACGGAGGATCCCCCGTCGCCAGCACAAAGAGCGCACAGGTCATCTCGCTTCGCTTGGAAAGAAAATCCCAAAGACCCTATTCGTATTTGTACTTGTGCTCGGTTGAGGAAGGGGCGCCGGTCGTACGGACTGTAGCAGGAAGGAAGACCGGATGAAGTAGTACCGACTGGGTACTTGGACTACGAAGTATTAGGTAGAGACTCGGATCTCCTTTCGATCCCGAAACCAGGCTGCCAGGGTAATAATTAGGGTCATTGAGGTCCTGAAACATCTGCTATCAGAGGATCCCTTGCGCAGCCTTGTTGTTACAGATCACAATCCCCGAGGAACCTCTGTGGACTAATAATTACTTACTACTCGTACCAAGTACTCGTACGCGGTTACTCGGGACAAGCATTTGTCCGCACGAGAATCGGGGCCAAACACTCTCGTAAAGGAGTCAAGTCATTTTATTTAACTAAAACAAACTCCTTCATGTGGGTTCAAGTGGTCTGATATGATCTGATCTGATCTGATCTGGTCCTGTCTTGTCCGATGGATCTTCGTTTGTCCAAGGACATAGTATCTAACGGCCGTTAATTATATATATCCCCCCCCCCCCCCCCCCGTAAGACTCTTCAGCACCGATTGAGGTATTACCTGTTTGAGAAGATGCACTCCCCACCCCCAAAACAAAAAATCTCAACCGTCGGGCATCTCGTTTCAGAGTCCGCCATGTATTTTTGTAGGTACAAACCGTACAAGAGTAAGCCTCGGGGGATTAAATTAGCAGAGGCCGTTGTGAAAATGTACCCATTTTGAAAAAATTTCGCTTCCGGATAGTAGATCCACGTCGGACCGGGGGGGGGGGAGTCGTTGTGCAAACTTGTACCAAGTACGAGTACCCAGTAGGTATCGAGGTATGTACCTCGTATCTCTGTAGATCATCCGACTTGGTCGGTCTTGGTAGTACTCCGTATGTACCTCGCGAGCTGTCCTCCTTACGGCCCTCCCATCGCATCGGTGGTGGAGAAGGCTGATCTGATGGCCTGACAACGCCACAATGGACAAGTACCCGACTAACTTACTACACTACCCAAGCTCTATCCTCGGAACAAGGACTCGGGAACATGATGACGTGGTAGATCAATCACCCTTTTGTGCTCATGGCAAGCACCTTCAGCGACCACAACTACTGAATATTTGGACGGAGGAAGTATGTAGGTACAGACCAAGCCACTTCTGAAGAAGCCAGTCACTCAGTCTCGCCGCGTCGAGGAACAAATACCCGTGACTACTGTAGAAGTTACTACTCGGTACTCGGACTTGGTACAATGAGGTTCTGTATGTACGGAGTACATAGGTACTATGTACTGGGTACTCGCTAGGTACAGAGTACATGTCCCTGTCCCTGTATCCCCTCCCCATCCCACGAGCATGAGCATGAGCAAGAGTCCAATACCTCTTCGGGCCTCTGGGTCTCCAGGCTGACAGGCCAGTGGCCGCGCGCCGACCCTTCCACCCATGTCTTTGTGAGATTTTCAATTCTCCTACGAGGTACTTACTCACCTACTGTACTCAGTAGTACTACGCGGTGCATACTTTGTACTTTGTACCCGTCCCTGGACCTGGGCGTTTACCGAGAAATCATCCAACATCACTGGTCGTACATATTCCCCGTTCTGGTAGTTTGTGATTGTCGGAATCATGGCCGCCCTTGTCTTCTTCTCAAGCTGCCCGAGGTGTTCACCAAATTCACAACCGAGTCTGAATCCAATGTGCCAAGTATGTGTATGTACTTGGTGACTCTATGCCTACGTACCGTTTACTATGTAGAGAGCAGCCCGTGACAGCCCTATCTGGTCCATAATCAAAAGGACAAGTCCTGTAGAGAGTACATCGTACTTGGTTGTATGTAGTCATTTGACATTTGACGCTCAGTGGCCTGTCCGCCTGTCCGCCTGCCCGCCTGCCTGAATGATTGACTGACCGATCGACTCTGACGGCGCTTCTACACACTTTCCCCCAAGGGCCGTTCCATCCCATCCCATCCCATCCCCCCGCCCTCCTCTTCGCTAGGAGAACAGCGTCGATGTGAAATCTTAGGGAGAGAATGAGTAATCGGTAGTGGTGAAAGGTGGTCTGCGCCAGTGGCCTTAGCATGTACTCGGTATGTACATCATGTACCCGCAGAGTTACGAGGTACAGACTTGGTATTCCGTCACGTCTTCCGAGCAGTGATTGATCTCCATGGTAGCATACAGGATACAGGATACATGATACAGCATACCGAGTACCGAGTAATTACAGCATACCTTGTCGTATGGACAAACCCCCCCCCCAGACGGAGACATCCACCGCAAATCCCTGACAATGTCCGTCCGTGCACACGACCGGGATCGTATGTACCTCCATACAGTACGAGGTGCCTCGTCCGAGAGCGCGGAGTCCCGAGTGGTGGTTCACGGCGAGGCCGACCATTTGTTTTGCTGTGCCATCCTGAAACACCACGAGAGGGTCAAAGATTTGAAATAGGGAACAAAAAAACGTGCTTGCAGTGGCCCATCTAACTTGGACCTCTTGACATTCAGGATAACAAGGATCCCCACGTTTCTGTACTCCGTAACGAGGTACTCGGTAGGTACATACAAGTACAATGCTGACAGGGGGATCGGGTTTCAGCCTGGCAGGGTTTGCAGCGACCGAGTGAGCCACTCTCATACGTCTTTGGCGAACTTGAGTTCTCACAGCATCTGGAGCCGTCACCAGTAGTTTGCTGCACCGTGAGCAGTGAGCACCACGCCGCTGTGTGGGGATTCAGTGCCGGCTCAGGATCCCGAGGCAGACGCTATGCAGATCAAAAGTCGCGGGATCAAGTCGTCGTCATAAACGGTGGCATAAACAGGGGTCTCAGTGACAGCCGAACAAAGACTCAACACAGAACACGAGGAAAAGGATAGTGTAAGCGGTGGAGTGGCGCTGTTATTTCTTCATTTGTATCGTAGAGACCAGCCTCGCAAAGAGGTCCAGGTCGAGGTTGCAGAGTCGCCGTCCAATTTGCCGAGCAACAATCACCATTGCCCTAACAGTCCATCCCTATATCCTTCCTCCATGGTACCCCTTGATCCCTGCTCCTGCTGTACGACGGTACCGTCAGAACCTGCGGAATCTAATCACCCATCTCTTTTCCTGACTTGCCAGTTTTCGGCTTTCCCGTAGACCCTGTATTCTTCTCCTCCAATGTAAGACCAGCCCTCTGGTAGTGGCAGGGAACTGAAGCGACCTATCAAAAAACAACTCCCAACTCCAGGCGACCATTTTCGCTTTTGGCGCTCCAAACAGATCAAAGCACTGTCAAACGGGGAATCCTGCAAACGCAACACCGTGAACACCAACCCATGGTAATTAGGACTGGAACGCTCAGATCGAGAAAAGGACGGGTAGTCGTAGAAAAGTCGTCATTGCATCATCAAAATGCTCGGAAAAATGTCAAATATGAGTATGTTGGGGGGAGGCCACGCCCTGGCATGCAAATGGCACTGGGCAACGAATAGTGACCAATGCTAGCTACCAGAGGATGATTCTTGTAGAGGGGGTTTCCTTTGTTCGGTCACCTGTTCGGCTTGAGATGCTTCCTGGCCGGCTTCGTGGCTCGGGTCGACTGTAATGGTGGCTTCATGCAGACATCTCTCGCAAATTTTGTGGTGGCAGTTGGGACATTCTTCGGCATCTGCCTCGAACCCAGTCCGGCATTCATGGCACGTTCCACCTTCAGCCCCGGGTCGAGGAGCCTCGGTCACAAAGTTCGAGGGACCAGTTGCTGTTGTCGGGTCTTGTGATGGTTTCGTCCGATCTTTTTTGGGCGGATATCGTGAGCATCGAGAACAGCGTCGGTGTTGGCATCCCACACAGACTCGATCGCGCCCAAACGTCGTCGAACAATTGTGACAGGTATATCTGACCCTCATTCGTATGTTCTTGTACACCCTTTCTGGTGGGCCTCTGTACCTCGGTTCCCATTCTGTTTCATCTAGTTCTAGGTTGTGTCGGGCAAAGATGGCTTGTGCTTTGGTGAACCGCATGTGTGACTCGGCTGTGGCGTCCTTGGTATCAACAGGTTCTTGTGGCGATGTCGAGCCAGGCTCGATAGGCTGATCTGTTTCTTTGTCTATTTCGACTGTTTCTTGTTCAGGCGAATGCTCGATTGGAGGTTCCCTGTCAAGGTTTAGCGAGGATCTCTCTAGGGAATCTGATCTCACAGACGCTTTAAGAGTCTCCTCAGCCGCTTCCCTTTGGGGAGCGACAGGAGGTGCGGGAACAGATGGTGTAGTAGTGGCAGACACAGCCGTTTGTGCAGCGGTGGGTTTTTCTCTAAAGAAGTCCTTGATTCTGTTCCAAACCGTTTTCAAGCCCTTCTTTTCCTTCAACGGTGGTGCTTCTGCCCCTTCCATTGGCAGAGTGGAATGGATGACCAGATAGAAATGGTGTCATAGGAGATACAAGGCAATCAGCGAGACCGCCGCATGGGTTGAAGGACAGAGATCGAGTGGCTTGATGATGCGACTATTGGCTGTTCGGCTGACCCAGGGAATTGGAACAGCGAGGGTGCTGAAGAGATGTCAAACGTCAATTATTGGTGGTGGAATTCCGCAGGAGTGGATTGGAATGTGACTTGTCGGGTAGCGAGATCCCTGTTCCCAATGCTGCGGTCCATTGACTTGCCCAGTCGACTGCTAACGGCGCCCTGTCAGACAAAAGTGTCAGGCTTCGGAGGAATCTGATGTTGTGTAGTATTATGTTTGAAGGTGCGAGGTAACTCGTACGGAGTCGAGAGAAACCTCAGGCAGGCCAGCGATAATAATGGGAATTGGCTAAGTCTCCGGTGTGATCGAAGATCAGTGCTGATCGTCAATGGCAGTGCCCGGCCAAAATCCCCCAGGTGCAGTGCTCTCAAGTGGTGGGTGGCGGGTGGGTGTGAGCGATCGACAGTGTCGCGGAGTTGGTCACCCAGCTGCCAGAATGCGAAGACAAAGACGAGGGAGGAGGAGAGAGGATCAGAAAGAGGCGACGAAAAGGTCAAGAGAATCGAAAGGGTCGAAGAGACAGAGCTGGACGGATGGTGTGCGAAGTTGTGTGGAGATAAGAGAAAGAGGAGAAACCACGCGCGGGCGTGTGGATGGGGGATCGAAACAGAAGCAGGAGAATGTCAGAGGGAGCATTGAACACTGAGCACTGGAGCTTGGAGCAACAAGATTCAACGATGATGCAGCACTTGGCACCGAAAAGCTGCAGAAAAGGATTTTGCGAGAACTGGGAGACTGGGAGCCTAGGGGCCTAGGAGCCTGGGGGATACGCACCAGGTCGACGGTCCACTCAGCTACAGGCAAGTCTCGTGCGTCTGCAAACGGGCATTCCCTTAGGGTGGCAACTACATCTCTTAGGCTTCCGGAATCCAGTGCCCCAGCCAACAGAAGTCTAGTCCAAGTGGGCGAGTCGAGCCTAATCATCATGTGGAAACTGGAAAAAGCGTGGGTGCAAGAGCCATGAGCTTCAGTAGGGCCAGGGAGGGGAAATGTAGCCCGGGAATCAAGGAGTTAGGCACCGAGGCTTTCAGGGTTAACCTGAGATAGGGAAGTGTTGGGGTGGGGAGAGGGCAGCCATGCCGCTCTGTCGGTGCGGTGGATGCCATCAAGGGCGCGCCCATTTCGTCAGACCACCTATGGGGTAGCTGGACAGCGAGCGCGGGCATCAGCAACAACCTTTTTCCCAGAAGCGACCCGAGACCCAAAGGGCAGTGCCGTGTGTTCAGCTAGTTTAAGGTTAGAGGAACGCCCGGGGAGCTGCTTGGGCCCGTGCAGGCTTAGTCCCGCTGTGCTGCTGATGGTGTGTCTCCAGAACACCGGTGCTCTGGCCTCGGGTACGTGGCAACTCCCAGAGCCCACCCTTCCGAGCCACCTATCAGCTCCAGACATGTTAAATAGTATCTCGTATAGCGGTAGCCACCAAGCAAGTCGTCCTTTGTAGAAGTTACGAGGACACACAATGAAATCTAAAAAAGAGTTATTCCGAGACGAATGAAGACTCGTGCACAGGAATATCCCTTCACTAATGTGGCAGGCTACTTGAGAACTCTTTTGCCGTCTCGTCTCCAGTGACCCGGCTCTGGGCTAACTATGCAACTGGCCACTTTGGATCTTGCCGTACCAAGCAACTCACCAACACATCATCCCTCTTCGGTATTCGCACTTCAATTGCCGCAAAAGCAATCGTCGTCTGCCCTCCAGCTTCGTCTGACTTCCCCCCGCTGTGCTCACCTAAGGAGTCAGCGAAGATCCCATCCCCGGGACAAGTTGCTCCGATAGCTCCAAAGACGCAGGCGAGCTTCCTGCGGCCAGCTCCGTCGAATTTTCTATACCTAGTCACGCCAGTCAACTTGCAGCTGCCCAGTCCTCCTTCTCTCTAGCTTGATACCTTTCCCTGCACATCCCCGAACTATCCCTGACCTCAACCACTGGCGGCGTGGCGGATTCGGCACATTATCCAGCTGTCGAAATCCACCTGGCGCTCTGCAACCTCGCTTGGATCCATCGGTGTTACGGCCTATCCCAGCGGAACCAGGACTGAATATTGGAAGAGCGCTCAAGCTAGGCATTGCAGGACACACTGAAAAACTTCAATTGTCAAAGGGCAGATTGCACAGGAACACTGAATCCTGGACAGCGACTCCCATCCGTCAAGTCCTGATGCGTAGCAGACACAAATACAGACCTGCTGTTCCCCTTCGACCTGCGACCTTCGCCATCGGTACCAAGGTCTCCCTGCAGAAAATGGCACCAAATTCTTTCGGACGGGCATCCGAGCAAATAAAGGCGCATTGGGGCTTTTGTAGACGAGGGTGGCACCGACCCAGAATTACATGCATTCAATCCTGTCGTGGCAACATCAAGACAACCCGTAAATGGATACCCCTGAGCTCGCCAACGCACAACTGCTCTTACTGACAAGGAGGGCTTGGTTTATATATACTTTTGTCGGGCTGGTGCACGGGTATGCATACCACTCTACAATGATCCAAAAAATCATCTACGATTACATCCGGTCCTGCCGTTATTTTAAGCAGCTTTGTCAACCACCACGTTGCCCCAATTTCAAGTCCTTGATGGCATGGCTCTCTTCTGCGGAGAGCGGCCAAGCCTGATCATCTTGCTGAGACTTTTTAGCTGAGGCTCTAAACTGAGGCCCAAGCACACCCACAAACTTCGGGGGGTCCAGACTCCAATACTCCGTAATTGAGGATTGATTGTGTACTGTACCCGCAGCCCGAGCCATCGTCCACCATTCAACATCACCGTTGGGAAAGATCAAGACACTGATTATATCTCCCAAATGGGTACATAACCGTATGTGCAAGAGCTATGGTTAGATCTTGTCAGCGTCCAAATCTTTAGGCCACGGACGAAGATTATTTCCCAATCTAGAGAAATCTTAAGATCCGACAAAGGCGTTCATCGGTGCACAGGCCTTTTCCCCCGGATTACCGTCCCTAGCGGCTCTCGTGGCACCGCACCAGGCGAAGCTAAGAGAAATTTCGGGGCGTTGGTGAAATAATGGCCAAGGACAAGGAAGTAGCGTAGTCCTATACGTACATCACCGCCCCATTCGTCCTCACCAACCGGCAACCAACCCGCGCCAACAGACTGTCCGGCTGGCGGAGATAGTATGGGCGTTCCTGCTCATCTGATTCCATTGTTGTGGTATCGAAAGAGTCACTAACTACGAACAAGCCATTGTGGACTATATAGTAAGCGCCCTTCCGAGATTTCGGCAATATGATGGTAAATTACAGTGCACGTCTCAGCCTGCCTACATTGCTTCACATTCCCATGTCGTACTTGGTATTGTTTTCAGCAAAGAATAAACTCAAGAGATTGGGTTGAAGAAGCGTTGTACTGAATACATTTCTAGATAAGGGACTGAACTGGTATCTATGAATACTGCGGGTTTAGGTGGTAGGAATGGACATCCTCAGTGCCCATCATGTGGCACCCCCAGTGCCTTCTTCCCTTTCGATAGAGAGACTACGCATTGCCAGAACGAGGCTGCCATCGACTTGGCGCCAACCGAATTCTTGAGCTGCGAAGAATCCACAAGTGCTGGGGCCTCTGCAGGGACAGATTGAGGCGAGCAGTTCGTGGCATTGTCGAGGAATTCCACCATTTGGATGCACATATCGAACAAAATGAAAGTCTCCTCGACAACATCTCTCTCTTCGGTTTCAGTCAGCAAAGATGCTGCTTCCCGAAATGCCTCTTTGAACTGCTCTTGCAACCGCCCATCGACGCCCGCATCCTCTTCACTTCGAAAGTCCCAGAAGGATAACGGAATTATGCCTGTACGCCAGAAGTCCGGGCCTGCAGACACCAGCTGCCCTCGGATCCAGCGACCGCCGTTGAAAAGAGCAAGGTACATCGCCCAAGTGTAGGCCAGCAAGACATGTGGTCTCGTCGACAATGATCTCTCAATTTGCAAGCGAAATCCACTCGATTCCTTGTCCAAGGCTTCAAGTTCTTGATTTTGATCCCGTGGGAGGACTGACTGCAGGGTTTCAATATCCTTTTGGAGCCGGCCGTACCTGAGCAGCCAGGGAAAGCAAACACGCTGGTAGATCTGACGCAGTCGCTGGTCTAACTGGGCAGAAGCGAGCTGTGTCTGCAGGAAGGTCTCGAAGGCAAAGTATATCTGGCCAAAGACTATCATGCCCTTGGTGTAAGTGAATGGACTGTCTGCAATTGGTGGCAGACACAATGGCAGCCGCCGGGTGATCTGGAGGTTCAGGGCATGGTGCCTCTGGCGGGTGGAGCTGCGCAGCTCTTCTGGTAGAGAAGATTGCGCGCTTTCATTCCGATCTCCCTCCAAGCTCATTATTTGATATTTCTAGGTCGATGGTTCTTTATAATATTGTCTCGCGAGTGTATCTCCGGAACTTTATTGATCTTCATACATTCCAGGGGACGCGCAAGATCGTTTTTCGGCAGGGTTTCGCACGATCGAGCTCGCTCTAGCAATAACTCTGTATAAGGTCAGGAATAGGGTCGCGCGAAAGAATATCGATGGTAGAAAGAGTGTGCTGGTGTCGTAGCTCGTGGTGCAGGGGGATGGGGGTCATGAGGTCTTCTCAGAGACTTCGCCATTCTCGCGTCCCGCTACTCGGTGCTACTACTCGAAAGCATGTGTCTTTTTGTTGTTTATGCTTTTTGTCCTGGTGGAGCTCGAAACAGACCCAATTTTTGCTCCCTGCACGGTGACGACATCAATGCGAACTCCGAGTCACCACCAAGTCACTGACGCGGAACTGATGACACGAGATACCCGAACACGTGACACGGAGATTTGAATCTACCACGCAAAGACGCAGACGGCAATGAAGCCCGTGAGGGGCCGATAGCCTAAATTACCTACATACTACGGCGAAATTTTGAGGAACTGGTAAACGAGGGATTGTGGGTTCAGCGATATGAAATGACTTTTGCCCTCACTTGACACGCCTACAAACGATTCCCAGGACGAACCATACGAAAGAATCGGTAACTAAACAGCAAATTCGTTCCTAGAAATCGACTTCGAAATGATTGGGGTGGCTATTCTAGGCGGAGGTATGCGCAATATCCTTCCCATTTCGTCACTGGGATGTCGGCCACAGTATTGATTGATCATGTACAGGTATCTTCGCTCGAGAGGAGCACAAGGTGCGCAAAACACAGACAAGGTTGCCATCGTTCTCTTAACTGACTGGAACAAACACATCAACAGCCAGCAGTTGAAGCTTCGAAGGATTTGACGCTCAAGGCCGTCTACTCTCGCTCATTGAAATCGGCCAAGACACTCGAGTTGGACGAATCCAAGGTTGATCTCTACTCGGACGACTCGGGCGCTGGAAAATCTTTGGAGGATCTTCTGGCCCGCTCGGATATTCAGGCCGTCATTATAGCCTTGCCGATAAAGAACCAGCCCGACTACATCCGTAAGGCGCTTTTGGCGGGCAAGCATGTCCTCTCGGAAAAACCGGTTGCAGAGAATGTGAAGGACGCCGCGGAACTCATTAAATGGTATCACTCCGAGATAGAGCCCAAAAAAGTGACCTGGGGGGTTGCCGAAAACATCAGATACACGAACTCTTTCATCCGTGCTGCAGAGGTCGTCAAGACGAAAGGTCGGCAATTGACTTTCAGATGCCGATTGCAGACGCTTGTTGAGGGTGGGAAATACTTCGAGACTGCGTAAGCCACTCTGTCTGCTGCCAGGGTTGTTGAATGATACTGACTGTGTGCTAGATGGCGCAAGAGCCCCACGCACCAGGGAGGATTCTTGCTCGACGGCGGCGTCCATTTCACTGCTGGGCTTCGATTGATGATGGGCAAAGACAATCCATTGGTATCACTATCAGCTCACTCTGCACAGCTCCAAGAACACCTTCCCCCAGTTGATACCGTTGAGGCTACGGCAAAGAGCAAGAAAGGAGCCGTTGGTACGATATCGATTTCTTTCGGAACAACTCACAAGGGGAGTGAATGGGCTGTCGGTTGCGAGAAAGGTTCCGTTAGCCTATCGGGCAACAAGGTCACCTATGATGACAAGACTGAGGAGGTTCAGGACGAAAAGACAGGCGTCCCGGGAGAAGTGAGAGCCTGGGGTGAAGCATTAGCAGCTGGGAAGGTCAACGAGAGTCAATCTCCTGAAGAAGCTCTGGCAGATCTTGAGCTGATTGAAGCCATGTTGCGGAGCGGCGAGCAGGGAGGTGTTCCGATCAAATTAGAATACCAAGAGCTTTAGATGTAGCAGTGGACTTTAGAGAGCAGGCTCTATTGAATATATAAACACGACCAAGTGCAATATATACGATGGCATCAAGGTGGCACGGTGGGTGGCAGGGGAAGAGTTTCAAGGCTGTCTATGACGCTAATACCCATTTGGTTAGCTGACTTGTTTCCCGCGCACAGAAAGTCACTCTTGGCACTTTGCGAAATTCGACCCCGATTTTCAACCAAGGCGCAGTTATCGACGACTTCTCACCACAACCTCCGTTAATTGCTTCAGCTGTCCAGACCATACAATTGTCAAGGTCAGATTATTGCAGCGTCAAAACACCCGTATGATAACTGACACTCGCGCAGATGGTCTCCGCAAAGAAGCACGTCCCCATCATCAAAAAGCACAAGAAGGCGTGGCACCGACACCAGTCGGACACCTTCAAGTGTGTGCCTTCAGCATGGAGGAAGCCAAAGGGTATCGACAACCGAGTTCGAAGACGGTTCAAGGGTCAAATGGTTATGCCGTCGGTACGTCCGAATTTTTGAGTCCGCGGTCAAAGTCAAGGAAAAGTGCACGAGCGCATGGACTGAACACTCTGCAAATGCGGCATCATCGGCATACAAGAACATTGGGCTGACAGGAATAACGTACAGATCGGTTTCGGCTCAAATAAGAAGACTCGACACATGATGCCTTCCGGCCACAAGGCTTTCCTCGTCCACAACCCCCGCGACGTCGAACTCCTCCTCATGCACAACCGAACATACGCCGCGGAAATTGCGTCTGCTGTTTCGTCACGGAAACGAATTGAGATCGTCGCAAAGGCAAAGGCATTGGGCGTCAAGGTTACCAACCCCAAGGCGAAGATCACCACGGAGTCATGAGCGCGGGAGTGGTTGGATGTTGAGGTAACGTTCGTGGATATGAAACAATGAGAGGTGGCCACGGGCTTTTTGTTGCAAAAGAGGTCTAAATCGGAGGCAGAAGGGCTAGAAAGCGACCTTTCCCACGGCTGGACACCCATCCTGTGCACCACGAGAAGCACTCGATGGTATGAGGACCCAGAAAATTCGATACCAATCAAGAACATCAACATATTCCGGACCAAAGCTCCGTCGTTTCTTTCTGCTGCTTACAGTCTGCCAGACTTCGGCTATTCGAGTTTCACGCTGCCTTGTCCGGTCCGTACGTTGGACCGCAGGGGTGTATTCGAATTGAGACCCTCTAACATGAACTTATTTCCTCTCTTTCCCAGAGCCTCCTGATGAGAAGTGCATTTCCAGAAGGAGACGCCTCAGGTAGTTCTGCTTGAACCTCTGCAAAATAATGGACAGGGACCACAGTGCATCCTGGGAGCGTACCCAATTTACCCATGTATTGGTCGTACTTGGCTCCCAGTCTTAGCCAAAGGACAATTAACAATAAACCAGTCAAGCTGTAGACGTTATGATCGTTCTTTGCATGTGAAATGAAATTTCACATCGACAATGGAAGTAACAGCGTCGGTCGTCTCGTTTCAAAGTCCCAAAATAGCTGCGAGATTTCGGCACGATTTTTACCGCAGGCGGAAACACCAACACAAAAGTTTTTATGCGGCACCCAGATCTTTTCGCAGATGACCGTATTTGAACCTATAAACGGGTGGATATAGAGCAATATTCTCCGCCATTGCAGGCATCTCTGGCTCCTTCACCTCGTGTCCTTGCCTATTTGGCAAGTCGCGGTCGCTTACCCAGGCCCAGCATGGCGCTGATCGCAACCGAAACCAAAGCGCCGCAATTCTTCGATGACAGGAAGCCGCTCGCAGATCCTCCGTCCGTCGCAGTAACACCTTGTGATCCCTGGCCTCGACCCTATTACCTCGAGAATGGCCTCCGGCGCGTGGCGCCATATCATTTCACATACAATACCTTCTGCAAACAGCGATGGCGGGGACGGGAAATCCTCGACATCTTCGCCGCCGAGTTTCGAGACCGCACACGCGAGTACTACAAGCAGGCAATCGAGACGGGCCAGATCTCGATTAATGGGAAACCATGTAAAGATGTCCATACCATTGTTCAGAATGGCGATGTCATCTCACATACGCTGCACAGACACGAGCCGCCCGTGACGGCGCAGCCGATTCGAGTCATCAGTGAAACCGATGAAATGATTGTTATCGACAAGCCCGCCGGTGTGCCCGTGCATCCGGCTGGTCGGTACAACTACAATTCAGTCGTGGAGATCATGAAAGCCGAGCGCCATTTCGCATTCAAGCCCTTACCCTGCAACAGACTTGACCGGCTGACCAGTGGTGTAATGTTTATTGGCAAGACAAGCAAAGAAGCGGAGGCTATCAGTGAAAAACTACGTGGCCGCACTGTGCGCAAGGAATACGTTGCAAGGGTCAAAGGCCGATTTCCTGACGGAGAAGGCTGGGATGGGGATCCAATGCGTGGAGGGATTGTAAATTGCGAGGAGAGCATTCTTCAAATCAGTCCCATTGTCGGACTCAATCGAGCGCGGGCGAGCGGCAAATCTGCGAAGACTTTGTTCAGACGAGTGGCATATTATCCTCACAAACCATATACGACGGCAAATGCGTCAGCGACGTCGCCAGACGGCCAGACAATGGCCCAGCCGGCGCCTGCAATTTCTGGTACTGAGAACGAAGGTTACAGCATTGTCCATTGCCTCCCTTTGACGGGGCGAACACACCAGATCCGGGTCCACCTACAGTTCTTGGGACACCCGATCACGAACGATCCAATCTATAGTAACAGAGCCGTATTCGGACCTGGTCTTGCCAAAAACGATGCAAGCCCCGAAAAGGACGAGGAGATAATAGCAAAGCTGAAACTCATGGGGAAAAGTGAGGTTTCTGACTCCATATCATACGAGCAGCAACGACTGGCAACGCTTGTGGACCAGACACAACAGATGACCGTGTCTGAAGCTGCCAAGTTGAGCGATACATCACGGGCATCTGCATCAGCAAAAGACGATCCATATTTCAAACCATTACCAGCAGGCACACTACATGCTGGGTCTCTTGCGCCATGCGGCGAAGATGCCATGCACCATGACCCTCAGTATGGGGCTTTCGTGAAAGCGCACGATGAGATGGTGGCCGACTACAACAAGCGGAAGGGAGAGAAAATGACAGGCGAGAAATGTGCAGTATGCGACACTCCATTGTACTCGGATCCCGGCCCTCATGAGCTGGGCATATATCTTCACGCGCTGTCGTATGCTGATGTGGTCGAAGGGAGCTGGAGCTACCGCAGTCCTGCGCCACAGTGGGCATTGCCTCCAGAGGGCGTTGATGGACCGCGAGATATTGGTCCTTGGGAGTATCGGGGTGATGAAGTCCTTGAGATCGGCGACGAGAAGGAGGATGAGAAGATGAAGAACCGAACCGGGTTGATGAAGAACAAAGGCGAAGTTCTTTGAGCGGTTGTTTCCCTGCCAGCGCCTGCGTCAGATCAGATCGCTGGTGGTGATGACTGCCTACGTAAAGGGGCGCTCGAAGCCTCAGCTTTGCTGGTCTGTACCTCGTATCGTCATACGAGTGGAGGCGGGTGGTAGAATCACTCAGGACAAAGATTGCCTGGGCGGTGAGTTGGGGGCGTCAATACTAGGCTAGCCAGCTCATCACAGGCGCGGATGTGATTTTTTCCTATGCTCACCAACCACCTAGAAAATCTTCCGATTGGGGGCCCCTCTCCCGAACGAGTCACCAATACCTAATAATGCTAACAGGAGCCTCCCCAGCTCCAACCCAGCTCTCCCACCCCCCCATTTTCAACTTCGTTTCCCACTCCCTCACTCGCCGATTGCGCTCTACCCATTCTTCGCATCTCCGTGTTGTCGCGCTCGTTCAATTCGTCCACCCACTGACAACCGGACAACTCATCGCTTTTCCTTTCTTATCTGACCTTTCTGACTACTGAGTTGTTCTCCTTTGAGCCGGACAGGGCTTTCAGCAATCCACCCCTTCCTTTCCTTATTTTCGCATTGACCTTTGTCTCCTACCTGCGCGTACCACTTCTCCATCGCGCAAGTCCCCCCTAGTATATTGTGCGCGTGTTGCAGATCAAGATGCGACCTTTGCCCAGCAAGCGAAATCCCCTGGTTGCGCCAGGCACAGCACCATCCTGTACGTCCGTGTCCTGCGAGCTATACATTGTAGGAGGAGGAGGAACTGATGTATAATCCAGATGAGGAGCTGGTCAGTCGTCGGCGACTGGGCAAGACGAAGTTGACAGTCAAGCCGGGCCAAGTGGGAACATCGAATGCGACAAGGGCAGAAAATCTGGGTCCCTTCGAGTACGCGCATCTGCGGGCTCCCCTGCCGGAAGACCTCACGGGCTCCGAGATCTTCGCCAGTCAGTCGAACCAAGCTCACCCAGAGACATATTTCCTCATGGTACGAAAGAAATCAGCAACGAGTCTTCCGCCGTATCTGACCCCCTTTTTTGCAGAGAAGAAGTAAAGATGGTTTCGTGAGCGCGACTGGCATGTTCAAGATCGCCTTTCCTTGGGCGACCCATATGGAAGAAAAGGAAGAGCGTGACTACCTCAAGAGCCTTGAATCAACAAGCCAGGACGAAGTTGCGGGCAATGTCTGGGTGGCTCCGGAATTCGGTATGCTGCGTGGCGCGAACGGCGGACACTGAAGGCTAACAATAGGTCCAGCTTTGGAACTCGCAGAGGAGTATGAACTATCGGATTGGATTCGAGCACTTCTTGACCCGACAGACATTTCGCAGACGCCGTCAAGTGCCAAAAAACCAATTGCCGCGCCTCCCAAATTTGATTTGCCCACTGACAAGGCTAAACCGAGCGCTCCCACGAAAGCGCCTCGTTCGAGAACCACCCGGTCTATGTCTCCGGCCAAACTTGCAACCCCGATCAAAGCGAAGGCATCTCCCAGAAAAAGACAGACCAAGGCTCAGAAAGAGGCCAACATAGCAAATGCAAACGCTGCAAGCGCTTCTCTCCAGTCGGCACTAGACGACGCTGCATCTGTGGTAGAAACAGAATCCAAACCAGAGTCACCCGCTTTGCCTAGTCCACCGGCGACAATCCCAGAGCCGGAAATGGTCAAGGTTGAAGTGGACCAATCCATTGAGGTTGATGGCACAACGGAGACTACACACACCAATGTGACGGTCGAAATGCCGGCCGGCTTGCCCCAACTACCGCTCCCCGAAGACACCGAGAAAATGCTCGAGACGGCCCGAAAGATGGTCGAAGAGGCCAAGACTCTGGAAAGCTCTCCAAAGATTTCGAAGAAGCGCAAAGCGCAAGAACCAGAGCCCAGCGACATTGACGCCGAGCTTCCAGCACAGCCTGCTAAGAAAGCGCGAGTACTGGAAGAGAAACTGAAGAGAGAAAAGGTGCGAACCAGGGCAGTTTTGGGTGTTACGGCGACTTTGGCTATTGCGTAAGATTTTCTGGCCTCCGACGACGATTCGTATGCTAACGATTACAGCGCTGCAATTCCATACTTTTTCTAAGAGGAACTCTTTGCTTAATATGTCATTCTACCTTTTTTCGTCTGAGATACCACTTGTTCAGAAATTCGTGGGGGAGAGAAGGATTGGCGAAGAATTGAATTGCACGGATGGAGACGAAAGATCCCTTTTTCGGTTGACCGGTCGTTGGACACGAGCTGACGGATGCTCTTTGAGAGAAAACTTACTGCTCTGCTGGAGTTCTTTCAATATTCAGTATGTCCCAAGACCAGATATCGGGCTTGACCAGAGGAACGGCGAAACGCAGCACCCAGTTGGACTGGTTGAGCTCGTATAAAGCAGGACTAAGTACAGACACAATCGAATCCGAAACTGTTTAGTAAAAAAGAAAAAGCGCCTCCAGACGCTACAGAATCCCTCGGTGGGCATATCGAGGTTACAGAGTCAAAGCCGGCGATAGAAGAAAGGTCTACTACAGCCTCACGGCCTCCACCAAGTGGGTTGACATGCTCACAAGCAGCGGGTGACTAGTTTGGAAGTGCAAGTACTTGTATTGTATTGTGACAGTGATGATGATGATGTTGCCAGAGTTCCAGACTTCATTGGCGCGGGCAAACGCTCCACAAAGAGGTTCGGGTGGCTTGTCACGTGCTAGCCTTGAGGCGGCACTGGGCGGATCAAAACACGTGCTGGCGGCTGTTATCCACTCCACGTGACACTCCAACCTGGCACGCCTGGCACGTCACTTTGTTTTTAACGAGCTGCTGAAACACACCATGTGACAAGCGACCGAATCTCTACTACGAGGGACTTGAGTGTGCTCTGTATACGGCTGGAGCCATGGAATAATATCATACTTCTGGTTGCTAAGATTGTTTGAAGTTCTTGTTGGCTGGCGTCGCATTTGTCCAATTTTGTCTTTCATCACAGCGTTCGAGTGGTCCGTTCCTGGACGCGCTACCAAAACATCACCTTCAGGTGGCTGTTCACAGGCGCCTACGTTTCTTCCCGTACTCGATATCTCATAACATAATCTCCTCTGGTCGTCACCAGCTGATTCTCATGCCCATATGAACTATTTTCTTCGTCGTTCAGGCTCTACATTTCTCTTCGGATTGTTTAAGCATGTCTGATGGCCACCTCGATCCTCCTCAATACTGCACCCATGGACCCGTCGTTTGCAACCTCGTATCAGCCTTCTCCCGATCACACGTGTCCGCAATGCGGCTACCACCTACTCCCGCCCTCCGACCCCTCCGCTGAAGCCGCCGAAGCCAGTCGCCGCATCCGCGATCTTGAAGCGCAGGTGCGGCTCCTCAACTCCAAAGCCGCCGCAGCAGTAGACAAGCTTGCAGACTACGAGGATGAAATCACAAACCTACGCGATGCGTACTCTAAGTCTCAGCAACAGCAGCAACAGGCAAAGCCGAATGCGAGGATGAGCATTTCACCGCTAGAAGGGTCAGGTTCTATGACAACGCAGGCCCAAACGCCGCCGCCACAGCAACAGTCGAGGCTGGCAAGCATCAGCGCCCTTCTTCCAGGGCGTAGAAGGGAAGCCAATAGCAGTCTCGGGGGACAGAATCCCTTGACACCAGCCACAGGCACATTCCCACAAAACAACGCCGCCGTCTTTGGCAGCACCACGTTATCTCCGCCCAAAACGCCTTTTTTTGGAGCAGGAACGATACTTGGTAATTCTGCACTGGCCCTCTCCGATAACAACCAATCGACTGTCAGCCTCTCAACATTACAATCTTCACTGGAAGAAGAGCGGACGCTTCGAATCCGAGCCGAATCCTCCCTGTCACAAACTCAAACTGAGCTAGAAGAGCTCACCGCACAATTATTTGGACAGGCAAATGAGATGGTAGCAAATGAAAGGAAAGCCCGGGCAAAGTTGGAAGAGAGGGTCAAAGTGTTGGAGCAGAGGGATGTTGAGAAGAGGAAGAGGCTAGAACGGTTGGAGAAGGCTGTGAGCCGGATTGAGAGAGTTCGAGGCATGGTTGGGGACTGAGACACTCGGATTGGGACATCTGTTTTGCAAGGACGAAGAGTCTGAGTCAAAAGAGATGTCTATGAAACAAAATTACCTCGTCCATACCCAGTTTGAGTTCTTCGGTCTTGCCTATGAGTGGCCCCCGAGTTTGAGCGCACGAGCCAATTTATCGTTCAGACAACGGTTGAGCGAAGACTTAACACCCCAAACAGCAGCGCTCATCTCCTACCGATGAAGGATTCGGGAATAGGTAGTGAGCGCAAGGAAGTGAACAGGACAAACAGGCACGACGGCTACTATGTATTCCAGTGCAGGAATCTCTCCAGCAACCGCAACAGACTTGCACCGCCGAGATCAGCATCAACCATTCGAGATCTTCCGTCCACCCTTGAGACTCGCACTCCCCAAAAAGGTCATGGAAAGTTCTGAGAAGGGCTAAAGATTCGGGAGGCACAACTGGAGTGAAAGAGCAAGCAAGGGAAGCGAAGGCAAGAACGCATTCTCTGGGAGAAATGAGCGTGATTATCGCCAATCAGCAAACGAATGGCCTTAATCAGTTTGGGTTGGAGATTGGCACTTGGAAGGACCAGAAATCGGTCTGGCTAGAAGAGTTGGTTTTGAGCACAGAGCATGGTGCGTGAGTGAAAGCTGGGCAGTGTCTCTAATCCTACACTGTCAGGACTGTGTATCGCATCCAACATTTCTCCGACATTTCTCCAGAAACCACTCTTGGCAATGTTTTCAATATGGATCGCGTTCGATGGTGTTCATCCCAGTGCCAAGCCATGGTTCTTGCGGTCACGTGCTGAACTGCTCTTGACATCATTCTGGGTTGTCATGTATCAACGACAATCTGCCTCCTGGCAATCCCTTGACATGCTTTGTTGAGGAAACATGCTCGTAACTCGAGATCCAAGTCACCATCATGGCCGCATAGCAAGCCCCCGTCAACTATCACCTCACACTGTGATGAAGCAGACCCATCAGCATCCAAATATTCCCGGCGGCAGACAGAACAGGCGCATATAAAGTGAGACTTTAACAGGTCTCACTGCAATGGAAGACGTCTTGTCAGGATGACATGCTCCACATCGGAACCCTCCTCAAAATGTTATGTTCAATGTTCGATTCTTGATTTGAGTGCGGGATTGGCCAGTGGCACCAGCGGAGGGCTCACAATGTCCTTACCTCCCGCCTGACCTTGTCCTTCGGCTTGACATTTAATAAGGAGAAACTTCGACCTTCATCTCACTGCCATCCGTCTTTTCCGTCTGATTAATGTCTTTGATCGAGGCAAGGGTGATTGGAAGCGCAACACATCTGTGCTGCGACGTTTCGTCCCTATGCTGTCGGCCGTACCCGGACCTTGCACACGTGAAGGCTGAGCCCCTTTTTGAGGTTTGGTTTTATCCGACATCAGTACTTGCTTGCCCAACGGATCAAAGTGTTCCGACTAGCACAGTTATTTTCTGCTGACAGTGATTGGCCTTTGTTTCAGAAATCTGCCCCCACTGTCATCAAGGCGCCTATCCCCATTTTTATGGTTCTTTACGTGCGAGGATTGCCTGGTCAAGACTACGCGTGCGTCCCCATGACGAAACCTGTGGTGTTGGACATCCCGGAGTACGAGTACTTGTATACGCCATCAATTATGCCTCATCCGATGACTGACACCCCGAGCACTAGCCAGATTCAGAATTTACAGAGCCGGTGGTGGTCACATCTCGAAATGGATGTGCTGGATGCAATCTCCCAGGACTGCGATGCACGCCTTGGACCTTTCAAGAGCGTGCCATTGTTCCCGTCTCATAAAGATGACCAGGTGCGCCGTGGCACTGTTTCCTCTCAGGACAACTCCAACTACGCAAAGTTGGTAACAGATCAAAATGCGTGTCTCGCAAGACTACTTGGTCCTCTTCTATTTGCTCGCAGGTTCGGTGGCTGCGATTGAACACGAGAAACGAACCACGGTCCCAGCATTCGTCCGACAATATGGTATGCGTCTCTCTATCTATCTTTGGGCGTTTCTTCCTTGGGTTTCTCAGGGAAGAAGGATCCCAATGTGGTTCTCGCAACGGGAGAAATTTAGCTGACAAGAATGTCCTGACCACAGCTCCCGTGTTGTTTCTCGATCCCATGGAAGCCTTCTTTCCCAGTTCCATCGCCCTCCAAGTAGCCAACAGCCACCCCGAGGACTTTGACGGGCAGAACATCAGTCCACCTGCGCCATTGACCTTGACTAATCTCGACAGCCTGAACCAATTCAGCAACAACGGCCGCAACGTCTCCCTCACGTCCGATCAAGGCATCCGCGCCCTCCCTCCGTGGTTCCACGGCGTGGAGCCCAACCCGGATGGCTCTTTACCCTGCAACACGACCGCCTCGGCCGTCGTGACGGTGGAAAAGCCCGACAACATCCTCGACGCGTTCTTCTTCTTCTTCTACGCCTACAACCGCGGCGACTGGATCTTTGGACTCCCCGTGCTCGAGCTGGGCGACCACGTCGGCGACTGGGAACACGTCATGGTGCGGTTCCAGAACGAAACCCCCCACGCGATATGGTACAGCCAACACTCCAGTGGCCAGGCGTTCACGTTCAGCGCCGTGCAGAAATTCCAAACCGGTGCCCGCCCCATCGTCTACCCGGCCAACGGTACCCACGCCAACTACGCGACCCCGGGCGCCCACCCGCTCAACATCACCGGCCTCAACCTGGGGACCGGCCTGCCCATCTCGCCTGTGACCGACGAAACCGGGCGCGGCCCGCTCTGGGACCCCCTGCACAACGCCCTGTTCTACTCGTTCGACAACGCCTCTCAAAAATTCACCGCCTACAACGCCCGCGACCCCACGGCCTGGCTCGACTTCGCCGGCGTCTGGGGCGACGTGCAACTGCCCCTCAACGCCACGGGCCAGGTCGACCTGCTCGGCCAGATCAAGTTTGTCAGCGGGCCCACGGGCCCCAAATTCAAGGGCCTGGGTAGGAACAATGTCTGCAACACGGCGGATGAGGCTTCTTGCGTCGTTCTCACGTCGTTGGGCGCGTGAGGGTGAGGCACAAAACTCGAGGCGAGGGGAGGGGAGATATGCACGTATGTATGTATGTCTAAGGACGGAGGACGGAAGATTTGGTGAGATTGAACTACATGAGGTACGTATGCACAGTATGTACAGTATGTAGCTAGCTCACTATCTGGCTGGCCTATCTGGAGTTTTGGGGGAGTTTTGAGCAAATCAATGAAAGGGCGGATATACATCCATGTTTGTACCACGACTCTCTTTCTCTCTCAACCCGAACCCTCCATGCAGGTCTCGAACATTTCTCGTATCCATCCGAGGAGAAACGGTCATTTGGACCATACACCATCATGTCGCTCCGCTCTACTGCTATGCTCTGCTCTGTTCACTGTCAGAACTCGAGGCATGGCAACCTGGCACGGACAAGCAAGGTATATGCATTGCAGCGGATTGGTATAGCGAATTGAAATACAATATTGACCATCTATTCTCAGTATTGTTACATGCATTCGAAGGGTATCGTCGCAGCTCTATGGACATCAAAATCTCGGTGAAAGACCGTGCAGTCTCTCGCTGACAGGTACATTAATCATTGCTTCGGTTGCTTCTCAATAGACTGATATGCCCAATATCGGGTCTAACAAACGCCTCGCAAACGACGACGACCATTTTCATCATTCGCCAACTTCGTTACATTGCTTCTCTGTGAGCATTTAGAGCTGGATCACATCCACCTCGCTGAAATCAGGCGGAGCGCCACTGTAGACACACCGGCCTTTGGAATCAAGACCCTGTCGGACATTGCTCACCCAAAGGTGATGGCTGAAGCGGCCCATCCGGTGCACCTCGTCGTCACTAACGCCGAGTTCATCCCGAGGAATCCAGATGACAGGTCTTTTGGCTCGGAGTGCACTATGTTGGAAAGCCCTCTGCACGAGTTTATCGCGCTCTTCCGGGGTCAGATCCTCCAGTTCGTCATTGACTCCTCCAAAAAGAGCATCGGCAAGTTGGTTCCGGGCCGCACGTTGTGCTTCAATGTCCTTCTCATTGCCCGTGACCGGGTTGAAGTTGTTGAGCTTGTCAAAGACACCCTTTGGTTGTTGCAAATGATGGGACTGACGGTTCGATGCTCCACCGACTTGTGATAGGCTTCTACTTTGTGAGGGATTCTCCCATTCACCAAAGTTCGATGCTCGACGGTTCCTTGTGTTATCCCTGTCGGCCCAGGATTTGCGATTGTTTCTCTGAGAAATATTGCGCGGCACTAGGCCTTTCGTCTTGTCGGCCGTCATGTGGGCTGCTGCTTTCATCATTCGAACACCTCTGCTATCTTGGTCCAAATTCATCGCGATCTCTGGATTTTGGAACTCGTATGGCTCAAGGTCAGGCAACTTCTGAGACCTTTGTCGTTCGAGTCTATCCCGTCTCCCCTTTTCGATATCTTGAAGTTCAATCTCGTGTTGTTGGCGGTCTTCCTCCATCGACTGTCGCTCGTTACGCTCCAGCTGGTCTTCGAGATCTTCATCTTCATTCTCATTCTCAATGAGTCCATGTTTTCTTTGCATTGCTCGGGCAAATTCCTCGTCTCGTCTGACTGCATCATCCTCGAGAGTGATCGGAAGGTATCTAAACAATGGGCTGAAAGCATTGTTTAGGAGCAACTGATAACCGGCGGTGAGGATAAGGATCACAATCATCCCGATTGCTTGGCCTGAGCAAGCGACGTTCCCGTGTTGATCTCTGACCAAGAAAAACATGCCAATAAGAGCAACCTCCATCACATAGACACCGACAAAGGTGAAATTGATGGCGTTGGGATACAAGAGACCACCAGTGTCGCGAGTAAAGCGATTGACGTAAAGTGTGTTATACCGGTAGACAAACCAAAACAGCGAGAAGGTGACGATGTTGAAGAGAAGGATCAGAGGCGAGATAACGGAATAGATCAAACCGATGCATGCCAGGTTAGTATACACGGGGAAGAATGTTCCCCACTGGATGTTTTGCAATTGAGTCTGTCGTGTGAATTTGGCCCGGGCTGTATTGTCGAAGAGAGGGGCGAGGACGAACCATCCGATGAGCGAGCCGACTTGCAGCAGAGCTCCAGCACTCACTGACAAGGCCTGGAGGAGCATGTATGAGAAGAAATAATTGCTGGCCTTTGGGATGTTGTTGCCCAGGAGACTCGGGACATTGGTCCAGCCGTCTACGCTTGTGAAAAGCGCAAAGAACTGGGTCAACGCCGAGGCGATTGAGACGACCAGGAACAACTGGACGAACAGGAAGCAAAAGTAGTAGCGTTGAACTGAGAGCTCTACAAGCATCCCAGACGGTGTTCCCTGGCATCGTACCAGGAACCGAAGGATTAGGGGGAGCAGGAACAGTAGTAGACCGAGCAGGGCCGCGGGCAACACACCTTGAAGGACACTTCGGATCCAAGCAGGAATTTTGAGAACCCAATGAAGCCACTCCCACGTCTTTGCAGCAGTCTCGAGCTGCGAAAGAGCCGACGTGAAAGCGATGGGGATGGCCCAGAGGATGATCATACCAACCACAATAGCGACAACCCCGCCTGTTCGAATATATGCAGACCACCATGGGATCGACATGTTGTCCCAAATCACATCATTGGGATCGATCTCGACCAAGCGTGGAGCCATCTGCTTGGGTAGATGGTGACTGACAGCTTGACACGCCATGTGTGCCGCGACCTGGTGATTGAACTGGACAAAGGCGGAGTTCATCAGTGGGAACCGTTCAGGATGGGCTTGATCATCCTCTATTTCGACATTGAGCCGAGCAACCTCCTTTCGGCAGTATCGAATGGTGTCAACCTTTTCGCCCATTAGAGGCAGCGAAGGCATCCATTGCCAGCCGAATATTGGTAGTCGCATGGTTTCGCGATCCTTATCGCTCAAATAACGTCGCCAGGCTGCATCATCAGGGTCGTGTTCAAAGTTCCATTCAAACGCAGATGGGTAGTCGACTGGCTCCTTTTCGTCTGAGCCGAGACCTATGGCTTTTTTGAACTTTTCAACTCTAGTCAATTGCTTTTCTGGTCGAGCCTTTTCACCCCCCATTGTACTACCTTGAGAGATCGGGCTTTGGGATCTTTGAGCGGTGGAATTCTCCATTGTCCTTCCCCGGTCGTCAAGTGAGCTGTCATTCTTTGCAGAGGCATCTTTGGCACGTGTTGTTCGCGGTTGTCCGTATGCTTTGTGGTTCTTGGATGCCGTTGATCTGACTCCTTCTACTTCATCGTTGTCGTCGTGAGAACTGCGGCCCAATTCCTTTTGTTCGACATCAGCTGCCACGAAACCATTGGTGGTGTCGATGGTGTCAGTGACTCCCTTGTTGGCACCACGAATACCTCCCAGTAATCCTTTGCCAACTTTGTCTAGACCGTGAGTGACCGCAGATATACCTCCGCCAATGATGGGGATATTGAACCGGTCTCGTTGAGGCTCGGGAATCTCGTCCTCCTCATCATCGCTTGACTCCGAGTGAGAACCAGCCTGATGGCCGTGGAGGACATCGTGGAGGTTATGCTCAATCTGATGAGGATTTCCAGTCGAGGTTCCATGGCCATGGGCTGCTCGATCACCAGCTTCATCCCTAATGGTAGCTCGCAGCTTCTTTTCCTCCTTGGTGAGTTTCTTGCCGGCCTCCTTCTCAGCTTTGGCAATACCCTCCTCGTGCTTTTTGAAACATTTCCTGATAAGCTCTGTTTCGGCTGCTTCAAGGGTTTTAGCGAGCTTATCGCGTCGTTTTATCTTGGCACTGAGCTCGTCAAAGTTGCGGTTGATCCAGATGTTTCTCAGTCCGCCAGGGAACACGTCATAGAGGCCATCAAGAGCCTCGACGTTGCACCACTTCTGAGGTATCGAGCTCACCAGCACAGTGGTAGCAGAGGCACGCAGACGATGTTGGGGGGAGGTCAAGTACGCCTGCCGCATTCGGATGTAGCCTCGTAGTTCGTCGAAAGACACGTAACATATCCAGACAATAAGACCCAAGGCCAGCAGCCAGTGAGCCCAATATCGACCTGTGTGGTTGGGAGCGACATTCCCCCAAGCCAGCTGATCCAAGCCCGTCACATTGCTCTCATTTTCATTTTTCCCGAGTGCAAATTGTGCCCCACGACCATCGACCATGTTGAGAGGAATAAGAATTGGCAAGATAACCAAGGCCGCCGGAACAAATATTTTGAGCAGCGTACGCAGATATCTCAGGAAGAAATAAGCATCCAGGCCACACTTTTGGACGAATTCGGAGTTTGAAGTGGCAGTCACAGGCTTGATCCATTTCCACCAGCCTGGGGGTGAAGGGGTGGTCCGTTCTCTTTCTGGGACGAGGTATGTCCGCGGCTGGTATATTCTGGCGAAGCGGTCCTTGATGACGAGAAACAGTCCGATTTGGATCCCGAACACTGCAATGGCAGTGACCAAGGACGCAGCGAATTGACCAGCACTTTGGCCATTCTTCTGTTCTGCTGCGGTGGTGTTCCCACCAAGATTTAGGGTGTCGTTCAACGACATTTTGTATTATGCTTGACTTTGTTGCGGTATTCTTCTTTTTCTGCGTGAAGATATCTTGTATCATTAATGCTCGTTGCTAAAGGATTGGTCGTAGCATGACTGGCGTTCTTGTGACGGCCTGCGTACGCGTTGGGAACCTGAGAGGTGGGTAATGCAGTGGACGTCACTGACCAGCGATATTAAGCTGGGGCCGCAGTTTCTGGTGAAAGGGACCGTCCTTTCAGGGGGTCTCGAAATAAGTACAAGGACAAAGCAAGAGGAGGGAATCAATGACGGTTGTTGTAAGAATGGAGAAAGAAGAGATTCAACACACAAAGGAAAGCAAGATCAAAAAGTTGGAATAGAGGGCTTGGGAAGTACGTGTTCTGACGATCGAAAGGCAAGGAATGAAGATCGAGATAGACTGTGTGAGGATCGCATGCCTTGTGTTGGTGCCTCCAAACGTCAGTGACGTCGTTGGTAACGCGCCACTGGCGCCACCAAACGCACAGGAGCACCTAAGGGGGGTTCGAGGGCCCTCGGAGGCCAATCAGTCTAGGTGCTACAGCCCGCGTCCAAGCAGCGGTGCGACGCCTAGGCCACCTCTAGTCTAGACGGCCCGCCTGGCGCCCGAATGCCCACTTCGGTTGCGCATGGTAAAGACCCAAACAGCCATTCGGTTGCCCATCCAGGTTTCAACCCAGGCCGTCCAGTGGTGCAAAGCGCCAGCACTCGTGGCGCAGCAGACAGACAGATTTGATCGACTGGCCACAGATTCAGCATTTCGTAGCGACAAGCGACAGACAGGCGAGACGCCAGATGGGAGATACAAGTATAGATACGATCCAGCAACTGGAGAAAACATGAAACACCTGTACTCGGAACAAGCCCCGTCAGATCTCATCTTCGCCCATACTCGTATGTTTAATTCAGCCCTGGTGTTGGTGGCGAGATTGAGTTTCTAGGCTCTGGGCGAGTTGGTCTCTCTCGCAGCCTTGTGAGCCTCGGAAGCTGAAAACCACCAAGTGGCGCATGCTGCACCTCGCAAGGCTATCAATGCAAAGTACCACTTCAGCTCTCCTAGCCCAAACACCTTTCTCTCCATAACAAAGATCGACCCAATTGAATACCCTTGTTCAGCCATTGTCCTTTGTTTCCTTGTATATCCCTCTCACAGCAATCATGAGCCAATCGTCCATCACCGTCTCCAAAACCTCATCTGGAATCACTACAATCACCATCACCCGGCCCCATCGCCGCAATGCCGTGAATCCATCCACCGCCCGCGCTCTGTACTCGGCCTTTATTGAGTTCGAGGAGGACGCCTCGCAGAAAGTCGCCATCCTTACTGGGTCCGAGGGAGCCTTCTGCGCCGGCGCAGACCTTGTCGACCTGACAGCGCAGTCCAAACAAGATCCAGCCACTCTGGATCCGCTGGATAGAGATCATCTGCAACCGGTTCAAGGCCGCAACTGCGGTCCCATGGGTCCGTCGAGGTTGCAGGTGAGAAAGCCCGTCATTGCTGCAGTGGCAGGTCATGCCGTTGCCGGCGGCCTCGAATTGAGCCTTCTGGCCGACATGCGGGTGGTTGAAGAGGACGCAACCTTCGGCGTCTACTGTCGTCGCTGGGGTGTGCCGCTGATTGACGGCGGCACAGTCCGCTTACAAGCCATCGTTGGCCTAGGACGAGCATTGGATATGATTCTTACCGGACGACCAGTCTCTGCGCAGGAAGCTCTGTCAATGGGTCTCGCAAACAGGGTCGTTCCCAAGGGCAAGGCGCTCGAAGAAGCCACGAAACTCGCCGAATCACTACTGAGGTTTCCCAACGCGTGTATGAACTCTGACCGAGATTCTTGCTACTATGCCGCATATAATGCCCAGAATTTTGAGGATGCTATGAGGTACGAGTACGATCACGGGGTCAAAGTAGTCCAGATGGAGAGTATGGCTGGTGCTGCTCGATTTGCCGATGGACGCGGGAGACACGGCGGATTTGACAAGTTGTAACCTCCGTAGCCTCGCTTCTTCTAACAGCAATTGATAAATTCAATGATAATCTATGATCGGAAGACTTATTGGGCGGCAAGCCACACCCTTCACACGGTGTATTGCCTCGTCCCTCTTCCTGTGGTTTCTAGATCGCGTCCTTTCGTCAACGTCCTCCATAATAACCCGCACTTTCGCCGCCACCGCCACCATGATACTGACCCTGACTCTGGTATGGATCCTGGTAGGCGGTCTGGTATTGATAGTTTTGTCCTTCTTGACCGTATCCATAACTACCAGCATCTTGTCGACCGTATTGCTCGTACCCGGGAGGTGGCTGTAAGGGCATGGGACTGGGCGATCTGTTGTCTGCAGCCGAGCGCTCTCCAAGCAGTGCGGCTTCGTGCAGTTCCTTTGATCCCCCTAATTCACTGCCATTCGATCCGAGATCCTGATCGTCTAGACCGCGCGCTCCGCTTCCAGGAAACCCGCCCATGAATTTCGTGTATTTGTTCAAGGAGCCGGCGACCCCGTGGACACCAGGGATAGGTAACTTTTCGGCCATGCTCAACATATTTCCCAGACCACCACCTCCCCCATGTTGTTGTTGCGCCGGTTTATGCCCCGTGAAATTTCCGAGCACGTTGCCTACCATACCCAGCGGATTGCTCCCTTGGCCGCCGCCCTGGTGTCCACCAGGAATGAGATTCGCCAGTCCACCAAATGCTCCAGAGTTTGACGAAGACTGGTGTCCTCCTCCGCCACCATGCTGCTGTTGACCTGGGATGAAGCTCGCAAAGCCGCCCAGTGGGCCAGAACTTGTATGGTGTGCTCCGCTGGTGCTTGGAGCAGAGTGCTGTATATGCTCGTTAACGCCTCCTTTGTGGTTTTTACCAGCTCGCACACCGTCTGAACTCAACAGGCTCTCGAGACTGCGTCCCCTGTCGGGTAAGCCGTCCACCCATCGCTTTACTGCAGCAAACATACTCCGATGGACTTCGAGTCTTTCATTTCTTAAGGCGGGATGATGGAATATACTCTCGACATCGTGCATGACCTGTTGCACCGGGACATCAGGGTGTTCCCAAGCATATAGAACTCGCGGAGCCACAAATTTGAGAATCTCAGCCGCTACATTGCCGGCAGGTTCGTTCAGCATGTTGCTGAAGTGGTCCTTGCTCAGCATTGAGTGCGTGGGATCTGTACAATGTGGATCCGTCCAGACCTCGTATTGATGCTTTGCGGATGAAGTCAGAACACCCTCACTTCCCGTCTGCAGTGCCTTGGAGATTGCGTTGAGAATTGGTCGTACAAAAGGTGCCAAGAGTGAGAGGATGAACACCGTCAAAGTCTCGGTGATACGGTCGACAAGCGCCTCCAAACCTGGAATCTTTTCGATGATGCCACTGATTGTCCGAACAACTTTATCTCGGAATGCTAGAATCGGATAGATCTGCGCGACCGTCTTGGCTGGGTCAAAATTTGAGAGTCCTTCGAGAGCGGTTGAACTGGGACCACCGGATTGCGATGGTGGTGGTTGTGGTTGTGTTGGATTAGCTGACTGCATAGGCTGCGAGGGATGAGAACTCGGATGTTGTGGTTGCTGCCAGTCCTGCTGTGTATTGCCATATTGGTCGTGTGCAGCATAGTTTTGGTTCATCCCCTGATCATTCCATTGAGATTGATGTTGAGAGGGTGGTGGATTGTTGAAACTCTGCGGCATGCCTTGGTCATGCCACTGCGATTGCTGTTGATACTGAGGTGGGTTCTGTTCCCAATGTGGCTGATAACCTGATTGAGGCTGTTGATTCCAAGCATTTGCGTCAAAAGACTGATGTTGCGACGGATAGCTGGGATGTGATGCCCGACTACTCTCCCAGTCATCTATCCCCCTCGAGGAGCCTCCATAATCCTCAATTCCATGATAACCCCCCTGCGCGCCAAAGTCCTGGTGTTGACTAGCACGCGCTTGGGCCTGAGAGCTTGCTTGCAGTTGTTCCGCTTCATCACAAAGGCCTTTGGTTCCAGGGACCTTGGAGAGAAGTTTGACCAATGTCATCAAAGGATTTGATGACTGCGCTGCTTGCTGAGCTGTGCCGAGAGCATTGTCCATCTCGTTCACTTCACTCTGGGTGAAATGATCGGTTGCCTCTCCAAGGACCGAGTGATAGAAATCCACCATCCCGAAAGTGCCTGTGACAAGTGGGAAAACATGTTTTCCGCGTAGATTGATCGCGGTGGCAGTTCCCACATGAGGAAATACATTGTGGAAGCCCATTTCCCGAAGCGCCAGTTCAACGTAATTTGTGTGAGCACCAAAATCTTCCAGTGTATGCAAGCCTTGTCCAAGACATCTCAAAGCCTCAGCTAGATCCTCATCTTTCCCTTTAAAGAATCCGTGGCCATTGGTGTAGAGACGGCCGTGGTGGATGCTACGTTCAAAGCTGTACTTGACGAAAGCCGCGCTGGTAGCCCAATCGCCTTTACCATTCGCAATATAGTTCTTCATGCCCGTCTCCATATCGATTTGTAGCTCAATGTCTCTGACCGGACCGCGGAGGCGTACATCGAACTTTCGGGCATCCTCGTTGTCATTGTAGTCTTTAGGGTTGCTGAAGACTCTGTCAGAGTTTGTTGCTGGCGCAGGAAAAGGGATAAACCTACTCAATATGTTCTTCAGGTCGATATACTCCGAGGCGCTCTGAAGTGACCTCGAACTCGGCTGTAGCATACCCGAATCCAAGAAACGATAGCAGCCAAACCAAGATACGAATGGTTTCTGGCTGTGCTTTCTTCAAAGCTCCGGTATCCATGGCCTGAGAATAGTCGCGAAGCCAATTCCTAGAGGCGGACGGTTAGCCCTCGCTTTGTTTACGCCAGACTAGAGTACGGCATACCCAAAGTAGACACGTTTGATCATCATCGAATTCCATTTGTGATGACGGATACAGGCCACAGTCTTCAAGACGTCTTCGATATCGCCATGGCGCCAATTCTTGCCCTCTACCGCAGAGATAGAGGCAATGTCTGTGCTGAGTGTCAGCGGGGGTCTTCTGACCAGATATCTCTCTGGGTTACGCACTGCCGGCACCAAATGCATGGGCTTGGAGGGTGAAGAACACCAAACACAGGAAGAGACACAACAGGACATTGCGTGTGATTAGAGCCATGGTGGACTGATGTCTCGTTCACGACGAGGTTGTTACTTGTGTTAAAGCAAGCCCGAAAAGCGGAGGATTGAATGAGAAGAATCTCGGACCAAGAATGTCAATGCCAAGATGGAATTCGATCTGTGTCTCCCAGGCCTGGATTATGAGCTCAATCAAGTAAATTCACATACGTATCACCAGCTCAAAGACAAGTCACCATCTGGAAACCAATATTCCCAAACATATCACAGTGGCTTGACGTTATAAGGCGGGACAGTGAGAGGGGTGACGGTATCCATACAATGTTGGTTTACCAGCCACATTTGCCAACCCACTGAGACATCCGCCTAATAACCCCATGCCGAATCTGACCAATTGTTTCGGATTGCACAAGATACTAACAGAGAGACTTATCTGCACTGCCACCAGTACATGTCACAAGTACTCGTGTCACCGCGTGTGTCGAATGGCAGTGATGAGTCAACCTGCGTCTGGTACCTTGCAGAGCTGAATCGTGAAATCTAAGATCGAGGCTATGCAACAAGCATCTCATTCCCTCAGGTACAGAGCAAGTACGTGGGTAGTCCACGACTACATGGACAGCAGGCAGAGGTGCTATGGCCTCTCTCAACCGCCTATCACCAAAGACGTACGAGGATACCAAAAGAGTGCAAAGCAGCAATCAATACCGATACTCATAAATTTCTCAGCTTTCTATTAACTAGAAATACATCTCATAACGGCGGATAATCCCACCGACCGTTGTGCTGGACAAGAATGTGGCCCCATGAAAGTCCTATCGTTTTAAGCCAGCCGTCAACCGTGAGATGTGCATTTGTTCCATCCTTTTGTGGAACCAACATAGCCAACCAGGAAACCCAACATCAACCCATCTGGTATCTTTTGTTTTCTCATCTGTCATTTCCTCGCCCCCAGGTACCGAATGTGCAAACTCCCGTAAATCCACAAGTAAATAAGAACCGCCAATATGATGATGATCGTTGTCTATCATGATCCTCTTGACCTTGGATATGCTCGGGAAACTCCATGCTAAAATCAAGTTTGTCTTTGAAATCGCTGTGCCACCGTACTCCCTATTGATCCTATCTTCCACAAATAGCTGGTATCATGATGTCAACTTCGTCGAATCGCTATGCCTTTCCGCTCGTTGAAAAATGTAACAAAAATTTTCCTCGTCGTGAGATACATATGTACAAATCAAATGGGAGGTCGAGAAGGTTCGAGGTAGGGTGAGAGGGGTTTGGCAGGCACCGGAAAGCACAAAGGCAAGCGACACATCATAACACCAACCAGCACGAATACAGCGACACAACGACAACGAGCACGGAGGTTAGAGCACTCCACAAAGCAGAGACCCTCTTACCACCGGCGGGCGGCAGTTGTTTGCTGCATCATGCCTGGTGAGATGGATGATGGCGGGCTCGCAATGCGGTTACCGGTGGAAGGGTTCACAATCGGAATGGCGTTGTTGCGGGAACGAATCGCCGACGGTTGATGGATCTTGAGGTTGTTGTGGTTGCCGGCGAAGTTCGGTGGGGACATGTACGCGGACGTGACAGCAGAGGAAATAGACAACGCGGGTGTGATTTGTTGTGGTTGTATCTGGGATTGGAGAGGAGATGAATCGGGCGAGCCACTCGACAGCGATGAGCGATCCGACGAGCCTGACGTTACCGACTGACGCTTTGCGAAGAAGTCAGTAAGAGACGAAGTTGTGGAGAGAGGCTCGCCACAAACCTCATCAAATGTCAAGAGGTTTGGGCAGAACTCTAGATCGTCGTCTAGGTCGAACGACCGTCCTGCCTCGAAGCGCGCCCGGTATGCACTTATGCTTGGAGGCTCGGTAACAACCAATTCCTTGACCACTTTGGGTGCACGGAATTGCCGATGCGAGTGTTGGGCCGCGGACAACCGGGGTGCTCGTCGAGACCGACCATGGTGGCTATGTGTCTGCGGCATAGGCTGCGGATTGGTGGCTTGATGTTGTTGATGGGCAGTGTAGTAGAAGGTCGACATGATGATCGGGTGAGGACGACCGGGAAGTACACAGGGAGGTCTAGGATGGGAATGTAGAGGTACAGTTGTATTGTCGAGGAGGATGCCAGCTAGGCAAACAGTGGCAAAAAACAATGGGTGTCAGCTGATTCAAGGAGCCTCTTGGAACCGGTACAGAGGGTCTATGCTGAACAGGATCTTGTTTGGCAAGAATGTCTGGAACAGGCGTCAATGGAAAGAAGTAAGAATAAGGCGTGAGAGGAAAAGGCTGTAAGGGAGGACGAGAGTGGGTGGCAGGTAGTAGATAATGGCAGTGTAGGTGAGATGGAAAGCAGCGGTGGGATGGATGGTGATGTATGGTCGATTTGAGAACTGGCTGGCCAAACAGGCGGTGGAGGGAGGGAGAGGCGAGAAGGCGAGAAAAGGGCAGAAATCGGGAGAGGTGAGAGGTCAGAGGGTGGGAAGACCAGCGCAGGAAGCCGGCGAGGGCGGGAAATATCAGGGCGACCAACACCACTAAGGGCTAGTTAGTTAAAAGTGCAGGACAAACTTGGGCACAAGACCCGCTTTGTCCCGGCTGGTGGTGCCTGGGGCGTCACCTGCCATTCGCTGCTAAAACGTCAAGGCGTCGCCAGCTAATGCGCCCTAGTCCACGACGAGGGCTTCAATTTGCCGGGGACAGCCATGAAATTTGCCTCTGCCCGACTCCACAGGCTGTGAATAGCCCAACGCCCTGCACGCAGCCCTCAGACCGGCCGCCTTGGACAGGCGTAGTTTTCAGCACAGGGTTCAACCACCACAGTCCTTGGCGGCAGAGTTGTTTCGATCCTGACCCGCCCCTCACCCACAATGCGCAGGTCCCGCTAATCTCTTCCAGCCTAGGGACGAGCGCTTTCTGCACGAATCGTCTCTGCCCGGCCTCCTCCTGGACTCATGCCCATCCTGCCACCCTGCCATCACTCTCCCATGCCTCATGGTGTCCTCATGGTTCGTCCTTCCACCGCCCCCCTCCCCAGACTTTGTCTGGAAGCTACAGCCAGGTATACGAGCACTCACGACGAACGAGTAAGGTGCCACGAAGCCAGCTGCATGCCCTGCGCCCCTCGTCCCATGATGGATCTGGCAACGCCTTTTCCCCATCATCCCACCATCCAACCAGTGCACAAATCATCTCCTTCGATGCCTCGTGTTACCCAATCCGCTTGACGTTTGTCCTGTCCCTCCTTCTCGGACCCCTCTCGCGTCGCATGAGTTCGGTCGACCTAAAGGGTGTGCTCTCTGAAGCGTCTGGCCCTTGCAGATCGCCGAAAAGTTCTGCATCTCCGGCCTCGATTCGTGCCATTTGTGCTAGGAGCATACCTCAATGTCCCTCACCCATACCTAAAAGGCACCACCTCCTTAAACAGCCGCTCCTTCTGAACATTGGGCCCTTTTGTCGCGTGCTACTACCGGGGGGGGGGGGGGGGGGGTGTCTCAGCGATCAGACACAAGCACCCCACTTCAATTCCAATGCGCCTCGACAGCCAACACCATCTCCTTTCTACAGTTAAAATCACTGCGAGGTGCTCAGTTTAACCATGCATTGTGGACACAGAGAGAGAATTTTACCCATATCGCACCCCAAGATCTCGGTTTACACCGACACAGGCATGGATCCAGGAGAATTATTGTCCTCCCCCATCCTCCCTCGTTATACTCCCGAGGTGTTTGGCCAGTCTGGATGTTCCACTGGGCACTGCATGCTGAGCAAAGCAAACACCAATAATGGAGCCGGTGACGCTGCAAGGGGGCCGAGTCCAGGAGAAAGTCCAATCAACCCCTGAGATGAGGGTGGAGTTCCGCCTATCTGAAGCTCCCTTTTGCGCCATTGACGCTCATCTGATGGCAGTGCAGCATGAACGGAAAGGCCGTGGGTAAAAGTCTCTCGGAACAATAATCTTCCTATGCCGGTTATCCCTCATTTGCCTTCTAGAAACTCTCTCACATCGGAGAGCACGTTACCCCAGATGTTACGCTTTGCTCTCGTAATCGTCTCCTGCTACACCCCTTGGGTGCCCCTCAGCGTCCAAGAGCTTGACTTCTCAAGAATATCTTCCTAGCTGGACGGGTCAAATTGCCTATAGTAGTATCCGACAGGAATGCAATGAGGGTAATAATGCACAATCGCGTCCTCGTCGAAGGCGAGAACGGGTCCATATTCGCTCCAGTTCTACTTGTACAAGTACAAGTCCTTGGGTATTGCTGCTCCGTCGGTCAGGAGACCGGTCACATGGAGGCCTCTGAACATACTTGTATAAGTAGTGTACTGGCCCCAGTCAGCACTTATGTGCACGTACAAGTACACAAGTGAAAGGTTTCAAGAGTCCTCGACTCCTGGAGAAGCTTTCCAACATCGTCCGACGAGGACGAAACGCGATGCGCGACAGGGGGCGCTTCCGATGCTTCTGGTTGTCTTCCGCTAAGGTTCTTAGTTCATAGCAGGCTTCGATTCCTCCACAGTGAGACATAAATTCAGCGGGTCCTGATGGCTCTAAGGAATTCGCGAAAAGTACCGAGTGACAGGTATCCGAATAGCTACGAGGAGGCACCTTTGACGTTCTGCTCGCCAATAGAGCGCTAAATAATACACTGTACAGTACTTGTATGTATACTTGTATCGAGTCTTGAGTGATATCGAATGCCATTGATCTCTCGGTTTTCTATGCAACTGGGACCCGTTAAGCCCAGACTGTCCGTGTACAAGTATAATGCCATTGATGGCTTATGGAAATGCGAAGCATAGGGATATGTCTCCTCGCACTATGAAACTGTACCTGTACAGGTACTCTGTACATAGCCAGCGAAGGAGTCAAGTTTGTCGTCACCGTTTGAGCGATGATTATTGATCATCGACATCCATACATCGAGGTAGATTATCTACTTGGGCAGGTAGCGCAATATACCCGGACCGGGCAGTAAGTCTTCACGATGACGCGCATCCCGGTCCTACAAATCAAACCTGGAGATACGAGTGAAAGCGTACAAGCAGAGGGTCAGATAATGCGTTTTAGCTGCTGAACCGAACAAATGCATCTTTTGACGTGGGAAAAACTTTTACGAGCACTCGACGACAAACAGGCGGGATTTCTCGCAGGCAAAGGCGGCAAGGATGGAGGTAGTCCGTGGCGTGAGAGCGGGAGCTAACACTCGACAACAAAGGTCCCCTAACAACTCATGTGTGACCAAGGATCCTGACGTCGTAAAGTCAACGCACCATGACACTCTTAAACGGCCAACCGTGGTGCTCATCTGGCTCGATGGGTACGTCATCTCCTGATCACCCGAAAAGGCGCACGAGATGGCTATTCTTTATGTTCTTGCTCTTGTCATGTGTACCAAGCAAGAACAAGTACGATCTTCCCCCGCTGTGTGCCTTGGACTGTGGTGTCCCCGATTCAAGTGCCGGTTGTTGCATGATGTCGGATGGGGCCTGGGAGGTAGTCGTCCAGGTTGAGTCACTTGTATAGCCAGGGAGAAGGGATAATACGTTCTCTGACCAGTAGCTGGACGTCTCCAGCACAGTGTGACGCATATCCGTCGACTGACGCAGTGAGCACAACACCTTCACCCTTTGCCGAGCACAAGTAGATCTTCAGTGGTACTCGTGTTGAGGTAGCCTCGGGCGCTTCCGACGGATATACTTGTACTCGTAGTTCACATGTCGAGTGGAACATTTGTCCAAGCCATGCTCATGGCAACCATTGCCGTTGCGGATTGTCCGTGGAAGTCCGACTATTATCAAGTCTCCAAGAAACTTTCCAACTCGGCTTCCAAATGCCTGGCCAAGTGCTAGGGCTGGACGAGGACGAGGTTGAGACGCGTGCTCCAAGTTCACAGCGGATCATCCACCTCTTCCCCCTTTCTCACTCTGCTCTGCCCTTCTCCGGGGTTCTCATGTAGCTCTACCAGGTCATCTTCCGCGTAGCCACCTCTTTCTTCTTCCCCGCCCACCAATCCCTCTGCCTCCTCCCTCGTCTCGTCCAGCCCCATATTCCCGCCAGGCTTCGCTCCTTCCTCTCTCCTTCCGATCACGACGTTGCCCGCGGCCAACATCCCCGCGCCTACCCACCACATACCGCCCAGCTTCTCCCCAAAGATCAACGCACCAAGCACAGCAGTGATGACAAAGTTCGCCGAGACATTGATGATGCTGACGCGGGTAGTTGACTCTGCACGGGTCAGGGCGGACGTGAAGAGCCCCCACATGAGAGCGTTGAAGAGTAGGTTAAGGAGGAAGAATGTGCCCCGGACGGCAAGGTCGACGAAGGTATTGCTGGGGGAGAGGGAGAAAAAGGTTGCGATCGAGGACGACAGGTTGGATGTTAGGGAAGTGGTCGTTCTATTTGTTTGACGGATCGAGAGTCGGTTAGTTTGTCTGCATCATGAACGAGTTGGGCATAACGGCGCTGTAAGGCAGGGGAAGGGGGATTGAGCGCGCAACGGAAAAGGAGAGTCAGGATTCCAAATAGAGAGCTGGAGGAGCTTCCATTCCAGGAGTTCATGGACGTACAGTTTAGCAAATACACCATTAAAGGCCGCACACGCTCCGCTCGAGACGGCCAGCACGATCCAAACGGGCTGCCGCCGCAATGCGCGGATGATCGGGGATTGATTCATCTCAATGGCGGCGAGTGCTGCTTCTCCCTCGTCTTCTCCGTGCTTCTGGCCACCAGGATTCTGAACAGCGCGGGTGTCTTGGATACCTCTTTCAGTCTGCCCACGTTGTCCTATGCCGCGGCGTCGTCGAGGCTGTTGCGACATTTTGAATTGACCGAAGCTCGAAATTGGGGGCTTGGAGACGGTGACTGCGCGCTACGATGGTGACGAGGCTGTGGCTTCGAAGGGGCACTCGCTGATTGGCGGAGTTTCGGCATATTGAAACCCCCCCAAAGCCTTGTTGTGCCTCAGATCCTTGCAAAGTACACTGACATCGCCGAAAACATGTTGGTGACCTGATTGATATTTCAAGCATATGCCCAGGTATGTAGTATCGGAAGCTTCATGACTACCTCGTACATACTCCCACATTGCCATTTAACGCCTGTGCTCCGTCCTACTTACTCCGCCTGTCGCTTGTTGCTACTCCCGCTGTTGATGAAGCCACCTTCTCCTCCGCCTTGGGTTTCTCATTCGACCCCTCTCCATTAGACGGCCCTTGCACACTCTGCCGCTCATGTTTGCTCAGTGACCCCTCTTCGTAGTCCAAAGACTTCACGATGCCCAAACCCTTGGTCTTTCCCTCGCGGAATAGTATCTTGTCCCCCACTGCAAGGAACTCGGGCCTCTGGACGAATCGGAACGCGACAGTGGCTCGATCTCCGGTTCGAATGTACTCACGGTCAATCTCAATGATGGCGCAAGTCTGGCTGATAGGCCCTACATGAAGCATCGCTTGGTACTTTGGTCGTATGGTGGTTGGGTGGGACAAAATCAAAACCTCGGCGACAAATTCTCGATAAACCTTGGGTGGCGGGCCTTCGAGCTTCGGGAGTACGACCATGCCTTTGCGCACTTCTTTCTTTCGTATCCTTCTCAGGGCAAGGGAGGCAGACTGGCCGGCGCTACATGCCGGTACCTGGATTCTTTTCCGTTCGATCGATCGAATATTTGTTGTCTGAAACTGTCCAAGCGAGTCTGGTCCCACGAGAACGTTGTCACCTGCATGAATTATCCCGGACTTCACAACTCCCGACACAACTGTTCCCACAAATGGGACGGAGAAAGTGTCATTAATATGAAATTCAAAAGGCGCCTGATCGTCATAATGACCGTGATGCGGAAGGATATTGAGAAAAGTTCGAACAAGGTCCAGGGATTCCCCAGTGACATTTGAGACCTGGAAGATTGGGCAAATCCGCTGGGACACAAATTGTGTGGCTGTCAGAACTGTTTCCTCGTATGTCTTGATGAAGACGGGAATTTTCCTCGCTCCAGGTGATTTCAATATCCTCGTCAGCTGGGTGATCGTCTGTTCAAGAATCTGGGGAGGGCAAATATCGATCTTGGTGATGACGACCATGACAGGCACGTTCAAGGCCAGTGCTAAGCCGAGGTGCTCCTTCGACATACCGATCAGTCCGTTGTTGGCTGCCACCATGAGCAGACAGTAGTTTGGTGCCGAGGAGAGGAGGCCAAAAACTGTTGTCCGAAGATATCGCTCGTGTCCAGCTAGGTCGGTAAATGAGATGACCTTTGCTGAACGGGTCCCAATCTCCGCCCAAGTGAGTTTGCGACCCGGAACGGTGGATGTGACTACTTCCCCATGAGTGTCAAAGCCCATAATCTCCATGCCCACAGACGAAGTCCGACCAGATTCAATCTCGTGCTTGTGACGAAACAGGTTGACACGAGCCTTGCCGCGGCCATCGTCCAGGCTCCCCTTGACGAGGACACCTAACATAGTAGACTTGCCTGCATCAACATTACCAACCACCGCAATTCGCGTCTCGATAACTTCTTCAGCCGTTGCTGGGGTCTGTCGAATGAGTAGCTTGCCATGGCTTGAATGGTCATGAGTCGTGTTTGGATGAGCCTCCTTATCACCACCAACATTGTATGTCAGGAGCACGTTGACTGTCGCGTTGAGCATACCGGCTGCTTCAGTGATGCGTGTCATAGCAAGGTCCCATTGCTCTTTAGTGAATCGCATTGAGTCACCGCTGTCCTCAAGTCCTAGATCAAAGAGCGTCTCGCCATGGCCCTCGTCTAACCTGGATTCTAGAAAGCCCGACAATTCCTGTAAGGTTGCGGCTGCATCACCCGAGGTATCAAGCAGCAACTCTTTTAGTTTTGTCCGGCTTGGGGCGTCGGAGAGGTCTAATTGATCAAGGATCTCGAGCTCTGCATGATCTTCAGCGACGGACGAGGGAGCGCCAGTGCCGTAACCGCTGTCGCCAGCAACGGAATCGGGATACGGAAGGCGTGTCTTTGCTCGCTGTCGTTCTACATAATCAGCAAAATCAGAGAGGGCCTGGCATCATGTTAGAAATTGAAGTGGTTCATCACTTGAAATGCCCTCACCAGCTCCCCCTTTCGGCGATCTTGCAGTGTCTGTCTGTTGCGGCTACCCATGGTTAGTTGTTGGTTCGAATGCGAGATGAGGTGGAGAGTGGAGTGAAAGAGTGGCGGATGCGCCCCGCAGTCAGTAAGGTATTCGAGGAATCATCGTGGAGCTATGAGTAGCAGAGAGGCGCAGCGTTGCCCGAGTGCTAAGACTGCATCTTGAGCTGTACTGTAGAGAAGTTTCTGGGAGGATGAAATGCGCAGATGGGAGACAGAGAGGTAACAGAGCCCGTCCCGGAATATATATAAATAAAGTGGAGGCAGTGTTGGAGTCATGACCATGCAGCCATGATAGCTTTGTATGTACTTGTTTGGGCTACCACTGTGGCTATCAAGCGGGGAACCCACGAGTTGATTCCCTGACTCATTCTCCGCCACGCGTCTCAGCCTCATCAGTGACTGCAGGTCTTTCACTTCCGCTATCAGCACGCTAATTGACTTGTAAGATCCTCCTGCATCGTCACTCGTTCGAGACAGGTGAGTCTTCCACCGCAGGCTGGACTTTTCGAAGGGCAAGGTGTAAGCCTTCGAAGATTCTTCTTCCTGACCCAAGGATTGCAGCTTCAGGTGACTCATTTATAGGGGTACTGTTTCCCCCAGCGATCTTTTGGGTGACTTTCTACCGTCCGTTATGCTCCGTCATGGGCTAGATTTGACCCTCGAAACCCTTCGAACAGCGGTTTTGCTCGTTTGATCCGAGAACCTAGATCGACGTGGTTGAGACGGTCTCAAGACCCAGGTTGGGGAGAGATTAGTACGACCGAGTCTCCTGCTCAGTTGTCAGTGACAGCCAATCTTGGCCCTTTGGCACGGCGCATACCTCGGACAAAGAGCATATCGGACTGTTTCTTCGTTGTCTAGTGGAGTGAGTGGCCAGTTGATTGAATTTTGCATCAATGAGAACTGACCTTGACGGTGTCTTCGCCGTCCTCCTCCTCCTCAATCGTGTAGATTGTCTCTTCAACGTCTCCGAGCACAAGATTGCAATGACTATCGTAGGCCTATTTTGCCCCTGTGCGTCAGTATGAGGTCACTGCAATCCTGTTATACAAGCATACATGTAGTCTTCCTTTCAGCTCTCGATCTCCACGTAGTCGAACAAACACAATCTCATCGAGGGAGAGGCGGACAAGGTCAAGCGGTTCAGACACCGCATTGGCTCCTTCGTCTGGTGATTCGGCCATGACAGGCTGGACCTGTGGTCTGCAAAATAAATCCAACGTCGACTGGTGGTCTGGTTGTCGAGAAGAGAAGAGGCCTTTGTCTGCTAATACTGGGATCAGCCCAAGACCGTTTGGGCTTGGCGTCATTTGAAATTTGAGCTTTTGTTTGGAGAAAGCGAAATCCGTCCATCGCGCAAATCGCTCCCTTCCCAACGCCAGATTCCAGAATCTTTTTCAATGACTTAGTTGCCATCCTTTCCAGCTCTAGCTCGGGTCGCCGTCTATCTGCGGTGTATTGATGCATGGCTCGCTGCCTCTGGTGAGGTTGATCAATGGCTTCTCGCAATCCTCGCCCAGTCGGATACCTCACTTGACCCTTCACATTCTTCGTCGCCAAACCCTTTCCCCGGCGCACTGGGACAAAGGACTATGCCTTCCCAATGCTCGCTGTGAACGACGTTTCGACCGGTCATACTCCACGACCGTGTCCTTTTCTCCCTTCATATTGCCGAAGCAATCGACCCTCCTAGACGAACACGACGATCCTTCTTCGATAGAATATACAATTGATGAGGTGCCGCCAGCGGATTCCACTCATGGAGCAAGGAAAGTGGTGTCTATGCAGGCCTTGTTGGAAGAAAACAATCCCGACCGTATACTCTTGGGACTGGTGACACCTCAAATCGGGGACGATTTCATCGAAAATGCAGACGACCAGACCTTCGCACGTGCCATCTGCGCGTTGGATCCCGAGCATTTTATTGTTCCTTATGGAAAGCTATTCCGCTACTTGAAGCCGAGTCTAGAGACGCAGCCGAAGTTTCGAATAGTCAGATCACTGGAAGAGCGTGTGGCCACTTTTATCAATATCCTTGATTCCCTGGTCACTCAGCGACAAAAACATGGCCATTCCCTAGGTCTCGACGTATATCGTCATCTCTTACGGTGTACAGCCGCAGCTGGGGTGGGATCGTTTGCCAGGAATGTGTTTCGCAAAGCCATGAGAGAGGACGCTGTTGAACCTGATTTGGACTGTTACAACTACTTCATGGAGGCCCTAACCTGGAACGAGGCATATAATAGACATGAACGATATCGACTACGGATAGTCCGGCATAACATGTTTCGTCGATCATTGGAGACCAGACCGCTCGGATTCTTTGGCCACGGAGTCGCATCACCCAAAAATCCCAAAAGTGAACAGTCCATCAGGCTGGAAACTCTGGGCATCTTTAACGAGCTCGTGAACCAAGGGCTGAACGGTAATGAGGCAACATTCTGCAATCTTATGGTCGCGATGGGCCGCGAAGGAGACCTAGGCAGCGTCAAGAGCGTTCTCAAGTCCGCTTGGAATATTGATGTTGACGCTCTGGACAAGTACGACGAGGAGGAGTTGGAGAGTCCCACATTTTATGAAGAGGGCTCACCTCTTCGACCTTCTGCACGGCTGTTATTTACGGTAGTTCATGTTTTCGGCACGAACAATGAAGTCGCACTGGGAGGCATGCTCCTTGACTACATCTCGCGCAATTACAACCTGGATATTCCGGAATATATCTGGACCCATTTACTGGAGTGGACCTTTGTTCTATCAATCCAACACAGTAAGGCGCGGATCGAGAGAGGACACGGTGAGGGTCGCATTGCACGAAGGGCGGTCGAGTCAGTCTATCACGTCTTCCATAACGAACCGTACAACGTCCAGCCGAAAATCGAGGATCTGATATTTCGGGTCAAAGCCAGATCCGAAGCGAGGAAGCTCTACAAGGCTGTCGAAGACCTTCGCCAGTGTATGGTCCTGCTCGAGGAAGAACGAACCCGCCTCTCCGAAATGTATGACCAAATCCGAAGCCTCCTTGAAGACGCCGACTACCATTACATCTTCTACGACGGCTTACCTTCTGCTTCATTCCTCGATCTAAAGCACAAGTATGTGCTTGCTTCCCTTCAGCTGGAATGCCACATCCAACTCATCTCTATTGCTGTGCGCAACACCATCAAGCGAAAAGATTGGACATCACATGACGAAGGCACAGACTGGCCGTACCGAGGTATCCCCAATATCATCGCGGAGTGGACAGACTGGTTACCAAATATCATCCCCTACTACACACCCACTGGTCACGTGTGTATTTGGGGAAGGGAATCGCGGCACGCGGCCATTCAGAGCGCGAATTCCCTCCAAACGACAAGGACAGGCACAATGCGCATGCTGCTCGACTCTTATTCCCCAACTCGCCTCCGCCATGCCGCTGGGTTCATTCATCGCGGGCCTACCGGGAACGCTCTGACCAAATTTCAAGACGAAGTTCGCGGCGATTCCTCGGGCCGCCTGAGTGATTGGGTACTCCGATTCGAGGCGGCTGTCCGTCAAGAAAGGTTGAGTGATCGTCAGGTCGTGGGCGCGCAGGTACCCGGTCCGGATCAGAAGAGCGAGGATTGGAGGCCTTGGGGTGGAATCGTGGGGAAAGGCAAGAGAGAGCGCGGGCGTCGGAAAAGTCGCTCAGCGACGAGGGACGATGAGGGTGAGGGCGAAGACGAAGAAGGGGAAAGGCAGACGGAGTGACGCAATGGCGGGTGAGCAACAGGACGTGTAACAAGTGTAACATCATCCATCACGTGTGTACATATCGCGACAATTCGCTATGTAAGAATGTGGTACTGCAAGTTCAATTTCTCATAAAACAACGAACAGTCGCCCGGGTCACAAAAAAGGCTCCCCTTGGGAGTCCTCTTAAGGGCTAAAAGCCAAATCGGATATCATGGACAAGCAAGAACCGTCAAAAGAGCCTCCCTCCCAATGTGACACATCCACAAGCCATTGACGCGGGTCTGCTGAATAGACACAGACACATTTTGACTCCCCTCTGTCCCTCGTGCCCCCAGCGAGGACTCCTCGTTTTGGGGCCCTTTTCCTCCTTCGCGCCGAAAGAGAAAAAAAAAACACGTAAAACTCCTCGGGGGTTTCAAAAAGGAAAAAGGAACTTAACTCCAGATGTACTGGTGTCATTTGGTGATCTTTTCCCACCTCTCTTCACCCTTTAGCCCGCCACGACTCGCTCCCTCCTTAAATCATTCACGACCATGTACCTCCCTAGGCCGATCCAGCCCCACCGGAACCAGACCATCTGAGATTTGTGTCCGTGGATCATGGCCTCGCGCGCCTTCCAGTACCGGAATATGTCGTTGACAAACATGACTCGGTCTGCGGCGCCCTTGGGCCCCGTGGCGGTCTTCCCTTTCCCTGTCGTGGATCCAAACAAGTTGCCGAATATGGTCTCGTAGATCCCGGCTAGGAGGGTGGGTATGGCGTCTAATACGAAGGAGTATTTCCGCACAATGTTGATCGAGGGGAGGGTGTACAGCGTGACCGGGCAGGCATAGCCAGAGTGGCCTTTCATGATCTTTTGTAGGAACAGGGAAGCACCGTGGTACAAGGCGATGTGGTTGGGATGGCCTGAGATACCGCCCTTGTCGAAGGTGATTAGGACGTCGATCGTTGCGCGGGGTCCCTCTACCTCCTTTTGCGCTGGAGCGGGCGGGGTTGCTATGCTTGTGCGAGAGGCGGATTTGGTGTGTTTCACAGAGTTTGGCTTGGATTTTCGTCGGTCCTTGTCCTTTTCCTTGTCGGAATCTGATGTGGGCATTGCCGGGGTTGCTGAAGCAGACGGAGAGTTCAGGTGCGGCGCAAAGGCACTGGCCAGCACGAGCGCGATATCCTCAGACTTCCACTCCTCCTTCATTCCGTCCTTGAACCGCTCGTCCTCTAGCACAAAGACGTCCTCTTTCCGCCTCAGTCCCAGCGTCGTCGCCGCCTTTTCCAGTTCCTGTTTCCGTGTTGCGCCCAGACCTTCGCTGTTGCCCGTACTCATGCATAAGATCTTCAAGTGGTTTTGTAGAGAAGGGTGGGTCAGGGCTTGAAGGGCCGGCGAGAAGAACATCGACTCGTCGTCCGGGTGAGCGATGAGCAGGATGATGCGCTTGTTGCGGAGAAGGGCAGGCATAGGGGGGAGCATGGTCGACGTGAGATGCCAAAGAGCGAAGATGAGGACGGGTAGTATGGTCAACGTGACGATCGTTCCAAAGGCCATGTTGGAGGGGTCCGGGTCACAGTGAGCTGTCGCAGATCAAGACTGGTAGAAAGTCGCGCTCTGCGGAAAAACTGCACACTTGAGGAGGATATTGACGCAGTCTAGAGAACCGGATTGTTTCATCCCAAGCGGTGCTACGGGCAGCATAGAGTTGACTGCTGCGGCGGGCGAGGTTTCATGGTGGGAAGGTCACTGGCACATAAAATCAAGGAGAGACTAGACAACAGAGAGACAGGCCATCCGGAAAAAATCGTCCAGGGCCATGCATGAACAGGTGGAGTTGGAATTGAACACACGAAAAAGCGGTAAAGGTGGCCAGATCTCAATTGACGGGAGACATTTTACGGTGCAATGGAAATGGATATGGAAATGAAGCGGCGTTGCAAGGGTGCGTGTTGGATGGTTTCGCTTCAACCATCTCACCCCCACTTGGTCGCCAAATTAAATCACCCGCCGAGATGGCCAGGAGCTGAAGAAAAGGCACGTGATGCAATCAATCGTATAGTTGAAAAGAAGTAACTGTTAGATCACACCGTGAGGTTGTGGTCTGGCCAGCGCCTGTTTTACAGCTATATAAACAGCCGAACGGGCATCAAGTCTTAAGTGCATGTAAGCGACGCGGAGAGTTATCAAGGTAGATTTACTGGTATGGATACGACCTCTACAACAGACCAGGTAACGGACCAGGTTGGGGCATCAGAAGGGACGGACTTCGATGTCCAGAGCAATCAACCTGTGGGCGAGATTTCCGAGCGAGTCATTGTCGCTGCCACATGAGCGACAGGGGGCCTCTTGGGACGCGAAGGGGGTGGGCGAGGGTAATGTACCTGGAGAAGCGGACATGAAAATCATAGACTTCTGGAGCCTCAGTCGAGGTGGGCTTTGATGTAAAGTCGTGTCAGCAAAAATTTCATTGAATATCTGGACGTCAAGTGAGAGACCAACCAAGCCTGCTCCAACTCCACAGGTCCCATTCCCAATTCCAAAACCCATCATCTCTGTGTGTGGCCTGTTGCCAGTGTAGCCATCCCTTCGCAGCGAATATTATTCTTGACTAGACAACCTGTGTCCAGTCAATCCCTCTCGAGGAGGGATTATCCATCATTGTCATTGTAGGCGGAAATATCTTGCGAGAACCGTGCAGTGGATTCCACCATATCCTGCACCGTTCGCAGAGGAGGGAGGTGAGGATGGATTTGTGCGCCTGATCAAAGACAACATAGCCGCTGTCTAGTATCTGTATCTTGTTGAGTAGTCTTTCGGTGAAACCACCAAGCCTCGTCCCTTTTTGGCGCCTTTGTAGATCGTTTCAATTATGTCGATAAGCTCTTGTTTGTCTTCGAGAACCCAGTTCAGCTTGTTGTTGTTGCCAGTACCGAAATCACACATCATGTGTTTGTTGCGAAAGAAGAACATGATGGTCACTGGATCGTAGAGCTCGTACATCTGTTTGAAGTCCGGGACTTGGTCGAGGTCGCAGACGTAGATGACAGCGAAGTTCTTGACTTTGTCGGCGATCTTGTAGAGGACTTCATCTTGTCGCATACAGTCAGGATCCCAGTCACGGCCGAAGCGGATGACCACCAGGCGTTCGTCTTCGGAGAGAATGGCTTGGTCGACGTGCCAGCCAGTGACCAGATGAGGAATGACGACGGAACCCATAATTGTGTCAACAAAAAGGGTAGTGGCGATATAAGGTTGATGTGAGTGTCTTGTTGTGGGATATACAGAGGTTGAAAAGGAGGATGGGGGAATGAGGACTGTTAATGAAGCGCGCAACCACCCGTGTACAGTAGGTTGGAAGATTCAAGAAACATACGCCGTGCCTCCTTAGCTGTACGAGGACGTCACGGGGAGCCAGGCACCACCACCACAGTGCCTGGGCTTGGCTATGGTTGTCTTTATCGATAAGGATTTACGGGTCTCCCCGCGAAAATTTTGGTGAGCCTCCGAACACTCAGCGATAGCCTCCGTCTATGACGAGGACATCACAAGCAACTGTTCTACAATCTTCTTGCTGCTGATCAGTGATGCCCCAGAGTTTGCAAGAGGACTCGAGATCAAACATGGCGGCATTCACGCAACCTGATCCCCAGATCGATACGACCATCCCTACCCTCAGAAGAGATTTGACCTCCGAGAACGTCCCACTTGCCCGACGCTTTCGCGCACTATTCTCCCTCAAACACGTCGCTTCGCAAACTCCTGGACCACAGGCAACAGCGGCAATAGAAGCAATCGCCGCTGCATTCGCTTCTCCCTCTGCGCTTTTGAAACACGAGCTGGCATATTGTTTGGGACAGACCAGGAATCTAGTGGCAGTACCGTTCCTGCGAGCGGTCCTTGAAAATAAGGAGGAGGATGCCATGTGTAGGCACGAGGCAGCCGAGGCCCTGGGGGCACTGGGGGACATATCAAGTCTACAAATTATGGAACAAATGAAAGACGACGAGAGCGAGCCGGTGGTGGTTAGAGAGACATGTGAGATAGCCGTCGACCGCATCAATTGGGCTCATTCTGAGAGCCGGCGAAGCGAAAGCTTGAAGTCAAGCGACTTTGCCTCGATCGATCCTGCGCCTCCTCTCCCTCTGTCCTCAGAAACACCTTCGATACCCAATCTACAGGCTACCCTTCTCGACCAATCGTTGCCCTTGTTCCAACGGTATCGTGCCATGTTTGCGCTTCGAGACCTTGCCTCTCCACCAGACCTCCCCACGGCAAAGCCTGCCGTTCACGCCCTTGCTTCTGGGTTCAAAGATCCATCCGCACTTTTTCGTCACGAGGTGGCTTTTGTGTTCGGGCAACTATCGCATCCAGAATCAATACCTGCATTGTTGGCCGTGCTGGAGGATACCAAGGAAGAAAGCATGGTTCGACACGAGGCTGCCGAGGCACTTGGCAGTTTAGGAGAGGAACCAGGTGTGGAGGATATGTTGAAGAGATTCTTGAATGACCCTGAGCAAGTCGTTCGTGAGAGCGTTGTTGTTGCTCTTGATATGGCCGCATACGAGAAAACTGGGGAGATGGAATATGCCACCATCCCAACAGAGGTTGTTGTATAGCACCGGTTTGCTTTAGAAAGTGTCGCATTTCAGACCCCAACTCAGCGTCATCTCAATTATTCTGCACATCCTTGAAACCACACTCGCATCTGTAGAATACAGTCGTCCCTTCATCGGCGCTTCGTAGTTGCTTGGTATGGTAGAACATTTCTGGCCGGTGGCAATCAGGGCACTCTCTGGAGATGACAGCCTCGACCTGTAAATCGTCGGCGTTGACCGCCTGCACCTCGGAATGCTTTGCACGTAGAGGAGATGGAAAGGCACTCGGTTTGGACTTTGAAGTTATGACTTTGGATGAGGTATCTTTGGTGTACTGAAAACAATCGTCGCACTGGACCAGGTCGTCTTCATTCTCGCCTGGGACAATCCGCGGTAGCAGTGAGCCACAGGCATCGCAGAACAAAAGGCTACCTATCGCAACCATGATGAAATTTCGAGTGTTTGAGGAGATCGTGGCTGACTTTTTGCAGCCCCGAGATAAAATTTGGGATCTTGTTCCTGCAGCCGCTTTGGCGCCAACCCTGGTAAGCGCGATCTCGTATTGAAACCGCAGCTTAACCGAGCGGATCACGGTTTGAAGATCCCTTTCCCCAGCCGTGCCCAGCCTGACTTTAGCAGTGCCTAGTCACTTTCGAGCCTCACTTTCATCTCTACATGCTTGCGCAGACGGTTTGTGTCAAGACAACCCACCCCCATACCGAGGACAACTGGCAGCTTGCGCTAGCTGTTTGTTGACTATGAGGGTCATGGCGTGTATCCTGACAATAAACCAGCCCAGTTCAACCCCTCCACCGTCTTTGGCGGAGTCGTCGAGATAGTTGAATCGGCCGCCTTGTGCAGTTCCCATCACTCGCCAGTGTCAAAACCATGGACATGACGGGCGATCACATAGAGGTCGCTGTCCCACGACGGCGGCAGAATCATTCCAATGACAGACAACTCTCTGTGGATCAGGCTTTCCAATACACTCCCATGACCATGCCGATTCTCCAGCCGAATGGTATGCCCACTTCACTCAAGAGTTGCTGCCGTTTCTAATTCACCTCACAGAATGCGTCCCTCTTCCTCAACTTGCGTGCTCCAATGATGCGCGGCTCACTTCTCCTTCCGAACGCCAAGCAGTATATCGAAGCGAACTAGACACTCCCGCGACTAGAGAACGTCTGGCGGTCCTGCTTGATCGTAGCCGTTTATCTGAGATCAAGTTTCCTCGATCCCCAGTTCAGAATGACAACTCCATCAGGGCGGAACTGAACTCCATACCAAAGATGGTTCTCAAAATGTCCAAAATAGATTATACATACAAGTCTTCGACAACTGGAACCCCCCCTGCAGCCCGCAAGAAAACGCTTCAGATGCCTATCACTAAACCAGCCTCCATTACTGTCGACATACCGAAGCCACCCCCGTCCTTCAGAAAAGAGGACTACGTCAATATACAAGATACTCCAAAACGACAGAACCTCAACGAGCCTCCGCCACCTACCAAGCCCGTTTTAGCAACCACTTCCAAGAAACAGAAGGATGACCAGCTTTTGGCGAGCTTTGAAAGCCAACTCGGCGAGATTTTCGAGATTCGAGATCAAATTGACCTCAACAACTCAGCAGAACGACAGGGACCGCCCAATGGCATTTTCGATCTGCCCGACGATGAAGACGACACTGAACCCCGACTTGCAATCCGTTTACAGGAGAAACTTCAATCGACCTTGAATCAGCTCCTAACATCAGGTCGGCTCTGTGATGTTTCTCCGGAATATCTTCAGCGACTTCAACGAATATGTGAGCCGGTGATAGAACGTGCACAGGCAATCAACTTGCAAGTACCTCCGGGCGCATCCGATGAGGATACATCTACTTGGCTGTCGAAGCTTCACACTGCGGAGAGCGGAGCTGCTTCAGCGTGCACTCTGATCTACACCGTTCTAGGTGCTCCTCAAAATCAAGACCTTCTCAATCTGGAAGCACTGCAATGGTTGCCCAATGTGCTCGTGAACTTATTCGAGAATTGTTTGATCCCGATTGTCGAGGCCCGCCCAGATGGACAGAACAGTGAACTTTTCAGTTACGCCTCGGCGCACCACGAACCTCTCAAACGATTGCTAGATGTTGGACGCAAACTGCTGGATCTTGTGGCGAGGGTGTGCGTGGAAATTAAAGGAGCCGGGTCTCTTGTCAATGCCACTGAGTTCCTAGCAGCGAAGCTCATTTTTGTCCAGAATGCTTATAACGACAAAGCATCCGCACTTGGGTCTCAAGCGTACGAGCGGTTGAGAAAACAAGCCATGTCTGCTCTTGCCAGACTCTACGCAGCCTTCCCTGGTGAGCGGCGGGCAATATTGGACGAAGTCTTGACGTCCTTAGACAAGCTGCCTTCAAATAGCAGGAGTGCAAGACAATATAAGCTCGCACCTGGCAAGAATATCCAACTGGTCTCTGCTCTTTTCATGCAGCTAGTGCAGACCTCGGCTATGCAAACAGGTATGAAAAGAAGCCTGAAATCACGACGAGGACCTAGGAAGGAATCGCAGGCATCCGGCGGTTCAGACCAGAGTGAGGATTCAGCCAGTGATATGGAGGTTGACTCGGCTTCCACAACACAAGAGATTGAGAAGAAACCGCTATCAAGGCTAGGTGAGATGGCACAGAGTCTGTTCCATGATGCATCATCGAGTGCCAATCAAATTGTCATGTGGATGATTGACAAGGCTTCTAAAGTCACCAAGACTGGCGATTCGCCTTACCGCAACATCCTCGATCTGTTTGTGGAAGACCTCACTCTGGTGCTTCCCTTACCGGACTGGCCAGCGTCTGAGTTGCTTCTCACAGCGCTGGCTCTTCGAATGAAAAGCCTTGCCGAAACAGACAAGTCAGCCTCGACGAAGAACATGGCTCTTGAATCCTTGGGGGTGATGGGGTCTGCGATATCCCAAATCCGTGCATCTGCTCGAAGCTCGCTTTCAGCATTCACGGGGGAGGCGGAGTCATACGCGACCACTATTGCCCGAGATCTGTCGGACTCTGTCAAGGAGCGGCCTCATTTTCTTCTTGATGCCCACGAACTTGTATCGGCAAGGGGGCCATTTTCCATTGTCTATTCCTACTTGAGCCAGAGAGGAGGGGAGGGACTGAGAACCAAATCCGCACAGGCATTCTTCCTTGTGAAGTTTGGAGGTCTCATTTATCAAGCCTCTACACAGCCACAGGATAAAGAACGGCACTTTGAACTCGACTCGACACTTGAGAGCACAGTTTCGGCGATATTGCAACAGCTATCCGGATCAGTCAAATACAATGAGATCGCTAATGGTCACACCAAAGTTACTGAACATGAAGCCCAATTAGCCTATATGCTGAGCATTCTCAACGGGCGATTCTGTCGAATGTTTTTGGAAATCGCCACAACGCTAAGTTCGTCGATCGCGAGTGATCAGGCTCAAGTTCGCACTCGCAGCCTGAAGAGCGTCGTCGCTATGTTGGAGATCGATTCAAGTCTGCTCGATTGGGGACCGGCTCTGGTGGACATGGTCTTGAAGTGTGCTTCAGATGACTCGTCCATGGTCAGGGATTCTGCCTTGACACTGATTGCCAGATTTATCATGCCAAGGCCAGCACTTCAGAAAAGGGCATTCATGGTGCTTCTCAAATGTACTGACGATCCTAACGTTGGGGTGCAGAAAAGAGCCATGGCTCATTTAAAAGATGTCTATTTGAGGGAGGGGAGAGCAAATGTGAAAGAAGCTATCGCGGTCGAGTTCCTGAAACGGACCGCCCATCAAGAAACCTCCGTGGCTGAGCTTGCAATAAAAATATTGGCAGAGATCTGGGTTGATCCTAAACTGGCAACGATGAGCTCTGCAGCCGAGTCTGCGCATCTGGATGTCGCGATTGAGGACCTCAAATCTCACATTGTCAGATGTGTTGGAAACGACACGGCGCGGCTGGCACTACTTCTGAAGGAGTTCTTGGCTTGGAAGCTGAAAGACTCCAAAAACATTGACCAGATCCAGCATCTCTGCGCCCGTATTGTCAAGAAACTCCTGGACGCCGCCAATAGCTCTGAGTCGGGACCGGCAGAGTTGGCGACTCTTGTTGCATTTGTTGAAGCTCGACCGGAAGCAGTGGTGCCCGCAGATCTAACCAGTTTGAAGAGCTATCTCAAAGACTTGGCTAAACAGGATAACATCCCAAAGTTCAAATCAGTTGTGGCCATATTTCGTCTGGTTCTGCCACAACTGTCCAGCACTCAAGCTCCACTGCTGCAAGAGGTTCAGAAAGACCTTCTGAAAGCTACTCCGAAGCTTGTGCAACGCGAAGTGATTGAGGAGGTGATGTGGTGCCTGAGGAGCATCGACGGGGTGCTGCACGACACCATCAAGCTTGCTAGGTTCACGTTATCACTGGTGCGGAACGTGCTGCCCAGCGAAACTTCGCGAGGGACGGCGCCCGCGCCACGAGAGAAGATGGAGGAGACCAAGAAGAAACAGTGCTTGCGGTTGCTTGGCGTCGCAGGAAAAGTCTTCGACTTGGAACAATATCGCGAGGAGTTTCGCAGACAGTTTCCTACATACAAGGGTGGCTCAGTTGCAGGGGTGATTGCAGACTGCATTTGGGAACACACTTCTAGAGACTGCCCTGTTGAGACCCGAGTTAGGGCGCTGGAGTGTCTCGGCCTCGTCTGTCAAGCATGGCCGGGCCAGTTCAACAAACGGCATATTCGAGAAACGTTCTTCCAGGTTCTAGATGGAACGTCTTTCAGTGAGCTGGACAAAAGTGACGTGGAGAAGATGCAGATTACAGTGCTCGAGGTATTTCAAGAATTGTACGGGAAGCGGGCGGCTGTCAAAGAGGAGGCGAAGAAGGGCGAGAGCGATGGTGAGGCGCAGGCCTTGAAAAACATTGGTGGCGACAGCAAGACCCGCGAGGACGACAGTGCTATTGCGATCATCACCAACACGCTGGTTGACCACCTCTTGCACATCATCATGTCTGAAACTGGTCTGAAAGCACTGCTCGCAGCTCAAACACTGGCCAGCATCGACCACCAGGGTATGACGCACCCAAAACAAAGTACATCGGCTTTTGTGGCGCTGGAGACCAGTACGGAGCCCCAGGTTGCCCGTGTTGCCCGGATTGCCCATGAGCACTTGCACCAACAGCACGAATCCGTCTGTGAGAGAGAGTATGTCAACGCCGTGTTCGCCGCATTTCGATACCAGAACGAGGTAATCAAGAATCCGCAAGGAGGGTTGGTTCCGGGATACACGGCCAAACTTGCCACGGCTTTTGCCATCATTAGCACCAGTGGCTCAAAGTACGTGAAGAAGTTCATCAGCAATCTAATCTCGAAACTCAACACCGAGTACTCCAAACTAGATGTGGCAGAGGATGAGATTCCTGAACATCTCTTGTTTGTCCTATTTGTGACTCAGAACCTGGCATTCTTTGAGTATAAGAAGATGGACGAGCTCCTGCATACTGTGTTACAGCTAGAGCTGGCATTTGGTCGAAATGGTGGCGAAACAGCACAGGCGATCGAGTCACACCTCGGACCTGCCCCCGTCAAGCACGCAGAGACTGAAGAGGCCGATGTGGTTACCCCAGACCCAGCACCTCTAGTGGATCCGGCCACGTTAAGATCGCTGACGACGGCAGCTTGCGCCATCACGCTGATCTCGGAAGCGAGGAACTTTCTGAAGAGACAGTACGGGCTATCGCGAGATGTCAGGGTAGCGATGCAGCAGAACAAGCAGACCAAGGAAGCTGGAAAGGAACCGGTCAGGGTGCATGGAATCACTGGGGACAAGTTCTGGCACAACTCCAATGCGGTTCTAGAATCGCTCAACAGTGCGAGCGCAATGGTTGCGAGATGCCGAGAATTTGTTCAACTTGTGGCTGTCGACGATGAAGTCAAGATTGCCGAGGAGGCAGCAATGGGCGCAATGATGGATGTGGCCCCAGACCAACCTCCGAGCGCGCAACGCGGCCGAAAGCGCAAAAGTATCTCTGGGTCGGTCGGAGGGACGCCAAAGCGAGCTCGAGGGCGACCGCCAAAGAATGGCCATGCGCGACGATCAGCGAGTGTGTCGTCGATGGAGAATGGGGACGACGAAGATTTTTAAGGACAGACGCAGCATTTACGAATGATGATGGTCGCGCGGCATTTCTCTGGACACTAAAATGGCGGAAAGACTTTGTGAATTTCTGAGAGGACCGAGGAGTTTTGGGAGGATATGCAGCCTGCGCAGTTACTGGGACACAGGACGAGAATGTTTATTGCGTCGTTATATGATACCCCCACGAAGTTATTTTTTCTCAAAATTAAGGAATCAGAGCGGACGCCGCAAAGAGGGAGTGAAGGGGTTGGAGGAGTGAAGAGGCCGAGGGCTTCAGATAGCCAGGCAGGTAATGAATGGAATTTCGTTGCGAAGAATGCCCGAAGCCGACAGGTTGGATCGCTGGATCGAATCGAGTAAAAGGAGCGGAGAGATTTGATAAGCGAAGCCACTGTGTGATGATGATGCTGATGATGATGAGAGGGTGACGATAGGGGATTGATGATGAATGGTCTGCTGCCGCACTTCCGATCGCCATTCCAATGCACCGATGGGGGTGGCCCAGTGGGTAAAAGTGAAGTGGGTGAGCGGCGAGGCGGGTAGGAAGATAGAAGTACCAGCAGCACAAGGCCGCAGTTACAAGCACCAGCAAGTACACAAGTAGGAACAAACACACATTAAATTATATGCCTAGTCAAGCCAGTCTTGCCAGTCAACCAGTCCACACCAGCTGGTGCCCATGAGCCACAAAAGTGCCACATGCATTCAACCAGCTTGAAGCTTCAATTGTTTATCCCACCCAACCACAAAAGCCACGCTCCTCCACTCGCTGCCATTCCGTCATACCCACGTCCAGCATCGTCCCCGTCTATTTCTTTTTGCTCCTTTTCTCTGCTCGTATCTGGATTCTTGGATAGATCTGTCCTACTTGTACAGCGTTCAGCTTTGAATACCTCTCCTTTGTTGCTCCCTTTCGCATATCTACCACCAGTCCTCACCATGAGGTAAACCTGCCACTGTCCTCTCGCCTCCCCTTCTTCGACCATGGCCGCCCTTCCTCAATTGGCTCGCAGCGGCCAGCGACACGTTCTACTCCGCTTGCGCTCTGTTCCTACTCTCCATGCCTCTCCTCAATTAAAACCGATCCAACCGACGAGACTATGCCTACAATCCTCCAGGGCTCTGTCAACCCTGCGGCTAGCCCAGTCGCCTTCTAGAAACACGAGCATCGGTCTTTCGAAGCTCCCTTCCCGTCTCTTCTACCCTCCCACTGCGGGGACAGTGAGATACATTTCTACCAAAGAGCTCCCTAACAACAAGGGACCCTTCGTTCGGTTCTGTTACCGCATATTTGCATACACGGGCATCTTCATCGTCTTCTCCGGAACCTTGGTCCTCGCCTTTTTCCTCTACGATGCTTCCACATACCGAGAAGCACCCGAAACGACCGGTGATATTGCTGTGTCGGAAGCGGCACTGTCACCCAGAACAGGAGGGCCAAAGAACTTGCCCATCGCCGAGGTATTGGTCGATGACGAGGATTGCGAGCACATGCGCGAGCAAAAGGACAAGCCCAAACTGGTCGTCCTGGGCACGGGCTGGGGGAGCGTCGCCATGTTGAAAGAACTCCACCCCGGTGACTATCATGTTACTGTCGTGTCTCCCGACAATTACTTCCTGTTCACACCCATGTTGCCTTCTGCCACCGTGGGCACTCTGGAGTTGCGATCGCTGGTCGAGCCAGTCCGCAGGATTGTCAATCGATTGAGAGGGCATTTCTTAAGGGCTGAAGCTGTTGACGTCGACTTCGCTGAACGGTTGGTCGAAGTGGCCCAGGTCGACGCCGATGGCAATAGGCAGCATTTCTATCTTCCCTACGACAAGTTGATCATTGGAGTCGGCTCCACCACCAACCCTCATGGCGTCAAGGGCTTGGAACACTGTAACTTCCTCAAGACCATAGAAGATGCGCGCCTGATCAAGAACAAGGTCCTCCGCAATCTCGAACTTGCCTGCCTGCCCACAACCTCTGACGAAGAAAGAAGGAGACTGCTCTCGTTCGTTATCAGTGGCGGTGGCCCAACGGGGGTCGAGTTCGCCGCCGAACTATACGACATGCTCAACGAGGACCTCTTGAAGTCGTTTCCACGGATCTTACGGAACGAAGTCTCGGTGCACGTCATTCAGTCGCGAGGCCACATCCTCAATACCTACGATGAAGCCTTGTCGGTCTACGCCGAGAAGAGGTTCGAACATGATCACGTCGAGGTTCTGACGAATTCGCGGGTCAAGGAAGTCAAGCCCGACCGAATCATCTTTTCTCAGATGGAGGATGGGAACCCGGTCACAAAAGAGCTCCCAATGGGATTCTGTTTATGGTCAACTGGTGTCGCGCAGACTGAATTGAGCCGCAAGATCGCCCAGAAGCTCGGTGACTTCCAGAACAACCGACACGCCCTCGAGACTGATACACATCTGCGACTCCAAGGCGCGCCACTGGGCGAGGTCTACGCCATCGGAGACTGCGCCACGGTCCAAAACAATGTCGCGGATCATCTCACTACCTTCATCCGTGGGATGGCGTTCGAGCAGGGTAAAGACCCGGAAAAAATGCACATCACCTTCCAAGACTGGCGCAGTGTCGCGCAAAAAGTGCGCAAGCGGTTTCCCCAGGCAGCCGGCCATCTCAAACGACTCGACAAGCTGTTTCAGGAATATGACAAGGATAAATCCGGCACGTTAGATTTCGGCGAGCTGCACGAATTGCTTGTCCAGATTGATTCCAAACTCACCTCTCTTCCCGCAACGGCTCAACGTGCGAATCAACAAGGTCAGTATCTTGGTCGGAAATTCAATAAGATTGCCGCCGCCATCCCGGGCTTCAAGGCCAACGAGGTCGATTTTGGAGACCTCGACGAAGCCGTCTACAAGGCCTTTGAGTACCACCACATGGGTTCACTGGCCTACATTGGAAACGCCGCCATTTTTGATTTTGGCGGTCTGAATTTCAGCGGTGGGTTGATGGCCGTCTACTTATGGAGGAGCATCTATTTTGCACAAAGTGTCAGTTTCCGGACGAGGATGTTGTTGGCAATGGATTGGAGCAAGCGAGCACTGTTTGGACGAGGTGAGCTTAACATCGGCGGCTTAGTGACTACGATCGAGGGCGACGACTGACGAATGAGCAGACTTGATGAGCTTCTGAACGAATGAGCTGGAATACATGGTCTGAATGGCACCGTGCGAGACATGCCGGCACCTTTGATCCACTGCACCTTGTGATTTTACCTGCTGCCGAAGCCGCAACATTCGTCTGCCCACTCGAATGGAGAGATTAAGTGTTTGGACAGAGTGACCGCCCCAAGCAGTGGCGAATTTTGAACAGCATTGACGCCTGGGGAGGATTAAATATTAGCAGACCCCTCGGATCGATTCTGAGGAGGCAATTGAAGGGCGCCGGACGTTCCTTTGCTGAACAAGGACTATAGACCAGAGCGGTCGAGTGGATACCTAGAAGAAGGAGAAGGAATAGACCGACGAAGAACTGGAGACCAAGAACTGTTACTCTCCTTCCCGAAAGCTCCGATTGGAATGGAAGATGCTGTTGAAACGATAATAACCCACGGATCCAAAGCCTCTGTGAGTGGGGGAGAGAGAAAAAGAGAGAGAGGACGAGAAAAGACGAATCAGACAACGAATGGCACTTTTTTTTGTTATTATTCTTCGGTCTACCGAGTACATATAGCGCGATATTAGAGCATGGATGGGTATTTGTTCTTTTTTTGGGTGTCCCTTTTTTTCCCATCTCCCTGTCTGCCTCAGCTCCGACTTGGCTCACAGACAGTCGAGTCGGACCGATGTGGATGGGAACGGGTGGCGAGGGACGTGGTACCATGGCAAAAGACGGTATTGTATGTACCGAGTCGAGTGACCTCCTCCCAAATACGGAATTCATGATGGATGGGTTGGCCCAGGTCCTTGCTTGCTTGACCAGCGGACTTTGTCCCCATCCATGATTATTGTTTTTGATGCTCAGTCCCTTCCACCCCGTCAGATTCATTCTTTGTCCTCGGTATTGTTATCCGTCTCGGTTTACGTCTCCGAATCGGTGTCGGTGTCGGTGTCGGTGTCGGTGTCACTTTGGCTCTCGCTCTGACTTTCGCTTTCGCTTTCGCTTTCGCCCTCGGCCACGCCATCCACGCGAGCTTTACCCACAACATCTCGCTTCCCCGTCTCGGCTGTGACGGTTACCTCTCCGCCGAGCCTGGCCCCATCCCCAACTTCCCTAAAAATCCTCCTGTCGGCCTCCCACCGGCGGATCGCTGCGACGTCACAAGTCTGTGCCACGCGTGCCTCCACCGCCTCGACCCAGCTGACCATCTCGTCGTCAAGCTTACCAAATGCGGCGACGCCATGCCCGCTGTGGCCTCTGAGCGTCTTGGCGATGGAAAGCCACTCCCTGACTCCGGTTCGGGTGATGAGCGTGTCACTCCCACCTTTGATCCGGGTGGCGAGCTCGACGACCCTCAAGATCTTCTTGCGCGCAGATTTGGTGCAGACGGGCGACATGTAGTACGAGAATAGTCGCGTAAAGACCTGTGCGCGGCGGAACAAGTCCATGTCGGCCTCGGTGCGCAGAGAGTTGAGGAGGAGGTCGAGAAGACGCTCGATTTCCAGCGCCTGAGCATTGACGTTTCCACCACCGCCACTCGTCACTTCGTTAGAGCTCGCGCGAATGTCTGCATCGTCCATCTCCGGTTCCGTGAGGAAGGTCTCCTTCAGCCAGTAAGGGATAATATGTGGGACAGACCACTGAGGCCCACGAAGGAGGAAGGTGTTGGTCTTGCGGTAGAACGGGGACGACGGGTCGGCGACGACGGGGAGGAAGTGGATTGCTAATTCTGCCACTATGGAGGGCACTGGAGCTGTTGCAGTAGTCGTCGAGTTTGAGAAACCATTGCTTCTGATCGTCTCGTACAGTTCTCCCAGGAGGAGCCAGAGTTGGGTCTTCTCGTCGTAGGTGGACTGCTGGACAGCGTGGATGACATGTTGGAGAATCTGCAAGGCTTGAAGTCTGACCTCAGGCTCTGGTGAGACGAGACAACGGATCAAATTGGCTAGGCGCCAACTTTGAACCTCGGATTCGAAGTCAGGTTTCGCCCAGCGATCGAGGCCACTTAGGGATGTTGGCAAGGCGGGTGGCGGCGGAAAGTTTTCAGCGACGTCCAGGTTGCTGTGCTGCTGTTGCTCTGGGGCCAGTTCACTGTGTTCGGAAGCCTCAGGGTGTTTTGCATGCCCTTCCACAACATCTTCCTTGGGCAAAACAACGGGTCTCTTTCGCTGCTTCTCAAAGGCCTTTTCTAGTGCTTCTTTGCCCTTCTCGTTGCCATCACTCTGCCCCAACATCTCTTCCTTCAAGTGCATCATGACACGATAATTCTCGCCTGCCGAGTCAAGCGCAGAGAAGAACCTAGCAACCCATTCTGCAACATTCTTGATGGCTTTCTTTTCTGCCTTCTTCAACAAATGGACCCACTGCTCTGCCACGCAGCATGCGAGCAAGCTCAAAGGCTTCGAGTCGGACAAGAGCTGCTGAGCTTGTTCGAGTTGATCTAGATACTTGACGGGCCTCTGAACGGTGCGCGATATGCAGTTGTCCAGAAACTGATATGTGACGAGTTCCGGCTCCCATTTCTTTGTCACGTTAAGGCTCAATATCAATGCTTCCGTAGTTCGAGCATCATCGTTCAATACTCCCTTGTCGATCAACACTCCTCCGAGGATAGGGAGAGTTTCTTTCGTAATGCCCGTGTTGGAATCTTGGGCACAGTATCTGAGCAGCTGCACAATCAGAGACACTTCTTCTGACGCCGTCTTATGAAACCACTTTGTTGCTGGCGAGGTGTATGCAATCTGCACAAGGTGCGCTATCTGTGTCCCTAGGACATCCCTTGACATGGTGTTCAGATCATCGGATTCTAGACGTTGGAGCCTTTTGCCTAGAGGAACACCAAAATCAAACTTTGAATTCGCGGTTATCGAGGGTAGAATGGCGTGGTATGAAGCTATGCATTCGAGGACCAAGGAGCGGACTTGCTCGTTTTCGTCTTGCAGCTTTTGAAGGGTGGTAACGACATCGGGCAGGGGTGGGATACGCTCGACAAATAGACTCGTCAGTTTGCGGGATGCTTGCTGCCATAAATGAGACTGCGCCGATGCCTTGTCAAAGAGTTTCAAGACCGATTCAAGCTTCTCGAAAGCCACTGTCAACAATCGCGCCGCAGAAATGGTCATGATATCTTCGTTTATCCGAAGGCACTTTCCGATCGTGGCTCGATCGAATGGGCGTGGGAGGATACTTTCAATGACAACCGACAAAGGAGGCGGAGTCCGTGGCAGCTTTTCGTCCCAACCACAGTTGGGAGGCACGGGCAGCTGAACCACGGAGAACAAGAAAGCGAACTGTCCGCGCCATTTGGGGTCATCTCCTGGTGGGTCAAGGAATTTCTGTTTCTTTGTAAAGTAGTCGGCCACAAGTTCAGGGGCAGCCTTGAATATTGCTACGATTAGGTCAGCCTGTTGGACATCGCTTTCAGGTCTCAAATTTTGAATGAAGGCAGAGATTGCCGCGTTCTTGACTGGGATTTTCTCCGAGTAATCGTCAAAATAGAAGGGAGAGTCCAGCCCCAGATCGATCATGTTCTCATCTTGTTCCGAAACTTCGGGATTTGAACCGGTCGGATACCACCCGGATTGGCCAAGTAACACCCCCTTCGATGTTGTGCAAACTTGCATCAGCAGTTGTTGAAGACCATCTCGAACCTCCACTGAAGGGTCGCCAGTTTCGCTTGTGGTGTAGTCATACAGCTTGGCGACCGCTGACAAGACACCAGAATTGAAACTTCGAACCTTGATCTGCCGGCTCAGGGTACCATCGCCAATAATTGACGTCTCCAAGCTCTTCAGGGTGTTTGTGACAATACCCATAGGCAAGCTGGACAAATTGCGCACTGCCAATAAGATCGTCTTGCCATGTGTAATGAACTCGGCTTTGGAGGCGGAGTCGAGGTACTTTAGATTTGCCAGGACGAACTCCAAAGCCGCCTGATATGCAGTTACCGTGGCTCCCTGCGCCATTGTTGCCGGCGTCTGGCTGAGAATACCATCAAGCCGCCGGTATAGCAAATCGCGTCGACTGAAGACATTGGTTGCAAGCACGCCGCCATCGAAGCTGATGATCTCTGTCAAGAGCTGTAAACTCGGTGTGATGAGATGTTCCTTGGATCTCGGTGACGAGAACGCTCGGTCGAATATCCGTAATTGATCTCGTTTGAGGAGACTGTGGCACAGGGAGATTCCAAAGTCGCGGAAGTCGACATGGCTGGAGATCGTCTCGAAGAATCGTGTAAGCAACCGAGGAATGGCGGCGAGAACGGCTTCAGCGTTGGACTGACTCGCATTGTGCCACGCAGACAAGAGATCGGGGAAGTCGACTTGATCATGGGAAGCCGAGGATTGCTCATCGCAGTACTTCTTCAAGACCTTGAAATGCTGAATCCGCTCCGGGAAATCTTCGTTGGTGAGGTTAGACAGAAAGTCTGTAAATCGGTCGACAGCTGCGCTTGTTAACTGATCGGGCCTCTCAAGCTCGTGTCACTCTGAAAATACCTGCTTTAATGTCCTCTGGAGATGAAGACGGCGAAAATTGTAGAATTTGGTGAAGTTGACCTGCGCTGGTGATGGTAGCGGCTTCGACTTTTCTCCTCTTTCGCGATCTCTCTTCACTGATTCCCACCGACATGACACAAAGTCCACTTCGTACTTGGAGATTCCGGTCTTTTCCATGTACTGTTGCTCCAGTGGGAGGCACCGTTTACATTTGAAAATTATGGAAAGGTATGAAAGGATGTCACGGGCGGTCACGTGGTAATTATTCTGGCGTGAAGCTCAAATCTTGCTGCTCTACCATTCTGTTGCTGATGGTGCTAGTGCTGCTACCTCGTAATAAAGCAGCGACAAAACTGTCGATACTGCTTGAACAGCTGTTGTTGCCTCCTGCAGCAGAGAATTACCGATACCATTGTGCTCGGTCCTGCTCCATGTGCACCAAGAGGCTCAGCAGCTGGAGTCGAGGCCACATCATCGATAGTACGAACTGATTCGGTTGCAGATCTTGATGCCTTGGAGCTTACGCTGCCCTTCCTTTCCCAAGTTCCATGTAGTGGGGCCCATCTCTGGTATAGTTCAATACACTCTGGCGAAGCGGCAAAGCCGACGTCGAAGAGGTTAAATAGAATTAATATTAAGCATGCTAGTGAGAACGGCTTACTGTCTTTCATTCAAGCCAACCTACACGGAAAGGAGGGTCAGAAAGAACAGTACCAGGGCAATGAGGAATTACCAACCTCTACCTGCGAGCCCTGTTTCAGCGGAAGGTAAAATTTCCTTTCCATACAGGTTGCAGCCGAGGAGCCATAGGAAGAGATGGTGGTCTAGCGAAGGGGTAGATCCACTCCTCAGCCATCACAGAGGACCGAGATAGCGTAAGTGTCTCTAATTCAGAGTGATTTGTATCCATGCAATCCCAGCGGTGTTGAGATTCAAGATTGAGTGTTAGCGAGCCATGGCGAAATGAAGCTCCGCAATCAATCTTCCCTGAGCCCTACAGACATGATCATGTCCTATCAGACATCGGATCCAGTCTTGGAATGGCAAGCATTGGACGTAGGAAGGATGTCAACTTCAGAATGTGATTGTTTCTTTGTCTCTGCTGTCATGCCCTGACTTGTTACTGGATGTAAATGTCTTCTCAGCAGACAAGGCGGTCTTATCCACGTCGCTGCTGGGTGCAACTCCCTTGTGTCTCTGTCCATCATTGGTGTGTGCGGTTCCCTCTTGGTTTGGTAGTGTCATACACAGTATGGACTTCTAGGCAGGTTGTGCGAAGAAGACGTGAATTGATGACTCGTGACACCCGCTTCTGTGAAATGGTGATAAAAAGATGCGGCCATCCATGGGTTCGATGCACATAACAGCCATGGTCAAAAAGGGAAGTGGAAGTTGAAAGGCATAATTCCGCACAGGCACGTGGTGTTTGGAACAGAGCTTAAACCTATTTCAGTATCAAGAATGCGGAACTCAACTGTGTGAGTGGTTGATATATCGTCCTTTCTGCCCACCACAGCCAAAGACGCCCACACATTTATCCTAGAACAGAATCTATACTCCCTCTCTCCAATCCTCCTCTACAAACAAGTATTTGCACTACCGACACCCAAAAACAATGAATTTGATGTCCAAGCGAGCAGCAAAAACATATGGCAAGACAGGTCGTGCCCGGACTCTTCACCACTTAATTAGTCTCACGATCGATCAAATACTTCAAGGAGTCAATAACTTACCGAACCGGGGTTAGCGGAATGCTCTGGAGATCAGAATCCGCTGTGATAACCTCTACACTACACAACCATTTCAGAGTCAAACGTGTGACTGAATTGTGCCAAATTTGTGGTATTGTAAGATATATTTGTGGAAAAAAAAATGGAGGGTGGGGGCGCATTTCGGTGGCAAAGACGTGGGGGTTACAGTTACTACTTACTAGCTTGAGTGATCATCCCGCCCTGTGAATGGCTGTTTGCCCCCAGGCTGCAACCTCTGGCTGGGAAAAGTGGTGCCAGAGGACAGTGGTGCCTAAACTATGCCTCACAGTGTTGGACAGAAAGGATTGCCTTATCCACCATCACCATGTTATCTATCTTGTAATGGTGACAAAGGAATGCTGCATTGTCGGACAGAAAGGATGCCCTGTACAACATCATCATGTTGTCCCTCCCGCAACGGTGCCTAACCTATGCGTAACAAAACAATGCTGTGTGTGGCACCGAAGGGATGGCGGCGTGCAACATCATCACCACGTTGTCTACACTGCAAAGGCGGGCATGGATGCGACATGGTGTCAAAAGGTCATATACATTTTCTATGTGACGCTTTCATAGCTCATTGCAAAAGATATTACAGACCCCCAAAAGGTCACCAGGAAAGACAACAGCCACATTACCAACTTGACCATGACTTCCATCATCATCACCATCATACACTATCTTTCCAAAATGGCGACAAAGAAGATCTGATCAACCCTTTTTCTTCATCATGCCTCTCAATTTTCTTGCGGCGCCAACAATAGGATCACCGGCATAGATGTCGTAGGGATCCTTCTTCTCTCGGCCGCTCTCGCCACCCCATTGAATGCGTGCCTTAGGTTGAGTTGAAGACGATGACGCTTCCTGGGTAGGTTCTGGCACAGCAGCTTCGGTTCGACGTGGTTCGTCTTCGTCGCCCTCGCTGCTTGAATCTTCGTCCCCGTCACCCAGACCCAATGCAGCCAGTCGACGCCTCTTTTCCGCAGCTGTTTCTCCTTCCTCGTCGTTTTCTTCTTCCTCTTCAGACCGGATTCTCGCCAGGTGTCTTCTGCGCAAGTCTGCGGCTGTCTGGCCTTTGCCGTGCTTCGCTAGACTCGATCTCACATTGTGGGTTGGAATTTCTCCCTCATCCTCTTCCTCGTCCTCCTCACTCTCTTCGCTCAGCGTCGGGTTCCGTTCACGCGTAGCCAAGCGATCGGGTCTTGGACGACGTTGGGGGCTGAAATAATCGTCGGCTTCTTGCTCACTTGCGGTTCTTCTGCCAGCATCTGGGCGGCGAACAGTCGATGCACCGCCGAGATTTGGCTCGGTCCGGCCACGCGTTGGGCTCTCCTCAGAGGGAGTTAACTTACCAAGCCCTCCTTTTTCCATTTTCGCGGCCCTTCGGACTTCTCGTTTGATATCTTCTGTGGCATCACTGCGTTCGACTTCTCGAATCTTGCTTTTGGGGTCCAGCTGTTGCATCTGCTTGATAAAGTCCCGTGTCGACAGTCGACGGCCTGATCCTAACGCGATAGTTCCGGGGGCATCTCGCGCTTTCTTTTGCAACCCAGTCAAGCCGTATTGGTCGGCCTTGGAGATTGTCATTCTCAAGCCGTCGTCGTCAGAGGATGCATCGCTAATGCGTCTCCTGAAATCTCGCTTCTTGACGGCTTCCTCCTTGGGTTGGTCTAGGGTTTCTGATGGCGCAGGGGCGTCGACGCTGGGACCTGCAGGATCTACAGGCCCTGCTGCAGGACCAGTTTGTCGGCCCAAACCTACCCATGTGCTCATCCGACGCAGACCATCCCGCACTTGCTGTTCCCTCGACTTGTCGCCACCAGGCCCGCTGCTTTCGCTAGGAATGTTATACGTCTTGATGACTTCGCCATCCTCGTCTTCGACGATAACTGTGTTGCCAAACTGGTAAGCATGGGCTGGGCCTCGCTTGCGTTCGCCCTGCTTGGAGCTCGAAGGTTCTGCCTCTCCCTCCTTCCGTCTGCCGAAGCCTTTCCACTGATCAAATCTCTGACGCATACTTTTGGGCATGACAGCTTGTTCCATCTCTTCCTCCATCTCCTCCCCTTCGTTTCTGGGATGTGGCTCGTGCTTGTGTTTTGCAAATTTCCCGGAATCGTCTTTCGCCAACCGATTTCGGGCCTTTTCAATGGCATCCGCTTTTTCATCCGGGGACATGTGACTGGCATCAATCGTGTCTATCACATTTCCTTCCTCGTCCTCAACCACAATATCGTCACCTTCCTCATATGCCTCGATGTCTGCAGGGGTATCTGGAGGTGGCGGAGACCGTGTACGGCGGGCGCGTGCTCTCTCTGGCTCAGCTTCCTGCTCATGCCGCTCTGGGGACGGTGTTGCTGATCCGACCTCAGCGCGCTCTGGACGACTTTGTGGCGAAGGTTCGCCGGACTTGTCGAACAATGTGTCCGAGCCAGATTCTTGTTGCACGAGCATGGGTTCACTGAGTCTTGACGGAGCAATGGCGCTCAGACTGACAGGTCCTCCCAGGCGCTCTTCCAGAGCCCTATCGCGCTTTCTCCGCCTCCGTGCTCTGCCATGACTCGAAGATCTAGAGGCTGGCCTTTTCTCATACTCGTCTTCGCGCTGTCGTCTGAGATGGAGCTTGGGGATTCCGATTGGAGGTAGTTCTCCGGGTGGGATCTCCAACTTCTCGTCAACGTCCAATTCTGAGCTTTCCCTGCGCGACATCGACCGCGACTGAGACGTGATTCTGGGAAGCCTTTGCATCCATGCCGGGCCTTTTTCGTTATCTTGAGTGTACGACAGAGTGATCGTCAGAGTATTGATCCGTTTGCCCAAAGTGAACACGGCAATTGATGAGCCATGAACGAGAATGGATGAGATGACCAAGAACGTGACCAGGGGCCATAAGAGGTAAATTAGCTCAAATTCTTCGCTTCCCTCAGGGAGTTTGGCCAAAGGTGTTGTTCCATCTGTCTCCAGCTCCGCACGGGCGAGGATTGCTGCGAAGATGGCGCCGACACCGATGGGCCCAAAATGGCCCGCAAACAAAGCCTCCCGCCAAGTTTTGACGTCGGGTATCAGCGGTTTGAGAGCCAGCATTGCAGGTATCCGACGGAAGAAGATGACCATGATTGAAATGACAACAAGCCTCCATGGAACGAGACCGTGTGCATGCGCATTATACTGGTCCCAGGGGATGATGGTCCCAAAGTAAACAAAGTAGCCCAGGTTGAGAAGCAGATCGATGACGTTGGACACATGGGACTCTTCGGTTTTCTCGGTAAACCAACCATCGTTCGAAAACCCAACTCCGGCAGCAAATCCAATAAGGAGGTCGTCCATTCCCAACAGACTCCCAGAGCCGGCGCAGAACAAGGCCAGGACGAAGTAGAACACAAGAAAACTTTCCCGATCAATCAAGCCTTTCCGCTCGGCGAATTTGATGGCGTGGCGGCCGATGTACCCGACCATGACGCCGTAGAAGGCGCCAAAGATACACTCGTAGAGGATCGTGAAACATGTCCAGTGAAAAATAACCTCTCCGGCTCGCAGGTGGTACCTAACCAAGTAGAGAGACAGATAGATGAACGGGAAAGCCATCCCGTCGTTGCAACCAGATTCGGCAGACAGGACGTCTCGAAGATGTTTGGGAACCCGTTTTGCAAACTTGCCCTTTCCCACGACCGAGGAAGCCAGGACGGGATCGGTGGCGGTAACACAAGCGGCAACGACCAGAGACTCTAGCCAGCTGAGAGGGACAATCATCCACCAGATGAAGAGACTGGTAATCAGCCACCCAAAGGTCATAACTGGGACCAGGAGGAACACAACCGACTTCCAATGTCTTTCCATGTACGCCTTGGGCAACTCGACGCCGACGGCGAAACACTGAACGACCAGGACGATACGGGAGAATTCGAGGGTGATCTGATCCGTGTTACCCCAGGTCAGAGGGTTGATGAGATTTGCGGCATGGGGACCGAATATGACACCGCATATTGTCGCAACGGTTGCTTCGCCAATGTACAGTTTTTCCTTGATGAAGAGCGAGCATAGCATGAAAATGCTGGTGAACCCGCCGAGGATGATGTACACCAGATGCGGCTTGTCTATGGCGAGCTGGTGCCACGCCATCTGGCACAGATGTCGTGGAACCTAGGAGTCGTGCAAGGGTGTAAGAGCCTTTTAGTAGCAGGTGTGGTTTGAAAATGAGGAATTGTAGCCAATATTGGTTGCACCAAGTCACAGATTCCTCCGGTGTGTTCTAGAGTATAGACAGATATTGATTTATATCGACAAAAGAAAGTTATATCGCCTCTATCCCCAGTCGCTTCCTTCTCTTTGGTGAAGATCGTGATGCAGAACCCACCGCATTCAGAGAGCGTCTGCCAACATATGTGTCGTCGAGGAGAGGAATAGATGGGGGTCTATCTCGAAAGAAATTGGTCTCCCCGGCCGCGGCGGAGGAAGGGTGTCTATAGTGAGTGTAGAGAATCCAGATCGCAGAAGTGCAGCAGGGTGGTAGATGAATGAAAGGATCGAGGGGTAGGACGGAGAATCCGGTCCAAGGGGGCTGTTATATGTGCCGTGCTGGGATCTGGTGCTGAGATGGGATGAGTGGGGAGGGGAAAGCTTCAGTTAAATGAAGCGTCCTTTCGAAGAAATCTGGGCAACAATAATGATGAGCTTATGCTGTGGCAATTGAGGAAAAAGTACACTCAGCAAGAAGCGGTCTTGGGCACTGGGAAGATCTGAGGTGACAAAGAAGGACTGAGCACCGTGATTGACGCGAGGAGTGGATGTCTTTTTTTTTGGAGGGCAACACTAATAAGGCGCCGAGCCTTGTCGAAGAAGATTCGGGGGTCTTGGGCTTAGCTTCGAGGGCTTGGGGGAGGGGGCGTGGGCATGGCTCTGCGGCATAGTAAGTACCCGGATATAATGGGAATGGGGTACGCAGCTCCCTTTGTGGAGCCAGTTGACCACCCACGCAGTTGAACGCAGGCAATCAGTTGCCCGAGTACTGGCGCCTGGACCAACCACAAACCTTTGCCACGCCCATGCCACGCCTGTTTATCGGACACTCGGCTTCATCCCTGGGAATACGAGGACCACGGGTCATCTCTGGGTCGGTGGCCAAGGCCGCTAAATTTATCTCTTCATCTTCTTCATGGCTCTCTCATCAGCATGAGAAGGCAGAGAGACCCTAACCAAGTACCGACTGAGCGGGAATATTTCATCTAGCTACAGCATCCTATCGTCTTATCCCGCTTATCTTCGGTGCCCTCAATTCCTCTCACCCTTCTAAGCCACTCGGAATCCGCACGAGAGAGCGGGATGTTGACTCTATCACAGCGCTTCATGGTTGGTCAATGGCTGGTGATGGGCTCCAAGGGTGCTCGAATCAAGAAGAATAGGCACTCTTGGCTATCTGAAATCACGGCCCTCCCCAATCCACTATTCCCGCTGAAGGTCAGTTCTGACCGCTGGCCAGACTGACCGACTTGACCACGGAAGGACAAATCGCATTCTTCGAGGCTGTATCCCCTCAAACTCTCGCCCCGTTATTGGTACTTTGATGGTCGCTTCGATTCACCTTTCGGTACCCCAGGCCAACATGTGACAGCAGTACTGACTTATCGTCCACTCATGGTCGAAGACGATCCACCAATACTGCATATCAATGCACGCACGGGAAAAAGGAAAGGGAAGGGGAAAAAAAGAAAATAAAACAAGAACAGTGTGTGCTGCCCACTCCAAGGCATGACTTTGTCCCGCAGATACGAGCAGAACAGAAAGGAAAGAAGCCACCAGCTTTGGCCATATACACGCAGCTTATCGGGCCTCAGTCCTGATTGTCATTGCTCTCATCCCACGCGCAAGCTGCAAGCTGGGCACTGCTCGACTCAGATATTCTTTTCCCACAGCGAATAAAGCTAGCCAACTGATAAGCCATCCAAGTCACTGTTCGCCATAAAGATGAGCCTCGTGTCGGTCGCCTTCGGCCTTTGTGCTTTTTGTCCATCGACATCTTCCCTCCTGGCGTACAATTACATTCTTCGATTGCGTTAATCATTAGCGGTCAATCCGCCCAACGAGAGAAATTTCGAGTCCTTCCCTTCCGTGATCAATTCCCGTATGTACTCCTCGTGAAATCCCGCACTTTTTGGTATGTCCTCGAGCCAGAAATGGCTCGTATCTGCAAACTTTTCGTGTCACAGGTTCGTTTCTCTGGGGTATATTGTGATCATATGTCCTGATAATTCATATCGACTGGCGTCGTCAAGATTAAAACAATTGTCTCAATCAAACCTGCATCCGTCGTGATTTCGACAAAGAAGGATAGATTATATTGGTCAAGATGACCTCAAGATTGCGGTCTGACCTCTGTTGGTGATTACGAGCTGGAAACTGAAGCTAATGCTCGCTCTTTGATATGCCCTGCCTGGGTCTCAAGTGACCGCGCCATGAGCTTGAAGACTGTAACACGGGATTAGCACGATTTGCTCCCACAAATGGATATTGACTTACCGGGCCATACGGAATCCCTTCCCAGTATGTATGCTGTCAGCGTTAGGATTCTGCTGCCGTAACCTCCTTCTCGAGCGTCGGAAAGATCAAATCCACCCTGAGTTTCGACCTTGCTCTCAGCGCTCGTCAGGATTTCGTCGATTTTCTGGATCAGGGTCCGATCTTCATCTTCGAGGAGGATTATGCCTGGCACCTCGACCAGGTTCATCTCATCCCGCCCAATGACGCCTAGGTATTTGCCAACTCGTTCTTGGACAGTTGCGATCCACTCTGCCAGCACTTGCGCGCAGTCGAATGCACACATAGCCGACTGTGTTGGTAGCTCTCGAGAGGTATGTTCAGCAAAACTCAGACCGAGTTTGTCTGACATGGCCAAAGAATCGGCGGCATAGAATGCAGCCTTCCGAAGATGTCGCTCACGTCGAGATGGCTGGGATTTCCTACCATTCTCGTGTTCTACCGCTTCCAGTTTTACGCCTTCTTCCACAGGGGTCGGCATTTGCTCTTGATTCTTGCTCTCCGGCTTCTGAGACGGAGGATTGGTGGTTTGGTCCGTTTTTCCCGTGTCCTGGCTCGGAACCGCTTCTGAGCCCTTGGCCAGCTCTTCCGACATAGCATCATAGTCCCGTTGCCAGAACGCTTCCTTGGACCTGCCGAAATTGACAAACAGCCGGATGTAAGCAAGATCAAGCAATGGGACGCAGTCCGCCGACAAGGGGCCATCTCCAAAAGGATTGGGTCGTTCGATGCTATGCTTGGGGTTGCTCGCCCATGCCGCTTCCCAGGCAGTGAGTGCTGGCTCGATGTGTGCATGCATCTGCTCCGTCTCGCTTGCGGTCCATTGACGTCCCAAGTGTCGCTGCCGTGTCTCCCAGATGTAATTATGTAGAGCGTTGATCAGGATCAAGCAACCAAATGTGCTCGGCGCGAGCTCTGGTTCGCTAGTGAGCCCGAGCGAATTCACGTTGCTGTTCCGCCGACGTTGTCTGTGCGCGGACATAAGTAGATGTGTCAACGAGGCGGCAAAGGTAAGGGCTCCCGTTTCCGCGCCAGGTCCCCCCAGGTGGCGCCATGTCTGCGCAGACTCAGCTGACCAAAGTTCTTCCGCACAGGGCAGATTCAATCGGATCTCGGAATTGGTGAGTGCGGGGGGATGATTGTAAGCCGTCACAAGCATACTCGAAAGGATGAACACCACATACAAGGTTCGCTTGCGTTCTTCCATGATTTTCCACTCCAACCAGTCAGAATCGTCCAACTCGCTTGCCATCGAGCCCCAGCCATGGTTTGGCATTCCACCCATCTGGACGTTGGCATTGATGCTTGTTCCGCTGTAGCTCTGAGGAGGCTTTGCAAGCTCGGCTCCGCGAGCTAGACTAACCAGGGCGGCACAATGGTTACTGGCCAGCTCAGCTGCCGTTTTATCGCCACAATTATGGCCATAAATCACGTTCAGAAGCATAGCCTGAACCAACCAGAGTGGCGTATCTTCTCGCTCAGCAGAGTGTCGAGGTCCAAATTGGGTTTTGGTCAGGTTGGCCTTGCGCCTTTCTTCGAGATAGCTGCTGATCAGACGCTTGGCACACTCGAAAAGTTCTCTCGACTGAGGCACCTCGTGTTCGTAGAGGGCACCAATAGCAGCAATTGCTAGGATCAAGCAACTGCCTCCGCCTGCCACCGAAGCCTGGCCAAACTGAGAATGGCCAGACACTAGCCTGATTGGAGTTGTGTAGTCTGGCGACGCAAAGTTGAGGGTTGGAATATGTAGAAAGGGAAGGTGCGGATGGAAGTATTTGATATACGCAGAAACATATCGCTGTAGATCACGTGTGCTGGGAAAAGTGCTGGCGTTGAACCCTTTCGTGCGTGTACTTGAGCCTGGAGACAGCGGCGAACTGATTGCTGGTTGGGAGTACTTTCGTTGTCCAAAGCCTACATTCTGAGAAAGTCCGGCGATCAAAACATTCCGAATGTGATCGCTGACCAAGTCCGTAGACGTGGTTGTGGTCGAGCTTTGACGGAGACTGCTGTCCATTGAGGTAGTGGAAGTGGTAGAGCCAGGACCATCTCCAGCGAAGGAGAGCTGGTAACTAGTAAATTGAGGGTTTGAGTGCACGGCAGAAGCGTCCACAGAGACAAAATCTGGCGGAGTGGGAAGATTGATATCCATAGCAGTTGCTTGACCCAGTAAGGATTTTGGCGACACCGTTCCCATGGGAGCGTTGACAACGTCATTAAAGTTGGACAACATTTCGATGCTCATCGGACTGTTTAACAGTGGCACGTGGGCCGCAAGAGTGGTGGACCACATACTGCCTGCGGTTATTGAAGCATGTTGCATTGCTGCCATATTCGATTCACCGTTCAGCTCATTTAAAGGTGCCGGACTGCCAGTGCTCATGGCCGAGGGTGACGAGTCATCGATTGCGTTCTCATTGGCCTGAGTGAAGGACATCTGATTCTCAAAGCCCAAGGTCATCCAGTCGAAATTCGAATCGTCGTCAGCCATGGCTTGAGAAGCAGTCATCCCAGGGAACATTTGGTGGAAATGTGAAATGGACGAGTCGACACCCAGCCCTTGCAAGTTGGTCATATGCAGAGCGTGG